AGTAAGACTAGATTCTTTTCCATTGTTCAATGAACAAATACTCTCCCAATTTAACTTAAGATCACTTAACCAGTTCCTACCTAGTAATGGCGGTCCATTTCCTTCAACCACAAGAAGAGGAAGTTTAACACTTTGACCATTATAACTCACATGAACCATACACTCTCCTATTACCGGAACATTGTCACCAGTGTATGTTGTTAGACACTTGTGACATGGCTGTAGAGACACTGATCCTCTTGTGACAGCCTCAAAATCTTTCTTTGTGATGACTGTTAGTGATGCTCCAGTGTCAAGTTGGAAGCTGATGCTCTTACCGTTGATATTAACTTGTACATTGATGGGAGCATGACTTATTGATTTCACAGAGAACAGGCTGAAATCCGGCTGCGAATCAGTTTGAGCATTTTCACAGGTAGAGTGGTTCATTGGTTGGGTTAGGTAGTCTTGGTGAGAGTTAACATAGTGCTGCTTTTGGTTGCGGTACTGTCTTGACTGGCTAGATTTAGCAACAGACGAAGACTTTGCAAAGCAGGCCTTAGCAATGTGACCTTGCTCACTGCACTTATAACAAGTTGCAGACTTGAACTTGCACCGATGAGATGCATGGGGACCTTTGCATCGATGACATTTTTGATAATTATTACTAGATTTAGATCTAGGATTTGAACGAGCAGGCTGTTTAGCATAAGTTGGAATGCTCTGTTGGGGTTGATGTTTATTGACTAACCTGCTGTTTACTGCATGGATCTCTGAAGGTGCTAAAGATCTCGCCGCATCTGATGACTGCTGGAATGACATTGCAAGTTGTATTGCTTTTTCCAATTTTAGATCTGACTCGAGCAGCAACTTTCTTTGAATATCAGGGCTGTTTACACCTGTCACAAACTTTTCACACAGTCTGTCAGACAGCGTTTCTCCAAATTCACAGAATTCACTTAAATGACGTAAAGCAGCAACATATTCTGATATCGACTCGTTTGGTTGACGAGTCCTACTGTCAAATCTAGCTCGACATAAAAACTTTGATGGGGTAGGCGCATGGTGGTCTGTTAGCAATTTGCTCAGCTCGTTAAAGCTCTTGGTATTTAGACTAGCTGGAGCGCATAAGTCCTTTAGTAGCCTAAATTGTTGAGGCCCTATGACTGTTAACAAAACAGCTCTCTTTTTGGCTTCTATCGTCACGTTGTTTGCTTCTAGGTAAAAGCTTAACCTCTCTAGGTAATCTTGAATGATTTCATCATTCGCATCAAATTCTTTTATTTGGCCATACAGCGCCATAATTCTAGAAATAATTAGCTAATAAGCTCTAGCAAACCTCTTTTTTGCGTAAGTAGGTGCTCTTTCTAGTAGATGTTTATCCTTCGTCGCCAGTTATAATAGATTGACGACAGAAGCCTGTGGTTGTATATAACACGTTTAATGGGTCTAACTACCACGATGGTAATACCAGAGAGGGCGGAAGGAAGTATACAAGGGACATCACTCAAGATAACAATATTATAAATATAACTAATACAGAAGAGTGAGTTCCCTTGACCTCACAATTATTTCAATCTATTACAGGCTGCGTTCAAAAACCATTGCGCGCCTACTGAACGTGATATTCAGCAGGCGCGCAATGGTTTTTAGTCATGTAACTCTATTGTAGATAAAACATGTAAAGTACTGAAAAAAAAATTCATAAAAAACGTTTTAATAACAAGCTTTTATGTAATGATGCACTAAAAAGTAGAAAATAAATTATAGACTACTATTTAAATAACTATAAAGAAAAGCGTGGGTCACTTTAGTATCTATTGGATACCTTTACTAATGTTAAGGAAGACACCCACGCTTTTCTTTATAGTTATTTAAATAGTAGTCTATAATTTATTTTCTACTTTTTAGTGCATCATTACATAAAAGCTTGTTATTAAAACGTTTTTTATGAATTTTTTTTTCTATGAGATTCTATTTTATTTTTAAAAGTTTAAGTATTTAAAATGGATTAAAAATCATAACTATCCGAGTTCCCATCCCCTGTTGTTTTATATAAGAATATTCGAGAAAGTTTAGGGGAGATCACTCCCGGTTTATTATACAGTAGGGATCATAAAAATTAAGTCTTTGTTGATTATTATTTGGAATTACATTTGGAATTTTACACTTGTAGCGATTTGTTGTGCATTAGGTTGTGCAATTGCAGTAAATGTAGCCTTGGCCGCCGGTCAGTGATTGTGAAGATGCGATGGTTCGTAGTGATTTTCCTCAGTGCCAACGGGTGACGATGAGAGCAGTTTTTCGTGACGAATTGAAAACTTACTTCTAGCATATAGTTGTTAAAATACACCATGTTCCGTTCCTAGCTTGTAGAAAGCGCCCTTGACGCTCATGACCTCTGTCAACATCTGGAATACGGAAGCGACCAGTATCTCCCACTTCAGCTTGTTTAAATTTTGTTAGCATCTTAGCACCTTGAGTTTGCAAGCTAGAATGAGCTGCTGACCTGTTGTCCATGGTTTCTTGTTTATTGTGACATATTCTGCGCGTACTGTTTCCTCCATACCCTTCATCTGCTTCATTGGCTATTCCGCATATTGCATGGACAACGTTGCCACCGGATCCACAAGAATGGGCTGCACTACAATATTTTTCACAAACTACCTTGTCATCATCATGTTTTGAACATCTTTGTTGGCACGTTCTACTTAACCTTGGCTTTGGCTATGCCTTGGATTTCCGTGAACTTGTTTAAGTTCAGGCCACATGTTCTTTAGTGAATAACTTGATTCGCAAATTCTTTGCCATTAGAATTTGGATTATTTATTTTGGCAGCCATCTGGTATGTCTGTCTCTTGATCTGACAGCCCTTTTGGTCCATGTCGCATTGCATATAGAATGCAATACAAACAAGAGCCAAACAATACGTTACTCACAATGAAACCGCACCCAGACTAATGAAAACGCGATCACAACTTAGTCTAGATAGAACATTGGCCAGGACATCCCGGCCAGTGCGCGCATTGGCCGGCCAATGTACAAAATACGCTTTCAAGTTTAAGCGCTTTGGACTTTGGCCAGTATGTCCCGGCCAGTGCGCGTATATATATATATATATATATATATATATATATATATATATATATATATATATATATATATATATATATATATATACATATAAACGAACGTAGGTGCCATCGCGCTAACGGGAAAGCCTAGGGCGCCAAATTGAACCCTGCAGGGGCGCCGGAGGACGCGCCTGGTTCGATTTAGTCAATGATTATTGTTGCCCGTCGTGTCTTTAGTGTATAGCCTTTTTTAATGAACGTAGGCGCCATAGTGTTCGCTGGGGAACCCGGGGCGCTTCGGGTCGTGCAATCTACGGGGCGTCGACGGTTGCGCCTCTTGAAGTTTTAACGCTGAGTATAGTATTACTCTTTACCCGCTATGCAAGGCGCACGATTAGCGGATGCCACGTGCTAACATAGCCGCTCTGGAACTCTGGGCGCCAAATTGTGTTTGACGAAAATCGCACCCTCGCAGGCGCTACCCATATCATATTTTCATTATTTTGTTCACAGAAACCTTCTCGAGGTATTCACATCAACTTCCCAAAGTTTCATGGCACACGGATGAAAGGTGTCGAACCGCATCTTACTTTTATTTTTTATATACCGTATATAGAGAAGAATCGAACCCTCCCGAGGCCCCGCCCTTGCGAAATTACAAAAGATTTTTTTTTTTTTTGGAGAACCCTTCCCAGGAGTGCTCTAATCAACTCCCCAAAGTTTGATACCGATCGGATGAATGGTGTTAAACCAAAATTAACTTATATTTTTTATATACCGTACATAGAGAAAAATCGCACCCTCCCATGGTGCCACCCTTGCGAAATTAAAAATGATCTTTTTACAGAACCCTTCCCCAGAGTGTTCTAATGAACTCACCAAAGTTTGAAAGCGATCGGATGAATGGTGTCAAACCAAAATCAACTTTTATTTTATGTACCGTATTGCGAAATCCAAAGGGAATTTTTTTTTTTTGCATAAACCTCCGCTGGAGTGTTCTAATCAACTCCCCAAAGTTTCATGGCGATTGGATGGAAGGTGTCAAACTTCAATCGATTTTTATTTTTTATATACCGTACATGGAGAAAAAACAAATCGCGCCCTATCGGGGCGCCACCCCTACGAATTTGAATTTTTTCCCGCAGATACCTCCCCAGGAATACTCACAACAACTTCCCATATATAATATATATATATATATATATATATATATATATATATATATATATATATATATATATATATATATATATATATATATATATATATAAATAAATAAATAAATATATATATATATATATATATATATATATATATATATATATTGTATATATTGTATATATATATATATATATATATATATATATATATATATATATATATATATATATATATATATATATATGTATGTGTGTGTGTATATACTTTGTTTCTTGGAGAGAACATCATAGACCGTCTGCAGAGTTTCTTACAGGCATCTCTTCGGGGGGGGGGGGAGTCCACCCCCTCCCCCGAAGAAAGTCTACCGCCCCCTACCCGGACGAAATGGAATTTATATAGAAAATATATACTTTTAACAGTTTCGGCCCTTCTGAAATTTTAGCCCGCCTTCCCTCCCCGAAAATTTAAAGTGCCACCCCCCCCCCCACGTAGAATAAAATCTACCCCCTTTCCCCCAAACGTAAAGGAATTTGTATTGAATTTGTATAGAAAATATATACTTTTACCAGAGTCTGCACCCCCCCCCCCCCGGAAAATTTAGTAATATTGGTGACCTTACGACCCTTGAATAATTAAACACATTGAGGGCAACATTGGTGACCTTAGCCCCTTGAATAACCAAACACACCGCTCCAAATTTGTTCGAGGGAATTGTCGAGAGCTTTTCTCTTTGATGTCATGTCGACATCTTGTCATACACGAACACAGAGTCGCAATGCTATTTTTATTTGCAATTTAATAAAAATTACTGAAATTCTTTTTATCAAATATATGTAGAAAATATATAAAATATACAATAAGCACGATTCAAAAAGTCCTTTGACATATGTACATTAAAATGTTTTTGTCTATTTGTGCGGCGCCGTCAGATTTATTTGCCAACTGGTAAATAGTTACAGTAGCTGATGCGACAACAAAAGTGGGCTGAGAAGCTGTCCTCTTGTCGGCATTCAGAGCGTGCTGCGCAGCCGGCTTCAAACCACGCCTCCCATCGCGTGTAGAAGTAGCGCCGGTGCAACATTCGAAAGCGACATTCCTAAAAAAAAAAACAGAAAAGTTTTAAAAGATTAAAATACACAAAATGTATTTTTAATTATAAGCAGAAAATTATGTCCGTGGTTATTTTAAACCAAGTAAATTATGACAAGGATCTTTAAAAACCAAGTAAATTATGACAATGATCTTTTAAAACCAAGTAAATTATGACAATGATCTTTTAAAACCAAGTAGATTATGACAATAATATTTTAAAACCCAAGTAAATTATGAATAGCAAGTTTGTAGGATGTGGTTATTGCAGAGGCGGAGCGTGGGGGGGTACATATGTCCCCGGGCGTCGACACTAGGGGCGCCAAAACGGGTAAAAAAATATTAAAAGCTCATTTTAGCTGCAGTTTTTCATTATCAACATTTTTAAAAATAGGCGGGGGGGGGGGGGGTGGGGGGCGCCAAATTGAAAGTTTGTCCCCAGGCGCCTGGAGGGGTCGCTACGCCTCTGGGTTATTGCGACTAACGATAGAGAATATACGCAAGATTTTTATACCCTCTCACATCCTGTCCAAGATATCAACACCGTTTTTACATCCTCGTACGTTTAGAGGAAATAAGCACAGTGCTTATTACATCGACATGGTGTTAGAGGATATAAGCATATTGAGTATTTCCTCTACATTAAGGTATGTACGTCAAAGATACTTATTTTAAAATTGTTAATATTTGCTCTAATGAAAATCGTTATTATTATTTTCTCAGACCATCCCTAACCCAACCTTTAAAAATCCCTAATCCCAAAAAACTTTATTAAGATATAGTGCGTCAAAATTAAATTAATAATGCTATTTGTATTAATTTAAACAGCATAATTCTGACCCCGAAACCTTACTTTCGAATCTGCCACGCTTGAAACAATTTGTAATGATAAAAAAATATATTAAAATACAAAAGAAAAAAACGTTATAAGAACAAGCTTTTATGTAATAAATGGACTAAAAAGTCGAAAATAAATGATTTTAATATATATATATATATATATATATATATATATATATATATATATATATATATATATATATATATATATATATATATATATATATATATATATATATATATTACTACTATTCAAATAACTGTAAAGAAAAGCGTGGTACGCCTCTTAAATTTTAGTATTCCATAAATAGAGTGACCCACGCTTTCTTTACAGTTATTTTAAATAGTTGTGTATTAAATTATTTTTTTAAATAATTTATTTTTTCCTTTTTAGGTTACACGAGCTGACCCGCTGCGTATCATACGCCGCTATTTAGTTGGTTTTTTTTCTACTTTTCAGTAATTTATAATTTGTGAATTCGACAGTACCAATGCTGCCATTGAAAATATTTGCTTAAAAACACTAACCCCCCCCCCCCCCACGTGAAAGCAGCCTCCTCTTAATAACCTCCTCTAAGTTTAAAATCGTTTCAAACTAAATTATCTTCCCCTAATAGCCGTCACCAAACCCGTCTCTATGATTGTAAAATGTAAACAGAGTGAACACCGCTCACCAGATCATGTGGGGGTGGGGTGGGGGTGGTAGTGATTGTGATAGAGAGAAAGAGAGGGGACTGCAAAGGCGCGCTTGCAGCTTGTTTTCTAACTGATCCCAGAAGAGAATTATATATATAGATAAAAGGTTGTTATTAAAAAGATTCTATGCATTTTTAGCGGACAATTGCGATTATTAACTCGTAATTTCTGGATGGATGAATGGATGTATGAATGAATGGATGATTATGGATGGATGTGTGTCCGCAGCTTTAAGTGGTATCTCCTCCTCAACGAAGCAATATAGAGGACTAGTTCCAAAAGCAAATATGTTAAGCAAGTTCCAAGGATGATTGTGGGCCAAACAATTCCCGGAATTCCTTCCTGGATTTCCCGGAAAAGCAAAAAAACCTCGAACAAATGCAGTTTTTACTCCATATCTCGGCAACCAGACCACTTAGCGACTTGAAACATTTACCAATCGATTCCTGCCATAATTTAGAACAATATTGCCGAAGAAAGTTTTCAAAAATATCCTTTCGTTCGGTCACAAAATTTAAAAAAAAAATTATTTAAACTGAGCATCGTGTAGGCCTAGGATGATATTGTATACTAAGCATCTTGTAGACCTACTCGTTAAAATAAAACTATTTCCGTTGATATAGGTTAATATAGTTGTCTTTTTTTTTACTTATTAATTCAAACGTTATTTTTGTACCCTATTAATTTATTTATAATTTATATGAGAGTGATAGGGAGTTACAATTACAAGGTTTTGTTTCGCTAGGCCTAATCATTTTTTCACATTTTAAAAAAAAATTAATTAAGGAAATTGCGCTTAAATTGTCACTAGACTTTTTATTAACTTGTTTTTCTGTACTTTAAATTTTTTAATACAATATAGTTGCATGACTAAAAACTATTCCGTATCAAATGAACATGAAAAATGCTCGTATTATAGCGCGATAGATAGTACTTTATATACGATATTTTAATTAATTCATTAAAAATAATTACAATTCAATCAAATGCAATGTCATATTGCATTATCATCGGGTCTTGATTCCCGTGCCAAGTTTGAAATCAATCGGTAAGTTAAAAGTGCTCGAACTTTCGCTCGGCAGTTTCGATTTATGAGGACAGACAGACAGAAAGAGGAAGCAAGTTTTAAAAACTTGTAAAAATAGAACAAACTTCCTTTCTAAAATAGAAGCTTAATAAAACCACAACAGGTTGTGATAGGGCATAAACATTTTGTGTATTTCATCTATCGTTGGCCGAAATAAGCATTAACCTATTGAGCGTTGACTAAAATCGGAGCATCTAAAAATTGATGACCCCTTGCTCCCATTACTAATTATCCAACCACAGACAAGACAGGCTCTGTTGGCCCATTAGCAACATACTTTGTTTCTACAACAACCACATACAAGACAGACTTGTTGGCCCAATGGCAACATACTTTGTTTCTACAACAACCACATACAAGACAGACTTGTTGGCCCAATGGCAACATACTTTGTTTCTACAACAACCACATACAAGACAGACTTGTTGGCCCATTGGCAACATACTTTGTTTCGACGTTGTAGAAAAATAAGAATCGATTGCTTGTCGGTGCTTAAAAAGTTGTTGATCAATCTAAAATTGGCCAGGCTGGCGATAATGTGTACACCTCGGAGTTCTGATAGAAATATTATAAACCACATCAGTATAAACCACATCAGTATAAACCACATCAGTATAAACCACATCAGTATACACCACATCAGTATAAACTAAAAATATTATAAACCACATCAGTATAAACTGGAAATATAAACCACATCAGTATAAACTACATCAGTATAAACTGGAAATATTATAAACCACATCAGTATAAACTGGAAAAATTATAAACTACATCAGTATAAACCACATCAGTATAAACCACATCAGTATAAACTGGAAATATTATAAACCACATCAGTATAAACTAGAAATATTATAAACCACATCAGTAGAAAACACACCATTGCCCTCCGTCTAGCAGCCTTAGCTAGACAGTCGACATTAACACATTCACACCATTGCCCTCCGTCTAGCAGCCTTAGCTAGACAGTCGACATTAACACCATTGCCCTCCGTCTAGCAGCCTTAGCTAGACTGTCGACATTATCACATTCACACCATTGCCCTCCGTCTAGCAGCCTTAGCTAGACAGTCGACATTAACACCATTGCCCTCCGTCTAGCAGCCTTAGCTAGACTGTCGACATTATCACATTCACACCATTGCCCTCCGTCTAGCAGCCTTAGCTAGACAGTCGACATTAACACGTTTACACCATTGCCCTAGACTGCAGATCGAAGACGTCCACCAGTGAACGATCGGATATCAATGAGCTCTCTTGGTCCAGCTTGAGTTCGGAGTTAACTTGTATCTCCCCAGTTCCTCAGCTCCCATGTTCCCCAGCCCCCATGTTCCCCAGCCCCCATGTTCCCAAGCTCCCATGTTCCCCAGTTCCCATTTTCCCCAGCTCCCCTGTTCCCTAGCTCCCCTGTTCCCTAGCTCCCATGTTCCCCAGCGCCCATGTTCCCCAGCTCCCCTGTTACCCAGCTCCCCTGTTCCCCAGCTCCCCAAGCTCCCATGTTCCCCAGTTCCCATTTTCCCCAGCTCCCCTGTTCCCTAGCTCCCCTGTTCCCTAGCTCCCATGTTCCCCAGCGCCCATGTTCCCCAGCTCCCCTGTTACCCAGCTCCCCTGTTCCCCAGCTCCCCAAGCTCCCATGTTCCCCAGCTCCCCTGTTCCTCAGCTCCCATGTTCCCCAAGCTCCCATGTTCCCCAGCTCCCATGTTCCCCAGCTCCCCTGTTACCCAGCTCCCATGTTACACAGCTCCCATGTTACCCATCTCCCCAGTTCCCCAGCTCCCCTGTTCCCCAGCTCCCCAGATCCCCTGTTCCCCAGCTCCCCTGTTCCCCAGCTCCCCAAGCTCCCATGTTCCCCAGCTCCCATGTTCCCTAGCTCCCCTGTTCCCCAGATCCCCTGTTCCCCAGCTCCACTGTTCCCCAGATCCCCTGTTCCCCAGCTCCACTGTTCCCCAGATCCCCTGTTCCCCAGCATCCCTGTTCCCCAGCGCCCATGTTCCCCAGCTCCCCTTTTACCCAGCTCCCCTGTTCCCTAGTTCCCCAGCTCCCATGTTCCCCAGCTCCCATGTTCCCCAGCTCCCATGTTCCTCAGCTCCCATGTTCCCCAAGCTCCCATGTTCCCCAGCTCCCATGTTCCCCAGCTCCCCTGTTACCCAGCTCCCATGTTACACAGCTCCCATGTTACCCATCTCCCCAGTTCCCCAGCTCCCCTGTTCCCCAGCTCCCCAGATCCCCTGTTCCCCAGCTCCCCAAGCTCCCATGTTCCCCAGCTCCCATGTTCCCCAGCTCCCCTGTTCCCCAGATCCCCTGTTCCCCAGCTCCACTGTTGCCCAGATCCCCTGTTCCCCAGCTCCACTGTTCCCCAGATCCCCTGTTCCCCAGCATCCCTGTTCCCCAGCGCCCATGTTCCCCAGCTCCCCTTTTACCCAGCTCCCCTGTTCCCTAGTTCCCCAGCTCCCATGTTCCCCAGCTCCCCTGTTCCCCAGCTCCCCTGTTACCCAGCTCCCCTGTTCCCCAGCTCCCCAAGCTCCCATGTTCCCCAGTTCCCATTTTCCCCAGCTCCCCTGTTCCCTAGCTCCCCTGTTCCCTAGCTCCCCTGTTCCCCAGCTCCCATGTTCCCCAGCTCCCCTGTTCCTCAGCTCCCATGTTCCCCAAGCTCCCATGTTCCCCAGCTCCCATGTTCCCCAGCTCCCCTGTTACCCAGCTCCCATGTTACACAGCTCCCATGTTACACAGCTCCCATGTTACCCATCTCCCCAGTTCCCCAGCTCCCCTGTTCCCCAGCTCCCCTGTTCCCCAGCTCCCCTGTTCCCCAGCTCCCATGTTCCCCAGCTCCCATGTTCCCCAGCTCCCCTGTTCCCCAGATCCCCTGTTCCCCAGCTCCACTGTTCCCCAGATCCCCTGTTCCCCAGCTCCACTGTTCCCCAGATCCCCTGTTCCCCAGCATCCCTGTTCCCCAGCGCCCATGTTCCCCAGCTCCCCTTTTACCCAGCTCCCCTGTTCCCTAGTTCCCCAGCTCCCATGTTCCCCAGCTCCCCTGTTCCCCAGCTCCCATGTTCCCCAGCTCCCATGTTCCCCAGCTCCCCTGTTCCTCAGCTCCCATGTTCCCCAAGCTCCCATGTTCCCCAGCTCCCATGTTCCCCAGCTCCCCTGTTACCCAGCTCCCATGTTACACAGCTCCCATGTTACCCATCTCCCCAGTTCCCCAGCTCCCCTGTTCCCCAGCTCCCCAGATCCCCTGTTCCCCAGCTCCCCTGTTCCCCAGCTCCCCAAGCTCCCATGTTCCCCAGCTCCCATGTTCCCCAGCTCCCCTGTTCCCCAGCTCCACTGTTCCCCAGATCCCCTGTTCCCCAGCTCCACTGTTCCCCAGATCCCCTGTTCCCCAGCATCCCTGTTCCCCAGCGCCCATGTTCCCCAGCTCCCCTTTTACCCAGCTCCCCTGTTCCCTAGTTCCCCAGCTCCCATGTTCCCCAGCTCCCCTGTTCCCCAGCTCCCATGTTCCCCAGCTCCCATGTTCCCCAGCTCCCCTGTTCTCCAGCTCCCCAGCGCCCATGTTCCCCAGCCCACATGTTCCCCAGCTCCCATGTTCCCCAGCTCCCATGTTCCCCAGCTCCCCATGTTCCCCAGCTCCCCAGTCTATGTACGCCTCAGATCACCCACCCACCAAAACGAGCGGCAACTATTAGACTTAAACATTGCATTGGGTGAATGCAGTTGACTTTATTTTTATCAAAATTATTTCGGACTTAGGGCCACTAAATTTTAAAAATAAAAACTGTTGCTTGATTCGTCAGCGCGGGTTTGAAGGTAAACAAGCTATTTAAAAAAAAAAAGTATAAAGAAACAGAGTGCATTACCTCCCCTTTGCTGCACAGTGTGATGACGGCGCTCATGATGCATTCGTAAACATTCTGGCCTTGACAGGTCAAACACTTTAATCCTGTGGGGCAAAAGGCAACATTTTAATCATGTGGGGCAAAAGACAACATTTTAATCCTGTAGGGCAAATGGCAACATTTTAATCCTGTGGGGCAAAAGGCAACATTTTAATCCTGTGGGGCAAAAGGCAACATTTTAAACCTGTGAGACAAAAGGCAACATTTTAATCCTGTAGGGCAAATGGCAACATTTTAATCCTGTGGGGCAAAAGGCAACATTTTAATCCTGTGAGACAAAAGGCAACATTTTAATCCTGTAGGGCAAAAGGCAACATTTTAATCCTGTAGGGCAAATGGCAACATTTTAATCCTGTGGGGCAAAAGGCAACATTTTAATCCTGTGGGGCAAAAGGCAACATTTTAAACCTGTGAGACAAAAGGCAACATTTTAATCATGTGGGGCAAAAGGCAACATTTTAATCCTGTGGGGCAAAAGGCAACATTTTAATCCTGTGGGGCAAAAGGCAACATTTTAATGCTGTGAGACAAAAGACAACATTTTAATCATATGGTGCAAGAAGTAACATTTAATATCTGTTGGGCAATAGACAACCTTCATGTTACACAAAAAGTCCGAATCCTTACGCCCTAAACTTGTGAGGTCATTTCTGGACGAGCCAAAGTCGCATTGTTCAAGCTGAAAAGATAGTCATGTCTTTGGCCTGCCGCAGATAAGCACGAGCCGTACTGATAGACATCGGGTAATGGAGATGTTTACTGCTAGCTCAGACTACACTAAAAGTGCACACTTCAGTTTACAATGGGCACCAGCGGCTCTGGGATTTTCTTGTGCATTGGGCTTTACGATGGAACATTATTTAACCCCCCCCCCCCCTCCACACACAGACTTATAACCTGGCAACATGAGGGTAGATGGAGTAGAGTAAAGGTCATGAAGCCCGAAGTTTAGAACATGTCTGAGTTTTTAGTTTTAAAACAAGCTTTCAAATCGAGATTTTTGTGATAGAGTCAGGTTGCTATGTCACGTGATAGAGGCAGGTTGCTATGTCACGTGATAGAGTCAGGTTGCTATGTCACGTGATCAAGGCAGGTTGCTATGTCACGTGATCGAGGCAGGTTGCTATGTCACGTGATCGAGGCAGGTTGCTATGTCACGTGATAGAGTCAGGTTGCTATGTCACGTGATCGAGGCAGGTTGCTATGTCACGTGATCGAGGCATGCTTCTACGTCAAGTACAATTGTTTGTTAATGTCTATAAATGCTTTATTTAAGAAAACAAAAATGCCCTTGCCTTGCGCCTTTTTTGTGCGCAGTTTTCAATTGTGCATCTTTCCGGTCACTGTTTAGAACCCCTGCTGTATATTTTGAACTACTGCTCTATGTTTAGAACCCCTGTTCTATGTTTTGAACTCTGCTCTATGTTTAGAACCCCTGTTCTATGTTTAGAACACCTGTCCAATGTTTCAAACCCTTGTTCTATGTTTAGAACCCCTGCTCAATGATGTCACAATTTGATGACCTTTGTTGAACTTGGTCGAATGTTTTTTTTTCCAGTTATTTAACCTTTGAACTAGCACTGAACAAGATGTTTTCTACAGTCTTATGTTGTGTATGACAGCTTTGTTTATGTTATTTGTATGTTGTTTGTATGTTGTTTGTATGTTGTTTGTGAGCTGTTTGTATGTTGATTGTAAGTTGTTAGTGATTTGTTTGTTTCTAGTTTGTATGATCGATATTTGTAGCAGTTCGCGTGAGTTTTGTACTTATTCACCTGACACGTGACTTTCAATAAAGCTTGACACGTGACAGCTGTCCTAAAGTATGGCCCACGAGCCTCGGCCATCCTAAACTGTCGGTCATCCTACACTGTCGGCCATCCTACACTGTCGGCCATCCTACACTGTCGGTCATCCTACACTGTCGGCCATCCTACACTGCCACAAGGCTAGGCCATCCTACACTGTCGGCCATCCTCCACTGTCGGCCATCCTACACTGTCGGCCATCCTACACTGTCACAAGGCTAGGCCATCCTACACTTTCGGCCATCCTACAATGTCAGCCATCCTACACTGTCGGCCATCCTACACTGTCGGCCATCCTACACTGTCACAAGGCTCGGCCATCCTACACTGTCGGCCATCCTACACTGAAGGCCATCCTACACTGAAGGCCATCCTACAATGGCCTTCTGTTATCAGCGATTAGAAAAAAAACATAACGTGATCAGGCTGTAACGCCCCATGTCAGTGGAACTATCACATTACGTCATATCTAATCTAGGCCAGTTGAAAACAGTTGAGTGACCGAAACATACAAACAGTTGAGTGAGTGACCGAAACATACAAACAGTTGAGTGAGTGACCGAAACATACAAACAGTTGAGTGAGTGACCGAAACATACAAACAGTTGAGTGACCGAAACATACAAACAGTTCAGTGATCGAAACATACAAACAGTTGAGTGAGTGACCGAAACATACAAACAGTTCAGTGACCAAAACATACAAACAGTTGAGTGACCGAAACATACAAACAGTTGAGTGAGTGACCGAAACATACAAACAGTTGAGTGAATGACCGAAACATACAAACAGTTGAGTGAGTGACCGAAACATACAAACAGTCGAGTGAGTGACCGAAACATACAAACAGTTGAGTGAGTGACTGAAACATACAAACAGTTGAGTGACTGAAACATACAAACAGTTGAGTGACCGAAACATACAAACAGTTGAGTGAGTGACCGAAACATACAAACAGTTGAGTGACCGAAACATACAAACAGTTCAGTGAGTGACCGAAACATACAAACAGTTGAGTGAATGACCGAAACATACAAACAGTTGAGTGACCAAAACATACAAACAGTTGAGTGACCAAAACATACAAACAGTTGAGTGAGTGACCGAAACATACAAACAGTTGAGTGAGTGACCGAAACATACAAACAGTTGAGTGAGTGACCGAAACATACAAACAGTTGAGTGACCGAAACATACAAACAGTTCAGTGATCGAAACATACAAACAGTTGAGTGAGTGACCGAAACATACAAACAGTTCAGTGACCAAAACATACAAACAGTTGAGTGACCGAAACATACAAACAGTTGAGTGAGTGACCGAAACATACAAACAGTTGAGTGAATGACCGAAACATACAAACAGTTGAGTGAGTGACCGAAACATACAAACAGTCGAGTGAGTGACCGAAACATACAAACAGTTGAGTGAGTGACTGAAACATACAAACAGTTGAGTGACTGAAACATACAAACAGTTGAGTGACCGAAACATACAAACAGTTGAGTGAGTGACCGAAACATACAAACAGTTGAGTGACCGAAACATACAAACAGTTCAGTGAGTGACCGAAACATACAAACAGTTGAGTGAATGACCGAAACATACAAACAGTTGAGTGACCAAAACATACAAACAGTTGAGTGACCAAAACATACAAACAGTTGAGTGAGTGACCGAAACATACAAACAGTTGAGTGAGTGACCGAAACATACAAACAGTTGAGTGAGTGACCGAAACATACAAACAGTTGAGTGAGTGACCGAAACATACAAACAGTTGAGTGAGTGACCGAAACATACAAACATTTGAGTGAGTGACCGAAACATACAAACAGTTGAGTGACCGAAACATACAAACAGTTGAGTGAGTGACTGAAACATACAAACAGTTGAGTGACTGAAACATACAAACAGTTGAGTGACCGAAACATACAAACAGTTGAGTGAGTGACTGAAACATACAAACAGTTGAGTGACTGAAACATACAAACAGTTGAGTGAGTGACCGAAACACACAAACATTTCAGTGATCGAAACATACAAACAGTTGAGTGAGTGACCAAAACATACAAACAGTTGAGTGAGTGACCAAAACATACAAACAGTTGAGTGAGTGACCGAAACATACAAACAGTTGAGTGAGTGACCGAAACATACAAACAGTTGAGTGAGTGACCAAAACATACAAACAGTTGAGTGAGTGACCAAAACATACAAACAGTTGAGTGAGTGACCGAAACATACAAACAGTTGAGTGAGTGACCAAAACATACAAACATTTCAGTGATCGAAACATACAAACAGTTGAGTGAGTGACCAAAACATACAAACAGTTGAGTAACCGAAACATACAAACAGTTGAGTGACCGAAACATACAAACAGTTGAGTGACCGAAACATACAAACAGTTGAGTGACCGAAACATACAAACAGTTGAGTGACCGAAACATACAAACAGTTGAGTGAGTGACCGAAACATACAAACAGTTGAGTGAGTGACCGAAACATACAAACAGTTGAGTGACCGAAACATACAAACAGTTGAGTGAGTGACTGAAACATACAAACAGTTGAGTGACTGAAACATACAAACAGTTGAATGACTGAAACATACAAACAGTTGAGTGAGTGACCGAAACATACAAACATTTCAGTGATCGAAACATACAAACAGTTCAGTGATCGAAACATACAAACAGTTGAGTGAGTGACCGAAACATACAAACAGTTGAGTGTGTGACCAAAACATACAAACAGTTGAGTGAGTGACCAAAACATACAAACAGTTGAGTGAGTGACCGAAACATACAAACAGTTGAGTGAGTGACCGAAACATACAAACAGTTGAGTGAGTGACCGAAACATACAAACAGTTGAGTGACCGAAACATACAAACAGTTGAGTGAGTGACCAAAACATACAAACAGTTGAGTGACCGAAACATACAAACAGTTGAGTGAGTGACTGAAACATACAAACAGTTGAATGACTGAAACATACAAACAGTTGAGTGAGTGACCGAAACATACAAACATTTCAGTGATCGAAACATACAAACAGTTCAGTGATCGAAACATACAAACAGTTGAGTGAGTGACCGAAACATACAAATAGTTGAGTGTGTGACCAAAACATACAAACAGTTGAGTGACCGAAACATACAAACAGTTGAGTGTGTGACCAAAACATACAAACAGTTGAGTGAGTGACCGAAACATACAAACAGTTGAGTGAGTGACTGAAACATACAAACAGTTGAGTGAGTGACCGAAACATACAAACAGTTGAGTGAGTGACCGAAACATACAAACAGTTGAGTGAGTGACCGAAACATACAAACAGTTGAGTGGGTGACCGAAACAGCATTTTTGAAAATTAAGTGATTAGTTTTAAGTAGTTAAACATCAAATCGAATACCAACACCCTAGCACCAATATTTTTCAATAGCAGTTTAGTGGTAACAGATCGATGGTAGGAAAAAAAAAAGTCCCAGGAAAAAATAAAACCCAGGGAAAAAAAAAACAGAAAAAAGGTCACAGGAAAAAAGTCACAAGAAAAAAAATGGAATTTGTTGGTATTTTAATGAATTATATATTCAGAGAGTGCAAATTTACTTAGGATGAATTAAATGTAATGTAATGTGTGTAGGTTGTATACGCATGGTAATTTTTATAATTCATCTAAAAATATTTAGTATCAAGTATGTAGATTGTAATTATGTTTAACATAATATTAATAGCATTTAATAGAATGTTCCAACGACCTCGGTTTTCATCGTGTTTATTTTTTAAATTCCAACATTAAATTACCTTGAAATGGTAAGTTCATCTGACCGCAGAACATATACAAAACACAATGATGTGCCTACATTTCTTTTATAATTAATTTTTCTACCTCGCATCTAACTAAATATGTAACAAATGTTGAGATTGTTGTGTTAATTATCTTAGAGTATTTTTACTTACAATTGTTATAAACCATAATGCTTTTAACGTCTATAAATAATATATGCTATAAAAAATACAACCCACAACAATAAACATACAAAATCTTATAATTTTCAACAAATAAATAAAAAGATTTCTGAAAAGATTTTAGTGACATTTATTTCTGTGACTTATTTTTCTGTGACTTTTTTTCTGTGACTTTTTTTCCTAGCCCGGTCCTACGGCAGGCGTGGTCTCTCGGATTCGAACCCTAACCCACCACGATCACACCAAACGTCGGGGAGTATACAGGCGCGACTCATGGCTAGTGTCGACCAAAATGACGGGAACACGTGACCAGGATTGTGTGAGAACATTTAGAGCAATACGTGACCTTTCATTCTGAAAGATTTGATTTTGTCAGCTGCAATGGTTGACATGAAACACAAATTTTCTTGTCAATCCTTAATATAAAAGCCAATGTGCGCACTTTTCTCTCTCTCTCTCTCTCTCTATGTCCGCAAAATATTTTCGCAGGATATCACATCAGAATCTTCAGCGATTTATGGAGAACTTGATACGGACTTTTGTTGAAAATAATATGTTAGATGTTTTAAATGTATAACCACAATTTTATTTAAAGAAGAAAAATATAAAATAAAGGCGTATTCGAATGTAGAAAAACAGTTTTAATTATGCAACAGGAAAAGTGTTTATAATTGTGAAAAAGAACGCATAAAACAGTGACGTCAAATGCCAATTGTTTACAGTAAAGTACACAAAACTCATGGCGTCATCTTCCGATTTTAGAATATTAAAAAATGAATTATTTCATTCAAATTTGATTTAGATCTATGTACGCTATGAAATGTATACAATACAATTTCATCGGCCTAAACTTATAAAATTCACTTCATCTATTTGGATTCTAGAGATTCTAGATCTTGACTAGATCTACCGAAATCTAGACGTAGACGCTAAGATCTAGATTTAGACTATCTACTCTAGATTCTATTCCCATAATAAATTTCTGTATTTAACTATTTCAGGCCTTAATTATTTTATAGAAATCGTTATTTAGCTATGGAATTGGCTAACTTGGGATAAAGATAAAATTTATTTTGAAAGAATAGGGCCATTCGCGTAAGTTAAGTGAATTAAGTAGGTCTTTTTATTCTACATGTTACATAAGGTGCCTAAATAGTTGAGATGAGAGTGTAATTGATACCATGTGGGTGGTACGGGTCGAGACACACCAAGTCAATCTTAACTTTTATTCATTTTTTTTGTATATGGGGTCATCCATAAATGACGTCTCGCTGTTTTTGACGATTTTTACCTCCCCCTCCCCTCCGTCACACATCGTCACAAAAAGCCAGACCCCCCCTAAAATGACGCCACACCTCAGCCTACTACCCCCTCCCCCCTACGAGTGTGACATCATTTATGGACGACCCCTATGTTGATAATAAAGTTGCCTATGGGGACTTGGCGGGACACGGGGCAGGTGAAGTAGAGTTTACCTGTATCTGTCTTTTTAGCCTATGTGTGGTCAGACCCATGCTCAGCCGAAATATGTGTTTTTAAAACAAAATCAACATAACTACCATGGAACAACCGGTTTTTTAAAGAAATCTTTTAAGTCTCTTAATTTTAAGTCTCTTAATCACACGCGTTTTTATTTTTGAGAAATCGGAAATAGCTTAAATTACTACTTCATGATATTACTCAAAATTTGACAGAAGGCAGAGAATTAGATCTCTTACTTACATGTGAAATTTCATTTATCTAGCTAAAATAGTAATCTAGTTATAGGCTTATGAAAAACCAAAAGTGGAATAAGTTTCACTTCCGGTTACCGGAAATCGATGAAAAGTTTATACAGAACTACAAATTTTATATACTTGTATATGAAATTTCATCAACCTAGCTGTAACGGTATTCAAGCTATCATGTTCTCTCTCTCTCTCTCTCACACACACACACAGACAAACGGACAGAATTGCAAAGCCCAGTTTTTCCGACTCGACTACGCATAGAACACCGAAATTTTGATAAATATGTAAATCTGCATTTATTATTTTTGTCCGAAGTCCCCTATACTCCGTATGTGACGTAGTACTGAGGTGTAAAACGATAAAAACTGTCTAAATTTCATTTGATTTTTGTGCACGATTACAATACCTCCGTTATACTCTGTATACGAGAAAGTAAAAAAGGTGTGTGTGAGTTGATATTTGTAGGTGTTCGCAAGTACATACGGGGTCATTAAGTTATACGCAGGTGTATAGTGGTGTTGGTATGTACACGGTGAGTGCAGGTACCTGCACGTGTACGCAGGTGTGGGTGAGTGATGGCACTTAAGGAAGCGACTTACCGTCAACCAGAGACAATGTCAGCATGCAGGCTAGAACAGTTCCAGTGGCAGACGCGCTGTCCAAAAACCCCATTGTTGAGCTGCCTCGGGCGGCGTCATGCGACACGTCAGAGACTGGACGCGACAACAACAGATCCTTAGCGTGGACAGCACATATCCTGGCAGACCAGCGCGTGACCAGTTGACTACCGCGCCGCCTGCCGCGGTCAAGTGAGCCGCGCTGAGCCAGCGTGTGACGGCCAGACCCGCTATCCCCACCACTCGCCCGTCTCTCCATCCACTCGCTTGTTTCCTCGCTCGTTTCTCTCTGCTCATCTCTGAGGCCAGGGTTGATGCCCTTGGCTGATATTTAAAGGAAAGAGTGACGGCTAATCATGGACAGTCATGCAGACACACCGGTCTGTCGAACATTCCAGAGTAATGAGAGGGGAATCACCATGACTACCAGTAACATTTACAAACACCATCCCACCCACCCACTAGCATCCCCACTCCAATAATTTGGGCAAACAGCAGTATAAAAACACGGAAACACAATCTGTATGGAGGATTGTTTCTTCTGCTAATTGGTATGAGAAAAAATTACGTGACCAAATAAACAGATGAAGACTTATTTCTGTCTTTGACTGGTAGCTGAGTATGGCAGTGATTGTCGCATACAGATATGTGGGTTACATGGTTTGGTGGTGACACAGTTTGGTGGTGACACAGTTTGGTGGTGACAGTTGGTGAAACAGTTGGTGGTGACACAGTTTGGTGGTAACACAGTTTGGTGGTAACACAGTTTGGTGGTAACACAATTTGGTGGTGACAGACACAGTTTGGTGGTGACAGTTGGTGAAACAGTTGGTGGTGACAGTTGGTGACACAGTTTGGTGGTGACACAGTTTGGTGGTAACACAGTTTGGTGGTAACACAGTTTGGTGGTGACACAGTTTGGTGGTGACACAGTTTGGTGGTGACACAGTTTGGTGGTGACACAGTTTGGTGGTGACACAGTTTGGTGGTGACACAGTTTGGTGGTGACACAGTTTGGTGGTGACACAGTTTGGTTGTGACACAGTTTGGTGGTGACACAGTTTGGTGGTGACAGTTGGTGACACAGTTTGGTGGTGACACAGTTTGGTGGTGACAGTTGGTGACACAGTTTGGTGGTGACACAGTTTGGAGGTGACACAGTTTGGTGGTGACACAGTTTGGTGGTGACACAGTTTGGTGGTAACACAGTTTGGTGGTGACACAGTTTGGTGGTGACACAGTTTGGTGGTGACACAGTTTGGTGGTGACACAGTTTGGTGGTGACACAGTTTGGTGGTGACAGTTGGTGACACAGTTTGGTGGTGACACAGTTTGGTGGTGACATAGTGTTGGTTATACGGCTTGTGGGTGACGCATCTGATTAGTGACACTGATGGTACGGCCATGACCAAATGTGAGACCCCAATTAAATGTACGACCCCAATTGAATGTACGACCCCAATTAAATGTACGACCCCAATTAAATGTACGACCCCAATTAAATGTACGACCCCAATTAAATGTACGACCCCAATTGAATGTACGACCCCAATTAAATGTACGACCCCAATTGAATGTACGACCCCAATTGAATGTACGACCCCAATTGAATGTACGACCCCAATTGAATGTACGATCCCAATTGAATGTACGACCCCAATTAAATGTGCGACCCCAATTAAATGTATGACCCCAATTTAATGTACGACCCCAATTGAATGTACGACCCCAATTGAATGTACGACCCCAATTAAATGTACGACCCCAATTGAATGTACGACCCCAATTGAATGTACGACCCCAATTAAATGTATGACCCCAATTAAATGTACGACCCCAATTGAATGTACGACCCCAATTAAATGTACGACCCCAATTGAATGTACGACCCCAATTGAATGTACGATCCCAATTGAATGTACGACCCCAATTAAATGTGCGACCCCAATTAAATGTATGACCCCAATTGAATGTACGACCCCAATTGAATGTACGACCCCAATTGAATGTACGACCCCAATTGAATGTACGACCCCAATTGAATGTACGACCCCAATTAAATGTACGACCCCAATTGAATGTACGACCCCAATTGAATGTACGACCCCAATTGAATGTACGACCCCAATTAAATGTATGACCCCAATTGAATGTACGACCCCAATTGAATGTACGACCCCAATTGAATGTACGACCCCAATTAAATGTACGACCCCAATTGAATGTACGACCCCAATTGAATGTACGACCCCAATTAAATGTATGACCCCAATTGAATGTACGACCCCAATTGAATGTACGACCCCAATTGAATGTACGACCCCAATTGAATGTACGACCCCAATTGAATGTACGACCCCAATTGAATGTACGACCCCAATTAAATGTACGACCCCAATTGAATGTACGACCCCAATTGAATGTACGACCCCAATTGAATGTACGACCCCAATTGAATGTACGACCCCAATTGAATGTACGACCCCAATTGAATGTACGACCCCAATTGAATGTACGACCCCAATTGAATGTACGACCCCAATTAAATGTACGACCCCAATTAAATGTACGACCCCAATTAAATGTACGACCCCAATTAAATGTACGACCCCAATAATTAAATGTACGACCCCAATTAAATGTACGACCCCAATTGAATGTACGACCCCAATTAAATGTACGACCCCAATTAAATGTACGACCCCAATTAAATGTACGACACCAATTGAATGTACGACCCCAATTGAATGTACGACCCCAATTAAATGTACGACCCCAATTAAATGTACGACCCCAATTAAATGTACGACCCCAATAAATTGTGCGACCCCATGCTGGCCTGTACGGGCCTTTGCTAAAACTAAATAGAAAGACAGAAGCTTCAGTGGACCAATCTTGAGGCCCACTAGTACAGAACATCGTCGAAATGTTTGGGCTAATCGCCGAACATTGGGACGTATCGATTCGCTCCACAAGTTCAATAGCAGGAAGGTTATAGAATTGTATATCTGCACTTAACAATCATTCAGGGATGTTGACTCATTATGACTGTATAATTATGATGGTGCACTGTGTATAATTATGATGGTGCACTATGTATAATTATGATGGTCACTGTATAATTATGATGGTGCACTGTGTATAATTATGATGGTGCACTGTCCTTATGAAAGACCCGGAAGCCAAAATCGCACCCTGTCGGGTCGCCGCCCCTTAGAAATAAAACTTTAAACATTAATTTTTAAAGAAAGCTTCCCAGAAGTATTCTAACAACTTGCCAAAGTTTCATGGTGATCGGTGAAAGAAGTAATATAAATGCTTAAAGGAGAAGATTAAAGACAATTAAAAGAAAATTAAAAGGGCGCTTTTTCACCTACAGTAATAACTTAATATAGAAATGGGAAGGAGGACGCAAAATTAATAGTCCGTTTCGGGCTACGCTTCTAGGGAGGGGGCGCAAATCAATAGTTTGTCCCGGGCGTAAGAGCGGGCTGCTACGCCTCTGTTACACAAATACAAATATAAGTAGGCCTATACGAGAAATATAATGTAAGTAGGCCTAAACGAGAAATATAATGTAAGTAGGCCTATACGAGAAAGTTTAGGGGAGTTCAATGTCGCGTTATTAAATATAAATCCAGACCTAGAAGGCTAATCATTAAATTAGGCTAATTTTTATTAATTTAATATCTATTAGATAAAAAATTAGAATCGCTGAATTAGAAATGGGTTAAAAGTTAGTAACAAGAATTGACTACAAACTGCACAAACCCACAGACATTTTAATAATTAATTTGAGTTAATGTTATTCAATGAAAACTAAACACTATCACTAAATAACTAAATAGAAATACGTTCGCAGAAAGCATTTTGTAATTTAAAATTTATGAAACAATTTCACATGCACTAAGCCTTTGTATTTCTGGTCTATAGGCCCTAAACTATGGAATATTATATTCGTAAATGTAGGAGGCTTATATTTTTATAAAGTTTCTTACTTAATATGACCTACATTTACATTTGTAATTTCTTAACACACAAGATGGCTGATTCTAGCATGGCGGTCAATTTAGGTACAAAATTGAATTGTTATGAATATTTAGATCTAGATCTAGATCTAGAAACAAAGATTAAAAAGAGAGTTATTTTAATTAAACGTTTGGCGTTTATTTTTAATTGTATTGAAATATGCTACTAATCATAAATGACTAGATCTAGAGCATCCTGATCAGAAATCTAATAAATTCTAAACTACTAAACTTTACGATGCGAGTAATCTAGACTAGAATCTAGATTCTAGATTTCTAGATCTAGACTAGAATCTAGATCTAGAATCTAGAAACAAGTGAGAGAGAGAGAGAAGAAAGATCTGATTATTGTTTTTTTATCACTTCATTTTCAAAACTAAACAGTAGATTGATCTAGATTTAGAGAGAGTAGATATCATAGATTAAAAAAAGTGTTTGTTGTAGGATTGTAGGTGGCTGAAGAAAAATGCCACCCCAATGAGATGCCTGGAAGAAACTCTGGTCCCCAAACTTATATTTGATACTGATAGTTAATGCGGCCCTCGGGCTGAAAAGTTTGGAGACCCCTGATCTAGATATCTAGATCTCGATTTTGTAGATCTAAAAACTATTAACTATTAAAAATAGATCTAACTCATTCATTCAAACTTGTCATTGTTTATTAAAGTTTAGTTTGATCTAGATCTAGAATTCTAGATCTAAATTCTAGATCTATTTTATTTTAGAAGAAAAGATCTGATTATTGTTTTTTTATCACTTCATTTTCAAAACTAAACAGTAGATTGATCTAGATTTAGAGAGAGTAGATATCATAGATTAAAAAAAGTGTTTGTTGTAGGTGGCTGAAGAAAAATGCCACCCCAATGAGATGCCTGGAAGAAACTCTGGTCCCCAAACTTATATTTGATACTGATAGTTAATGCGGCCCTAGGGCTGAAAAGTTTGGAGACCCCTGATCTAGATATCTAGATCTCGATTTTGTAGATCTAAAAACTTAACTATTAAAAATAGATCTAACTCATTCATTCAAACTTGTCATTGTTTATTAAAGTTTAGTTTGATCTAGATCTAGAATTCTAGATCTAAATTCTAGATCTATTTTATTTTAGTCATCTAGGCCTATATTAAAAAGTATTTAGTATTTGCTTGTACAGACAACTGACCTTTCTGTTACTATATTGAACGAGCCGACCCGCGGCATATCATACGCCGCTATTTAGTTGTATTTTCTACTTTTCAGTAATTCATAATTTGTGAATTCGACAGTACCAATGCTGCCACTGAAAATATTTGCTTTAAAACACTACCCCCCCCCAACCCCTACCCTACACCCCCCCCCCCCCCCTGAAAGCAGCCTCCTCTTAGTTACCTCCTGTAAGTTTAAAATCGTTTCAAACTAAATTATCTGCCCATAATAGCGGTCAACAAACCCGGTTCTACGATTTGTAAACATTTAGTGTGACCACAGCTCACCAGATCATGTGGAGGTGGGGTGGGGGTGGTAGTGATAGAGAAAGAGAGGGGACTGCAAGGAGGCGCTTGCAGTTTGTTTTCTAACGGCTCCCAGAAGAGAATTATATATATAGATTCTGTTCGTAATTGAGCAACCTTTTAAACTGTTGGGACCTATAAGTTTGTTTGATTTCTGTATTATTTTAGACGAAGTATGATTGAATCAGATTTTTACCCTCTGTGGCGACGTGCTAATTAGGGGGAGGCTATTTCTGAAAATCTATACATGATGCGGCAATTGCTGTCCAACTGAACTGCTCTGCTGTGCTTCGAATCGCGTCTTTACACAGATGATGCGTTACAAATTTAGTATGCACGTATCGAGTTTATGTACTACCACAGTTAAATTTGGCATACAAGCGTATTAAATGTAGATGATAACGCTCAGTGTTCGTGGTCAGAATAAGTCAAAAGACTTTTGGAGATATTAGACCGCAAAGTTGAACTAAGTTTCCAGGTCTATTAATGGATCTATTTTACATTTAAACCCTGAGCTGTATTTCTGGAATCTCGACATTTATTTAAATGTATGACATTTATAATATAACCTCCCAATAGAGCTATCTACACATCATGCAGCACAGCACAGTGTGTGGTCATGTGACGCTAGGCGGTCGAATTGATTGGATATTACAATAAACAATATCTAAAGATAGATAGGCCTATATGTGTTCCCATGTTTGACTTGACAGCTATTGCTATTTAATAGAAAAGCACACAGACATGTTTCATAAATTTTTACAAGCATTTACTGCACAAGACTTATTGTCAAAATTGATATTCTATAGAAATTAATCCGGATAACTGCAGCCCAATCAAGTAGTGCTGATGTGATTTGCGTTGCTTTTAAATATTTGGTACATTAATTTTTCGTAAAACTGGCGTTAAAAAAATTAATTGAATTCTGTCCTGGTTCTTATTTTTGTTTGACTACAAATTTTAATACCCTTAACAATGTGCCAAATCGACCAAAATGGGATGAGCGGGTAGGGGTAGTCACTGACTGTGTCCTACACGATATGTAACATCCATAGCCTCACCCCACCCCCACTAGTCCGTGACACGACTTTCCGACGAGTGTTGCCTTTGATGATGTATAACACCCGACGGTACGTGGTGGTATCATACCCAACTTCCCTCCCCAGTCACTTTGTGGAGTTGTTGTTACTAACCCTCGGGCATAGATCAAGAAATCTTGCCAGACTTTTGTCTCTGAAATTACAAAATAATCATCTGATATGTTCATCAGGTTGGCAGACTAGCCTATCCAGTGTCACGATTATGTAATAGGGCAATAAAATTCGTTGGTCAGAAGACCTGGTTACACGGGTCAGATTAAACTAAATCTATGCAAAAGATGGTGGCAATACATGTGTCTGTGTATAGCCAAACACAGTAATCTTACACTATTTCTAAAATCTACTACACAGTCAAGCATTCAAACCCATGCTTTTTTTCTTAAGAAAGTTTTTAAATGTAAAAGGCCTACTGGTAGGCCTACAAAATAGATAAACCAAGTACTTGCATAAACATTGGGCATATGTATATATAAATCTATGTTATAGACCTATAACTTACACTATACCTTGTGCAAGTTAAAAAATAACTTTTTCCTCCAATGTTTATTTTATTGAAATTGTAAAAATGATAAATTTGAATATGTTTAAAAATTTAACATAATTATCATAAAGCACACTGTGGTTCTGATCAGACACAATTGTAACTAGACTAATGTAATAGCTGAAAGTTATTTGATATTTAAAATAACAAGAAAAATTATTAGATAGGCCTATATTTTTAGAATAGAGTAGGCCTATAGGATTGCATATAGATTACATAACATCGTTTAAGAAGTTAAATAATAAAAAACATACTATTGTTATAGCATCCTACTCTTTGTATTAAAAAACTTTTGGCCTATTAGTTATATTTTCTTTTAGTAGGCTTTTCACTTGGACTTTACTGACAATGAGCAAAAGTGATTTCAAAACTAATTCATGGTATAATTTGAGCAAAGTGGGGGAAACGTAACCTTTTCATTAAATAGTTATGTAACAATGTTGGACCATTTTAAATGCTACCATTAGATTCAGCATATACAAATGTCACATTATAAATTAAAATAGAAAATAGTGTTAAATTTAAAGAATGACTTCTTATCGCATGTATTATTATATGTTCTTAAAAAAATTTACAGGGGGTATTACATAATCTGAGATTAGTTAGTTATGTAATCAAAGGACACTTTTTAAAATAGCATCATTGGATTCGGCATACAAAAATATAAAAAAAAAATACTTAAAAAAAACTTTTTAAAAAACCACGTTTTTCTTGTGGACTAAAAAGTAGAAAATAACTATTTACATACATTTGATGACAAAAAACGTGGGTACGTTCACCATCAAATTTCCCGACCCACGTTTTTTGTCATCAAATGTATGTAAATAGTTATTTTCTACTTTTTAGTCCACAAGAAAAACGTGGTTTTTTAAAAAGTTTTTTTTAAGTATTTTATGTTCTCCTTTTTAGTCCGTTGCTACACATGAAAAACCTGGTTTTTAAAAAGTTTTTATATAGTTTATTTTCTACTTTATCTAATCACTTGATTAAGTATGACTTGACTAAGTGTTTTTAAATCCACGGACTAAAAAAATCTTAAGCGACCGATACGCTTTAAACAGAGAAAGGGTGTAATTTACGTTGCTGGCGTGGAGATCTACTCACGAATCACGTGATCAAATCTCCCATAAACAAACAAATAAACGCGAAGCTGAGTTAAGGAAAAACGTGTTTATGTGTATTTTAGCATGCCCAGCGTACCAACCGTGTCACCGTTAACAATGTGTTACCGTGTCCGTTCTCCTTTTTAGTCCGTTGCTACACATAAAAAACGTGTTTTTTAAAAAAGTGTTTATAAATACACGGACTAAAAATCTTGAGTGACCAGGATTCGAACCTGGGTTGTCGCGGCCACAGCGCGAAGTACTAACCACTATACGATCACGGCCAGCGCGCTCACATCGATTGGGGCCGAAGTAACTGTGTCAATAGGCCTCAAGTCTTGTCGGTATCTTTAGAAAACATGTCCTCAATTTTATGGTCCTTGGGGCGTAATTAAATTAAGCTAATTACGGTCACTAATTGCTAGTTTTTATGATTGCATCTGAAATTGTTAGGCGAAAGTAGCATGCATGCCAAATTTCAGGTCTCTAGAGCAATCAGAAGTGGGCTAATTTTCGATGTCAATTTTAACAACAAACATCCAAACAACCAAACAAACAAACAAACGCGAAGCTGAGTTAAGAAAAACGTTTTAATGACATGATTTCAATTGATGAAGTCTGCTTGCTTTAATACCACTTTTAGTAAAAAATTGTTAAATATTTGGTCCATACCCTCTCAGTATTTTTCCTTTTTCATGGCTTATACTGGTTGTCTGGAAAAACTGCAATTTTTTAATGACTAAAAAATTCATAACTTTTTTGTTTATGGTCAGATTTAAAAAATTCAAACTGATCTGTAATCAGAATGACACCCTATTCAAGTATGTAACTATTAAATTGTTTTACTAAAAAAAATTTTTTTGCATTGGCTTAGCTAAATTGAAATAAACCCAACATGTAGGCGGACATTTTGAGCACAACCTCATCTAGACATCGTCATGTCTGTTTAAAATTTTTTTTTTTTTTTTTAGAATAGGCTAACTAAAATTGAATACTAGACCTATATGCTTAAAAACAGGGCCTTCAGGCCACACCTTTTATTTTCAGGTTATAGTTTATAGTATAGGCCTATGCTGTTACTTTTACAAATTACATTTTTAAGGGGTAGTTGTGGGATAACTGACTTAACTCCAATTATTGGACGTAAAATGGACATTTTTTTTACTACCAATGCTATGTTTTTGTATAAAACATCCAACTTTTCATTTTTACGCTTAAATACAAAATTAAAACAGAACCAGAGCTTGAACTTTTGAGGTTTTATAAAGGCCATTCTTGGTTTATTAAATAAAGAAGATTTATAAGCCCCAAACCTACTTACTAAATACAAAATAGAAAAACACAAATGTATGAAACTGAAAAATTAATATGACATTTCAATATATTGTTTTTATAAACTGCATTTAATATAAATACCCAGTCTACCTGTTATACTAGTTATAGGGAAAAAGCAAGGGTCAGTATTGATTGATTATTGAAGGCATAATATATCATTAATCCCAAGTGATTTAAGCATTACATTATCAATCCTCATAAACTTGACTGTATGTGTTATATAAATGGTAGGTTAGTGATTTAAATTTAAGGCTCAACTTAATAACTTGCTGTAGTATTCATAATTTGACAAATGTATTAGGTCTGGATATATGATAAACTATTTTATTGATCAAATTGGTTGATTGAATGTGTTCTCTGTGTTCTTTGTAAAACAGCTGCCCGTGTCTGGGCACCATTCATGGAACTGAAAGAACTCGTTGAATGTGCTGTTACCAAGAGGCAACCTGGCTTAGCCCGTGACCTGGAAATAGCCTTGCGGAAACACAGGCCAGATTTCATAAGTCTTCTTAAAAAACCTGTGAGTTGCAGATGCTTTATCTTAGCTTTGACAGTCATGAAGCTTTTTTCTGTAGCTTTAGAAAATATCTTTAAAAACTATATTCTGTATTTTAGAGTCGAAATGCCACCCATGGAGATTTGGTAAGAAAATCCCATCTAGAAGGTATAGCAGTTGAAGGGGAGCAGAGGAGGCAGACATTCTCACAACAATTTATTGCTGAGGCAATTATTTTAAGTGAACTCTTTGAGCTCAATGAACTTGCAGCTGTGGAATTACTTATGGCAGGTTAGTCTCATGCTTTCACCATGAAAATTCCGTTAATTTGTTGCCTCTGGCATGTTTATTAAAAGATTTTTTTTGTACTAGGGGAAAATCAGTTGCCCAATCATCCTGGTCTGACAAGAGGACTAGTTGCAGTTTTGTTGTTTTTTGATGGTCAGCGCTGCCTGGTAGCTGCTCTCAGGGCTTTGGCTCAAGCCAGAGATGGCAGGACATGGACTGTAGGAATCAGCCAGGAACTCCAGGCCATGATCAGTGCCTTCATTGAGGACCTTGTGCAGGAGGATATTGTCACAACAATACTTGGTAAGGTGCTAGTACTGAAGTTTTCAATATTGTGTCAAACAATACTTGGTAAGGTGCTAGTACTGAAGTTTTCAATATTGTGTCAAACAATACTTGGTAAGGTGCTAGTACTGAAGTTTTCAATATTGTGTCAAACAATACTTGGTAAGGTGCTAGTACTGAAGTTTTCAATATTGTGTCAAACAATACTTGGTAAGGTGCTAGTACTGAAGTTTTCAATATTGTGTCAAACAATACTTGGTAAGGTGCTAGTACTGAAGTTTTCAATATTGTGTCAAACAATACTTGGTAAGGTGCTACTACTGCAGTTTTCAATATTGTGTCAAACAATACTTGGTAAGGTGCTAGTACTGAAGTTTTCAATATTGTGTCAAACAATACTTGGTAAGGTGCTACTACTGCAGTTTTCAATATTGTCACAACAATACTTGGTAAGGTGCTAGTACTGAAGTTTTCAATATTGCGTCAAACAATACTTGGTAAGGTGCTACTACTGCAGTTTTCAATATTGTCACAACAATACTTGGTAAGGTGCTAGTACTGCAGTTTTCAATATTGTCACAACAATACTTGGTAAGGTGCTAGTACTGCTGTTTTCAATATTGTGGCAAACAACAATACTTGGTAAGGTGCTAGTACTGCAGTTTTCAATATTGTGGCAATAGCAATCTAGTGTCACATCCTTTTGGTTTGTCACTTGATCTCATCATTTAAATGGATTTTTATTACTGCTTAGATTAACGGTTCTTTATGGTCTAGACAAATGGTTGGTCATCATTGTTTAGATTAATGAATGGCTTTTGTCTAGATACATGGCTTTTTATTTAATTAGTGCTTAGACAATTAAGTTTGCTTATTGTCTAGATTAACAGTTTCTTATTATTATCTAGATTAACAGTTCCTTAATATTTTTTAGACAAACAGTTCCTCATTATCTAGATGTATGGTCCAATTATTGTTGAGATTAATGGTTTCTCATTAATGTTAGGAACTGTATGTTCACATTGTTTTAGTCTTTGAACATTGTATTTGAACTGATTAGTAATTTACTTATTCTTTACACTAATTTACCTTTTTTTTTTACTTAATTGCTAGATCTGATCAAAAGTATGGATTTGGTAAAGGAAATGGGAAGATTACAGAAAGACAGAGCTTTAGGTCCACCAAAACACAGAAAACAGGTTACTAGTTTCTACTGAAGTTTCTGTAATTGTTTAGTCATACATTGGCTGTGATTGCCCCTAGTTTGTACAGCAAGGTTTAACCCTGTAAGGTTTAACCCTGTTTAGCCATACATTGACTGATTGCCCCTAGTTTGTACAGCAAGGTTTAACCCTGTAAGGTTTAACCCTGTTTAGCCATACATTGGCTGTGATTGCCCCTAGTTTGTACAGCAAGGTTTAACCCTGTAAGGTTTAACCCTGTTTAGTCATACATTGGCTGTGATTGCCCCTAGTTTGTACAGCAAGGTTTAACCCTGTAAGGTTTAACCCTGTTTAGCCATACATTGACTGTGATTGCCCCTAGTTTGTACAGCAAGGTTTAACCCTGTAAGGTTTAACCCTGTTTAGTCATACATTGGCTGTGATTGCCCCTAGTTTGTACAGCAAGGTTTAACCCTGTAAGGTTTAACCCTGTTTAGCCATACATTGACTGTGATTGCCCCTAGTTTGTACAGCAAGGTTTAACCCTGTAAGGTTTAACCCTGTTTAGCCATACATTGGCTGTGATTGCCCCTAGTTTGTACAGCAAGGTTTAACCCTGTAAGGTTTAACCCTGTTTAGTCATACATTGGCTGTGATTGCCCCTAGTTTGTACAGCAAGGTTTAACCCTGTAAGGTTTAACCCTGTTTAGCCATACATTGACTGTGATTGCCCCTAGTTTGTACAGCAAGGTTTAACCCTGTAAGGTTTAACCCTGTTTAGTCATACATTGGCTGTGATTGCCCCTAGTTTGTACAGCAAGGTTTAACCCTGTAAGGTTTAACCCTGTTTAGCCATACATTGGCTGTGATTGCCCCTAGTTTGTACAGCAAGGTTTAACCCTGTAAGGTTTAACCCTGTTTAGTCATACATTGGCTGTGATTGCCCCTAGTTTGTACAGCAAAGTTTAACCCTGTAAGGTTTAACCCTGTTTAGCCATACATTGACTGTGATTGCCCCTAGTTTGTACAGCAAGGTTTAACCCTGTAAGGTTTAACCCTGTTTAGCCATACATTGGCTGTGATTGCCCCTAGTTTGTACAGCAAGGTTTAACCCTGTAAGGTTTAACCCTGTTTAGTCATACATTGGCTGTGATTGCCCCTAGTTTGTACAGCAAGGTTTAACCCTGTAAGGTTTAACCCTGTTTAGCCATACATTGACTGTGATTGCCCCTAGTTTGTACAGCAAGGTTTAACCCTGTAAGGTTTAACCCTGTTTAGTCATACATTGGCTGTGATTGCCCCTAGTTTGTACAGCAAGGTTTAACCCTGTAAGGTTTAACCCTGTTTAGCCATACATTGACTGTGATTGCCCCTAGTTTGTACAGCAAGGTTTAACCCTGTAAGGTTTAACCCTGTTTAGTCATACATTGGCTGTGATTGCCCCTAGTTTGTACAGCAAGGTTTAACCCTGTAAGGTTTAACCCTGTTTAGCCATACATTGGCTGTGATTGCCCCTAGTTTGTACAGCAAGGTTTAACCCTGTAAGGTTTAACCCTGTTTAGTCATACATTGGCTGTGATTGCCCCTAGTTTGTACAGCAAGGTTTAACCCTGTAAGGTTTAACCCTGTTTAGCCATACATTGACTGTGATTGCCCCTAGTTTGTACAGCAAGGTTTAACCCTGTAAGGTTTAACCCTGTTTAGCCATACATTGGCTGTGATTGCCCCTAGTTTGTACAGCAAGGTTTAACCCTGTAAGGTTTAACCCTGTTTAGTCATACATTGGCTGTGATTGCCCCTAGTTTGTACAGCAAGGTTTAACCCTGTAAGGTTTAACCCTGTTTAGCCATACATTGACTGTGATTGCCCCTAGTTTGTACAGCAAGGTTTAACCCTGTAAGGTTTAACCCTGTTTAGCCATACATTGGCTGTGATTGCCCCTAGTTTGTACAGAAAGGTTTAACCCTGTAAGGTTTAACCCTGTTTAGCCATACATTGACTGTGATTGCCCCTAGTTTGTACAGCAAGGTTTAACCCTGTAAGGTTTAACCCTGTTTAGCCATACATTGGCTGTGATTGCCCCTAGTTTGTACAGAAAGGTTTAACCCTGTAAGGTTTAACCCTGTTTAGCCATACATTGGCTGTGATTGCCCCTAGTTTGTACAGCAAGGTTTAACCCTGTAAGGTTTAACCCTGTTTAGCCATACATTGGCTGTGATTGCCCCTAGTTTGTACAGCAAGGTTTAACCCTGTAAGGTTTAACCCTGTTTAGCCATACATTGACTGTGATTGCCCCTAGTTTGTACAGCAAGGTTTAACCCTGTAAGGTTTAACCCTGTTTAGCCATACATTGGCTGTGATTGCCCCTAATTTGTACAGCAAGGTTTAACCCTGTAAGGTTTAACCATGTTTAGCCATACATTGGCTGTGATTGCCCCTAGTTTGTACAGCAAGGTTTAACCCTGTAAGGTTTAACCCTGTTTAGTCATACATTGGCTGTGATTGCCCCTAGTTTGTACAGCAAGGTTTAACCCTGTAAGGTATAACCCTGTTTAGCCATACATTGACTGTGATTGCCCCTAGTTTGTACAGCAAGGTTTAACCCTGTAAGGTTTAACCCTGTTTAGTCATACATTGACTGTGATTGCCCCTAGTTTGTACAGCAAGGTTTAACCCTGTAAGGTTTAACCCTGTTTAGTCATACATTGGCTGTGATTGCCCCTAGTTTGTACAGCAAGGTTTAACCCTGTAAGGTTTAACCCTGTTTAGCCATACATTGGCTGTGATTGCCCCTAGTTTGTACAGCAAGGTTTAACCCTGTAAGGTTTAACCCTGTTTAGCCATACATTGGCTGTGATTGCCCCTAGTTTGTACAGCAAGGTTTAACCCTGTAAGGTTTAACCCTGTTTAGCCATACATTGACTGTGATTGCCCCTAGTTTGTACAGCAAGGTTTAACCCTGTAAGGTTTAACCCTGTTTAGCCATACATTGACTGATTGCCCCTAGTTTGTACAGCAAGGTTTAACCCTGTAAGGTTTAACCCTGTTTAGTCATACATTGGCTGTGATTGCCCCTAGTTTGTACAGCAAGGTTTAACCCTGTAAGGTTTAACCCTGTTTAGCCATACATTGGCTGTGATTGCCCCTAGTTTGTACAGCAAGGTTTAACCCTGTAAGGTTTAACCCTGTTTAGTCATACATTGGCTGTGATTGCCCCTAGTTTGTACAGCAAGGTTTAACCCTGTAAGGTTTAACCCTGTTTAGCCATACATTGACTGTGATTGCCCCTAGTTTGTACAGCAAGGTTTAACCCTGTAAGGTTTAACCCTGTTTAGCCATACATTGACTGTGATTGCCCCTAGTTTGTACAGCAAGGTTTAACCCTGTAAGGTTTAACCCTGTTTAGTCATACATTGGCTGTGATTGCCCCTAGTTTGTACAGCAAGGTTTAACCCTGTAAGGTTTAACCCTGTTTAGTCATACATTGGCTGTGATTGCCCCTAGTTTGTACAGCAAGGTTTAACCCTGTAAGGTTTAACCCTGTAAGGTTTAACCCTGTTTAGTCATACATTGGCTGTGATTGCCCCTAGTTTGTACAGCATGGTTTAACCCTGTAAGGTTTAACCCTGTTTAGTTATACATTGGCTGTGATTGCCCCTAGTTTGTACAGCAAGGTTTAACCCTGTAAGGTTTAACCCTGTTTAGCCATACATTGGCTGTGATTGCCCCTAGTTTGTACAGCAAGGTTTAACCCTGTAAGGTTTAACCCTGTTTAGCCATACATTGACTGTGATTGCCCCTAGTTTGTACAGCAAGGTTTAACCCTGTAAGGTTTAACCCTGTTTAGCCATACATTGACTGTGATTGCACCTAGTTTGTACAGCAAGGTTTAACCCTGTAAGGTTTAACCCTGTTTAGCCATACATTGGCTGTGATTGCCCCTAGTTTGTACAGCAAGGTTTAACCCTGTAAGGTTTAACCCTGTTTAGTCATACATTGGCTGTGATTGCCCCTAGTTTGTACAGCAAGGTTTAACCCTGTAAGGTTTAACCCTGTTTAGTCATACATTGGCTGTGATTGCCCCTAGTTTGTACAGCAAGGTTTAACCCTGTAAGGTTTAACCCTGTTTAGCCATACATTGGCTGTGATTGCCCCTAGTTTGTACAGCAAGGTTTAACCCTGTAAGGTTTAACCCTGTTTAGTCATACATTGGCTGTGATTGCCCCTAGTTTGTACAGCAAGGTTTAACCCTGTAAGGTTTAACCCTGTTTAGTCATACATTGGCTGTGATTGCCCCTAGTTTGTACAGCAAGGTTTAACCCTGTAAGGTTTAACCCTGTTTAGTCATACATTGGCTGTGATTGCCCCTAGTTTGTACAGCAAGGTTTAACCCTGTAAGGTTTAACCCTGTTTAGTCATACATTGGCTGTGATTGCCCCTAGTTTGTACAGCAAGGTTTAACCCTGTAAGGTTTAACCCTGTTTAGTCATACATTGGCTGTGATTGCCCCTAGTTTGTACAGCATGGTTTAACCCTGTAAGGTTTAACCCTGTTTAGCCATACATTGGCTGTGATTGCCCCTAGTTTGTACAGCAAGGTTTAACCCTGTAAGGTTTAACCCTGTTTAGCCATACATTGGCTGTGATTGCCCCTAGTTTGTACAGCAAGGTTTAACCCTGTAAGGTTTAACCCTGTTTAGCCATACATTGACTGTGATTGCCCCTAGTTTGTACAGCAAGGTTTAACACTGTAAGGTTTAACCCTGTTTAGCCATACATTGACTGTGATTGCCCCTAGTTTGTACAGCAAGGTTTAACCCTGTAAGGTTTAACCCTGTTTAGCCATACATTGGCTGTGATTGCCCCTAGTTTGTACAGCAAGGTTTAACCCTGTAAGGTTTAACCCTGTTTAGTCATACATTGGCTGTGATTGCCCCTAGTTTGTACAGCAAGGTTTAACCCTGTAAGGTTTAACCCTGTTTAGTCATACATTGGCTGTGATTGCCCCTAGTTTGTACAGCAAGGTTTAACCCTGTAAGGTTTAACCCTGTTTAGCCATACATTGGCTGTGATTGCCCCTAGTTTGTACAGCAAGGTTTAACCCTGTAAGGTTTAACCCTGTTTAGTCATACATTGGCTGTGATTGCCCCTAGTTTGTACAGCAAGGTTTAACCCTGTAAGGTTTAACCCTGTTTAGCCATACATTGGCTGTGATTGCCCCTAGTTTGTACAGCAAGGTTTAACCCTGTAAGGTTTAACCCTGTTTAGCCATACATTGGCTGTGATTGCCCCTAGTTTGTACAGCAAGGTTTAACCCTGTAAGGTTTAACCCTGTTTAGTCATACATTGGCTGTGATTGCCCCTAGTTTGTACAGCAAGGTTTAACCATGCCATGTTCCACAGGTGACTGACCTGTACACAGAGATCCGGCAAACTCTTGCAGACATTCTGTTCTGTCTGGCCTGTCAGTGCCCACTCAACAAAAAGGACACCCTCAGGCTGCTGGCTCACCTCAGGCAGGATGGAGCACTCAATGCGGATGAAACACTTGACTCTGTCACCCTGACATTACTTGTCACACTTTGGTACTGCTTTGACGTCAGTGTCTTACACAGGGAGGAATCTGAAAGTAAAGAGACTTTTTTATCTTATCATGTAAAACTTGTGTGGCACAGAGAGTTAAACACACCACTTTACCTTTAACCATTTGTGTCTCAGAGAGTTAAACAGTTTACCTTTAACCATTTGTGTCTCAGAGTTAAACATACTAGCTTACCCGTAACCATTTGTGGCACAGAGAATTTTTCAAGAAACTTTCTCTGTGCAGATTTTTCATCCCGGCTGCCAGTGTTTAGTGATGCCAGTTACATACAGGAGATCCACAAGGAACTTATGTCAGACAGAGAGTGGGCCAACCCTGGCCTCAAAGCTGCTGTACAGTTCAGCTGGGCTGTCATGTTACATCAGACATCACAGTTCAGTGTTGCTAATGGAGGTGGGTTGTCATATTACATCAGACAGTTCAGTGTTGCTAATGGAGGTGGGTTGTCATATTACATCAGACATCACAGTTCAGTGTTGCTAATGGAGGTGGGTTGTCATATTACATCAGACAGTTGAGTGTTGCTAATGGAGGTGGGTTGTCATATTACATCAGACAGTTCAGTGTTGCTAATGGAGGTGGGTTGTCATATTACATCAGACTGGGTTGTCATATTACATCAGACAGTTGAGTGTTGCTAGTGGAGGTGGGTTGTCATATTACATCAGACAGGGTTGTCATATTACATCACACAGTTCAGTGTTGCTATTGTTTAAATTAAAAAAATAAAACTTCTTTTTTTTTTAATATAACTTTATTATTTAGATAATAATCATTATTTAGAATATAATCATTATCCAAGTATAAAACTAAGCCTTATTTACAGCTGTTATCTAAAATTCCTGTTTTACAAAAGTTTAAAGAATTGAATTACTGCTCGTTATAGAACAAAAAAAAATCATGATTAAACTTACTTTTGTTTAATCATTAATTCATTCATTTACAGGAGCAAATGGAAACAGTGATTGTTTTGAAGATGATGAAAAGCTGATAGATAATGCCATAGATAAAAACCTGTTCACATTCCTTAGCCTTTCTGTGGTGTCTTGTCCTAATTTTCATTCTGAGGTAACTATTGCTGCACATTCTTCATGTTTTTTACTCTGATAAAATTGTTCATCAATTGAACTAAAATTTTTCATTGATTGAGCTAAAATTGTTCATCAATTGAACTAAAATTGTTCATAAATTGAGCTAAAATTGTTTATCAATAGAGCTAAAATTGTTCATCAATTGAGCTAAAATTGTTCATCAATTGAGCTAAAATTGTTCATCAATTGAACTAAAATTGTTCATAAATTGAGCTAAAATTGTTCATCAATAGAGCTAAAATTGTTCATCAATTGAGCTAAAATTGTTCATAAATTGAGCTAATATTGTTCATCAATTGAGCTAAAATTGTTCATCAATTCAGCTAAAAATTGTTCATCAATGTATTTTTTCCCCTGTTGACAGGAGTTCTACCTGAGAAGATTGCATGGCCTAGTGTCAGATTTCATCTACCAAATGCCACTCAAGGTAAGACACTTCTACACATACATCAACAGCTACTAGCTAGCCGTTGACTGTAAGCTCAGCTTTTCAAAGGCAGTTTAGTATCTTATTAGATTAATAATAAAGTAATGCATTTTCATCGAATAAGCAATTTTCTTCAAGAAAAAATTGCTCCATCATAAATGGTTTAAATTTGCTTTTGAAGCTTTGACAACAAACCTATAGTAACTTCAGTTTTTAAACACACAAAAATCCAATTTTAGAATTATTGAAGCTTTTAATCTACATATGTTTTAATGTATCCTGCTTTAAAATGAATCTAACATTGTGTACAGATCAAAGAGCTAAGAAATCGAGGGGATGAAACTTGCCGCATCCTGTTAGCTCATCAAGCTGAAGGTCTGGAGCCACCGCAGCTGAGGAAAGAGTTGCACGAGTTCATGGTTTTGGTAACACATCACCCATGGCACTTTGAAGCATTTGTTTTGTTCTTACAATGCCAGTAGAGATGTTAGCCGTGTTTCCTTACACTCTTGTTCCTGCCATTACACACTTCCTCCCTGCCATTACATACTTGTCCCTGCCATTGCACACTTGTCCCTGCCATTACATGTGTCCCTGCCATTACACACTTGTCCCTGCTATTACACACTTGTCCCTGCCATTACATGTGTCCCTGCCATTACACACTCGTCCCTGCCATTACATACTTGTCCCTGCCATTACACACTTGTCCCTGCCATTACATACATGTCCCTGCCATTACACACTTGTCCCTGCCATTACATGTGTCCCTGCCATTACACACTTGTCCCTGCCATTACATACTTGTCCCTGTCATTACACAGTTGTCCCTGCTATTACACACTTGTCCCTGCCATTACACACTTGTCCCTGCCATTACACACTTGTCCCTGCCATTACATACTTGTCCCTGCCATTACATACTTGTCCCTGCCATTACATACTTGTCCCTGCCATTACATACTTGTCCCTGCCATTACATACTTGTCCCTGCCATTACACACTTGTCCCTGCCATTACATACTTGTCCCTGCCATTACACACTTGTCCCTGCCATTACACACTTGTCCCTGCCATTACACACTTGTCCCTGCCATTACATACTTGTCCCTGCCATTACACACTTGTCCCTGCCATTACACACTTGTCCCTGCCATTACACACTTGTCCCTGCCATTACACACTTGTCCCTGCCATTACATACTTGTCCCTGCCATTACACACTTGTCCCTGCCATTACACACTTGTCCCTGCCATTACACACTTGTCCCTGCCATTACACACTTGTCCCTGCCATTACACACTTGTCCCTGCCATTACACACTTGTCCCTGCCATTACATACTTGTCCCTGCCATTACACACTTGTCCCTACCATTACACACTTGTCCCTGCCATTACACACTTGTCCCTGCCATTACACACTTGTCCCTGCCATGGCACACACAATGCTGAATCTCCTGTCATTACACACTTGCCCCTGGCCCACAGAATGCTAATCTCCTGCCATTGTCCTAGGTTGGAGACCTGTATGAAAAAGACCCTCTGAACCTCCAGCTGGCCCTGGAGTACTGGAGCCTGCCAGAGCCTGGCACAGGTGACCTCAGCAGTGTCTACAGACTGGACCCTAAACAGGTCAGGGACTTGTATAGTCCACTTTCTTGACGGACATTCATCTATTTATATTGGGTTTATTCAGCAGTCTCATTTAACACAAACTTCATCATACAGTTATAACTAACATTGATAAAATTAAATTATTATTAATTATATTATTAAGAGTAACGATACCCCCAGCAGTCGGAGGCTCCAAACTGTCTGCAGGCCGGTCTGCCATACCATAATTACTGTCCCAGCGCCTGATAATATTTTTAAAAATACTAATTCTAGGTCAAGATATCGCTAGAGCAGCTATGTTTAATTGTATTTACTTCTTATTAGTTTCCCTTTGGGTTGATATTGTGTTTTATAGAATTTATGTTTGTAAAACCACTTCAAAAGGACATTTTGTAAACACTGCAAAATGTTTTTCAGCAACAGTATCTTAATGTTTACGTTGCCATGTTATAAAATTAACTTATATTAAACTATTCTTCTACTAATCTGATCCATGATTGTTGTAGAAAAATGGGTGTACTTTCATTTTCTAAAAAAATAAGATCTCATGAAAAATAACTCCTTTCATTAATTTTCCCAGCAGCAACCTATTTTTTCCTTGAAAAAAATCAAGTTAATTTTTCTTCTTTAAAACTAATTCTTTTTCTTAAATAAATAATCTCTTAAAATTAATATTAGTGTGGAGGCCATTCAATTATGATTTATATATATCAATGTATGGGTTTTAAATCAGCGGTTAAAAAGATATATTAAAGAGTATATTTATATTAAAGAGTATGTTATTTTCTCCTCTAGATAGCACTGTTATTTTCTCCTCCAGATAGCACTGTTATTTTCTCCTCCAGATAGCACTGTTATTTTCTCCTCCAGATAGCACTGTTATTTTCTCCTCCAGATAGCACTGTTATTTTCTCCTCCAGATAGCACTGTTATTTTCTCCTCCAGATAGCCCTGTTATTTTCTCCTCCAGATAGCCCTGTTATTTTCTCCTCCAGATAGCACTGTTATTTTCTCCTCCAGATAGCCCTGTTATTTTCTCCTCCAGATAGCCCTGTTATTTTCTCCTCCAGATAGCACTGTTATTTTCTCCTCCAGATAGCACTGTTATTTTCTCCTCCAGATAGCCCTGTTATTTTCTCCTCCAGATAGCACTGTTATTTTCTCCTCCAGATAGCACTGTTATTTTCTCCTCCAGATAGCACTGTTATTTTCTCCTCCAGATAGCACTGTTATTTTCTCCTCCAGATAGCACTGTTATTTTCTCCTCCAGATAGCACTGTTATTTTCTCCTCCAGATAGCCCTGTTATTTTCTCCTCCAGATAGCCCTGTTATTTTCTCCTCCAGATAGCACTGTTATTTTCTCCTCCAGATAGCACTGTTATTTTCTCCTCCAGATAGCCCTGTTATTTTCTCCTCCAGATAGCACTGTTATTTTCTCCTCCAGATAGCACTGTTATTTTCTCCTCCAGATAGCACTGTTATTTTCTCCTCCAGATAGCACTGTTATTTTCTCCTCCAGATAGCACTGTTATTTTCTCCTCCAGATAGCCCTGTTATTTTCTCCTTCAGATAGCCCTGTTATTTTCTCCTCCAGATAACACTGTTATTTTCTCCTCCAGATAGCACTGTTATTTTCTCCTCCAGATAGCACTGTTATTTTCTCCTCCAGATAGCCCTGTTATTTTCTCCTCCAGATAGCACTGTTATTTTCTCCTCCAGATAGCACTGTTATTTTCTCCTCCAGATAGCACTGTTATTTTCTCCTCCAGATAGCACTGTTATTTTCTCCTCCAGATAGCACTGTTATTTTCTCCTCCAGATAGCACTGTTATTTTCTCCTCCAGATAGCCCTGTTATTTTCTCCTTCAGATAGCCCTGTTCAAGTTTGTCCGTGTAGCTGGTGACCTGCTGCCTGCCCCACTTTTCCTGCCTTACATTCACATGTTGACTGGGCTGGCCACTGGACCACAGTGTGCACATCATTGCTTCAATTTGCTCAGAGTTAATGGTCAGTCCTATTTGCATAGTTTGTTGTCTTGTGTGGTTTTTTTTTGTTAATTCTAGTCAATAAATGATGTCATATACACAATTTTTAAAACAAAAACCAAGAAAAAAATTATTTCAAGTAAGAATTCGTTACTGAAATGGTGTGTACGAAATGGTGGCTGTCTTTTTGTGACATAAGACCACAGTTAACAAATATTTAAATCTTTTTGCTGGCTTTTTTGTACTGATTTGCTTTTTAAATATAAAAGACATTCTTTGTTAATTTTAAAAACTTTTGATTGAAATGATTAACAAAGATTATTAAAAAAAAATTAATTTGTTGTTGAATTTGTTAAGGTGGACAGGCCAACCCTGTGTCCTGGGATCACATCTTTGGTTCTCTGCATCAGTATTATGCAAGCTTGCGCCAAGAGGCATACACCATGTCAGACACTGTGCCCTATCGCTCCACTACACCTAGGAGTATGACGCCCCAGGAGCTAGAAGCTGTTTGTGCTGTGCTCAAGTTAACCAGGCATATTGCCTTATTGGTACATACCATGTTGTCATTTTTTAGAGATGTAATCTTTCCTTATTTCGTTTGAGAAAAGTTTTCTGCTGCAAAAGCTAATCAATATTATTCCGCCAACCGATTTTTTTTTCATAAAATCTGAAATATTTTTCGGCGATCCATTTTCAGTTTAATCAAGGTCGCAAAACAAAAACTTTTTGTGCTTTTGGGTAAAATTTCGTTAGGTAACATAATATTATTTATGGACGGTTCCTAGTCTGTACATCAAAAATAACTATACCAGCTTGACTCTTGCTGAGATTTAACTTTTCCATTTTTTACAGAACATATTTTTTTCTTACTTTTTCTCAAATGCACTGACTTTTTGCTCCAGGTGTCTCCACATCACAAACCATCTAGAACAGTTTTTTATGGTTGCGTTACAACTACATCTACCTGAGCCATTATTTAATTATCTTAATTGTCGTACATTATTTAAGTTTAGTACTAGATTATAAAAAAAAGATCTACATTGTCTTAAATTTCGACATATAGAATGTCATAAAGTTTGACATAAAGTAATGATTTGTGTCCGCTATTTGGTTTAACTGGAAATCTTTTCACTAATCAGTTTTTCACATCGTCAAAAACTAAAAAAGCGAATTTAATTGAAGACCTATTTTATTAACCAAAAAATGCTGAGACTAGGGTTCGTGCAAATTTGGGAATTAAAAAATATTTTGCACATTGGTCCATATTTTGTTACATGGTATACCTATTTCTCCCCCCCCCCCCCCCCCCCCCCACCCCCAAATATGAGGAAAGTTACTCTGGTCTACATTGCCTTGTATTGGATGGTAGAGTGCTAGACTGCTAACCGGAAGTCTCGAGTTCAAATCCAGGTTCGTCCACCCAACTCTGATAGGTACCTAATTTATGTTGGGGAAAGTAAAGGTGGCTTGGCATAGTGCTGACCACTTTATCTTTTCATACGGCAAGGTCAAGAAACATGAACTCTACTTACCTGCCCAATGGATCAAGAGTACTTTCCCCACGCTTTTGTCTTTGGCAAGCGGTTACATCTCTGCAGGTTTATATTAATTTACTGATTAACCATGAATGATTTCTTAGTTGTAAATTGGTTACAGTCTCAAAGACTTGAATTCTGTTTGTAGAGTGACACCTGTCGGTCATCATTCTGTGAAAATCAGCAGTGGTCAGTGGTTATGGTTCTGTTTGGTTTGCTGGCATGCAGTGTGTCAGTGCAGATGAAGGGGGAACTGCTGAGTACTTTGGCTGCCATAGCCCAGACCCCAGTGTTTGCCGCCACTATATGGCAGACACTTGAGTCTTCCCAGGTTTGTCCAAGTTTTTTTACTTGTTTGGTCTTATCAAGTGTGGTAAGAGATGTTGAGTCTGTTGTTTCATCTCTATCTAGATTTTACCCACCACCCCATCTGTTTGTTCTTGTCAAGTGTGGTAAGAGATGTTGAGTCTGTTGTTTCATCTCTATCTAGATTTTACCCACCACCCCATCTGTTTGTTCTTGTCAAGTGTGGTAAGAGATGTTGAGTCTGTTGTTTCATCTCTATCTAGATTTTACCCACCACCCCATCTGTTTGTTCTTGTCAAGTGTGGTAAGAGATGTTGAGTCTGTTGTTTCATCTCTATCTAGATTTTACCCACCACCCCATCTGTTTGTTCTTGTCAAGTGTGGTAAGAGATGTTGAGTCTGTTGTTTCATCTCTATCTAGATTTTACCCACCACCCCATCCGCACGTGAACCTCTGACGGGCATCAAGGTTGAGCTAGAGGAGGTAGAGAGCCGCACAGAAGAGTTTCCACTGACGCGGGGCTTCCTGCAGCTGATGGCGGCACTGACCCAGTTCCCTGTGCCCATGGGGCTGGGGGCAGGCACCAGGTCGCCTGGGTTTGACCCGTACCTGGACTTCATTTTAAATTCTGTCTTGCTCAAGTACAACACTAGGGCCTACAAACTGGCGGAAGAAAAGGTTCTTGTATTTTCTTGTGTTCATTTTTCTCTGTCAGATACCCAATTACGTTCTAGTTGAAAGATCTGTTATTGAAGCCTAAAATGCTTACGTTATCTGTTTAGTGGCAGGTTGTGTCTGGGTGTCTGGAGATTCTGGTCAAACTTGTATCAGACTATGAGCTGTGCGCTGAGGACTTCCGCAATGAAACAGTGGATGTGCCTGGAGCTGGCATCATGCCTGCAAGCAAGCAACCCGGGTTTACCCTACTGCGTATGATGCTCAGTGATTCACATCTCTTTAAGACAGTCAGTAGCTCTTTTTTTTCCATTGGTACCATTTTTAACCAAAGGATCATTATTGTTGATTTTAATAGTTTGTTGTTGTTTTTATTTAGATTCAGCTGATTCTGGAAGAAGCGCTGATTCATTTTGAACAGTTTGCCCAGTTTCCTGGTAATTTTTTTTTCAAGTTTTGTGTTTTACATAAAAATGTTTTGTTTTTATAGCCTACCTAAAAATGGTAGCTGCAGTGAGGTTAATGCAATCTATATAAATAAAAAGCAATGTATTTCTGTCTGTCTCAACTGTCTGGCTGTCTTTTATCTACATCTTTCATCTGATCGTCATGAAACTAGGAGATTATCACGAATACTCTTAAGGAGGTTTCTGTGGGAATTTTTTTCATATTCGCAGGGGGAGGACCCTAGCGAATTGATTCTTCTCTGTAAACGGTATATACAATCCACTGTGAGCACTATGGCGCCTACATTCGTTTTAAATAAAGGAAGTTGTTGAGAATACTCATGGGGAGGTTTATGCGGAAAAAATGTCAATTTCACACGGGCCTTATGTCATGTAATTGTGGCACCTAGCCTAATGTCATGTGATTATGGCACCTTGCCTAATGTCATGTGATTGTGGCACCTTGCCTAATGTCATGTGATTGTGGCACCTAGCTAATGTCATATGATTATGGCACCTTGCCTAATGTCATGTGATTATGGCACCTTGCCTAATGTCATGTGATTGTGGCACCTTGTCTAATGTAATGTGATTGTGGCACCTTGCCTAATGTTATGTGATTGTGGCACCTTGCCTAATGTCATGTGATTGTGGCACCTTGTCTAATGTCATGTGATTGTGGCACCTTGCCTAATGTCATGTGATTGTGGCACCTTGTCTCATGTGATTGTGGCACCTAGCCTAATGTCATGTGATTGTGACTCCTTGCCTAATGTTATGTTATGCCAGGCCGTGAACATCTGGAGAGAGCATCCCTGTTGTGCCTGCAACTGCTTGAGGAGACAGCAGACAGACAGAGCAGCTTGGAGAGATGTGTTAGGGAGACTGCCTGCCCTTTCCTTATGTCCAGCATGGAGAGGCTGCTGCTGGGGATCAACCCAAGAACCAGAAAGGCTGATTATTTAATCAATATTACAAAGTAAGGTTGCATTATTTAATTAAAAGGCTGATTATTTAATCAATATTACAAAGTAAGGTTGCATTATTTCATTAAAAGGCTGATTATTTAATCAATATTACAAAGTAAGGTTGCATTATTTCATTAAAAGGCTGATTATTTAATCAATATTACAAAGTAAGGTTGCATTATTTAATTAAAAGGCTGATTATTTAATCAATATTACAAAGTAAGGTTGCTTTATTTAATTAAAAGGCTGATTATTTAATCAATATTACAAAGTAAGGTTGCATTATTTAATTAAAAGGCTGATTATTTAATCAATATTACAAAGTAAGGTTGCATTATTTAATTAAAAGGCTGATTATTTAATCAATATTACAAAGTAAGGTTGCATTATTTAATTAAAAGGCTGATTATTTAATCAATATTACAAAGTAAGTTTGCATTATTTAATTAAAAGGCTGATTATTTAATCAATATTACAAAGTAAGGTTGCATTATTGAACCGTAATCATTTAATTAAATGGCTGATTATTTAATCAATATTACAAAGTGAGGTTGCATTATTTAATTAAAAGGCTGATTAATTAATCAATATTACAAAGTAAGGTTGCATTATTGAACCGTAATCATTTAATTAAAAGGCTGATTATTTAATCAATATAACAAAGTAAGGTTGCATTATTTAATTAAAAGGCTGATTATTTAATCAATATTACAAAGTAAGGTTGCATTATTGAACAATTTAATTAAAAGGCTGATTATTTAATCAATATTACAAAGTAAGGTTGCATTATTGAACCGTAATCATTTAATTAAATGGCTGATTATTTAATCAATATTACAAAGTGAGGTTGCATTATTTAATTAAAAGGCTGATTATTTAATCAATATTACAAAGTAAGGTTGCATTATTGAACCGTAATCATTTAATTAAAAGGCTGATTATTTAATCAATATAACAAAGTAAGGTTGCATTATTTAATTAAAAGGCTGATTATTTAATCAATATTACAAAGTAAGGTTGCATTATTGAACAATTTAATTAAAAGGCTGATTATTTAATCAATATTACAAAGTAAGGTTGCGTTATTTAATTAAAAGGCTGATTATTTAATCAATATTACAAAGTAAGGTTGCTTTATTTAATTAAAAGGCTGATTATTTAATCAATATTACAAAGTAAGGTTGCATTATTGAACCGTAATCATTTAATTAAAAGGCTGATTATTTAATCAATATTACAAAGTAAGTTTGCATTATTTAATTAAAAGGCTGATTATTTAATCAATATTACAAAGTAAGGTTGCATTATTGAACCGTAATCATTTTATTAAAAGGTTGATTATTTAATCAATATTACAAAGTAAGGTTGCATTATTGAACCGTAATCATTTAATTAAAAGGTTGATTATTTGTTATTTTAGTTAAGACTTGTCATTTACATTATGTCAATCTTGTTAAGACTTGTCTTAATCTTCACAGGTTTGTTGTGTTCAACACTTTCCTGCCCAAACATACACTATCAGCTATCAGAATTTTATGCCATGTGTGCTCTGAATTGTCATCCCAGTCTGATATTGTCAATTTGTTCACTGCTGACAAGGTGGGTTCATAAGTTGTGTCGCTCTGTATTTGTCAACTCTTTTAACCTGGAGCAAAGAAAAGTTCCCTTATTGTTGCTGTGGTGTGGTGTTGTAGTTGTGATGGTGATGTTTCCTTATTGTTGCTGTAGCGTGGTGTGGTGTTGTGATGGTGATGTTTCCTTATTGTTGCTGTGGTGTAATGTTGTAGTTGCGATGGTGATGTTTCCTTATTGTTGCTGTAGCGTGGTGTTGTAGTTGTGATGGTGATGTTCCCTTATTGTTGCTGTAGTGTGGTGTTGTGATGGTGATGTTTCCTTATTGTTGCTGTGGTGAAATGTTGTAGTTGTGATGATGATGTTCCCTTATTGTTGCTGTAGCGTGGTGTTGTGATGGTGAAGTTCCCTTATTGTTGCTGTGGTGTGGTGTTGTAGTTGTGATGGTGATGTTTCCTTATTGTTGCTGTAGCGTGGTGTTGTAGTTGTGTTGGTGATGTTTCCTTATTGTTGCTGTAGCGTGGTGTTGTAGTTGTGATGGTGAAGTTCCCTTATTGTTGCTGTGGTGTGGTGTTGTAGTTGTGATGGTGATGTTTCCTTATTGTTGCTGTAGCGTGGTGTTGTAGTTGTGTTGGTGATGTTTCCTTATTGTTGCTGTAGCGTGGTGTTGTAGTTGTGATGGTGATGTTTCCTTATTGTTGCTGTAGCGTGGTGTTGTGATGGTGATGTTTCCTTATTGTTGCTGTGGTGTAATGTTGTAGTTGTGATGGTGATGTTCCCTTATTGTTGCTGTAGTGTGGTGTTGTAGTTGTGATGGTGATGTTTCCTTATTGTTGCTGTGGTGTGGTGTTGTAGTTGTGATGGTGATGTTTCCTTATTGTTGCTGTGGTGTGGTGTTGTAGTTGTGATGGTGATGTTTCCTTATTGTTGCTGTAGCGTGGTGTTGTAGTTGTGATGGTGATGATTCCTTATTGTTGCTGTAGCGTGGTGTTGTAGTTGAGATGGTGATGTTTCCTTATTGTTGCTATGTTACAGCGAGCTAGTGCTGAGCTTCTCCAGGGTTTTGTAGAGTGTCTAGACTCCAACACAGCTGAAATCAAACAAGAGCGAGCCTCTGCACTTCTAATGGAAGATGGTAAAAACCTTTTTCAGATCTTTAGTCAAGGTTTGATAACAAATCTAGATCAAAGTTGTGTAATTCTCCACCCAATCATACAGTGCAGGGTTTTGTCCCTAGAGCAACCCCTACGAACACAACTTTTCCAAGTGTTATATCTTTGTCTGTAACAAGTTGTTTCTCCTCTCAGAGTCAGAAGATCCTAAAGAGCCCCCAGTCCAGAACGCCATCTGTGAGCACATCATCCAGCTGATTCTGGTCTCACTGGACCAGTCCTCCCCCAACCTGGCGCACTGGCTCCTTGGGTTCCAGCTCCAGAAGCCCATCATTAAAACAACACTACAGGACCCAGGTAAGGCACTAAGTCCATCATTAAAACAACACTACAGGACCCAGGTAAGGCACTAAGTCCATCATTAAAACAACACTACAGGACCCAGGTAAGGCACTAAGCCCATCATTAAAACAACACTACAGGACCCAGGTAAGGCACTAAGCCCATCATTAAAACAACACTACAGGACCCAGGTAAGGCACTAAGCCCATCATTAAAACAACACTACAGGACCCAGGTAAGGCACTAAGCCCATCATTAAAACAACACTACAGGACCCAGGTAAGGCACTAAGCCCATCATTAAAACAACACTACAGGACCCTGGTAAAACTACACAACATAACCAGGGCTTGCGCCATTCATTGCAACTATTTGATATTTTTCAGGTGTCTTGGACTCTCCTCGCACCTGTCTACATTCTATCCTGGCAGTGCTAGAGCGCGGGCTTGGCACCAGAGAAGGCCCTGCTTGTCTGCTGGACAGACCAAAGCTAGCAGAACTAGGCTACCGCACCATCTATGCCCTCTGTGCCAACAAGGACACATCTCCTCCAACGCTGCGCTATCTGCGGACAACACATGACTTTTTGTATCGCCAGCTACAGCACCTGCCTTTTGATACGGCTAAATATGGTAAACTTTTATAAGGCTAAATATGGTAAACTTTTATAAGGCTAAATATGGTTAACTTTTATAAGGCTAAATATGGTAAACTTTTATAAGGCTAAATATGGTAAACTTTTATAAGGCTAAATATGGTAAACTTTTATAAGGCTAAATATGGTAAACTTTTATAAGGCTAAATATGGTAAACTTTTATAAGGCTAAATATGGTAAACTTTTATAAGGCTAAATATGGTAAACTTTTATAAGGCTAAATATGGTAAACTTTTATAAGGCTAAATATGGTAAACTTTTATAAGGCTAAATATGGTAAACTTTTATACCTGCTGATTTGTATTTAGTTAAGCCCACCCCTCCCTCTGCTGATTTGTATTGTTTACAGTTTAGTTAGTTTTATACCTGCTGAGTTGTATTTGTATTGTTTAGTTAAGCCGACCCTCCCACCAAACAATTCTACCAGCACCCTTGTGTTTTACCCATCCTCCCCCACCCTCCCCACCCTTCTACCAGCACCCTTGTGTTTTACCCATCCTCCCCCACCCTCCGCACCCTTCTACCAGCACCCTTGTGTTCTCCCCACCCTCCCCCACCCTCCCCACCCTTCTACCAGCACCCTTGTGTTCTCCCCACCCTCCCACCAAACAACTCTACCAGCACCCTTGTGTTCTCCCCACCCTCCCCCACCCTCCCCACCCTTCTACCAGCACCCTTGTGTTCTCCCCACCCTCCCCCACCCTCCCCACCCTTCTACCAGCACCCTTGTGTTCTCCCCACCCTCCCCCACCCTTCTACCAGCACCCTTGTGTTCTCCCCACCCATCTACCAGCACCCTTGTGTTCTCCCCACCCTTCTACCAGCACCCTTGTGTTCTCCCCACCCTCCCCACCCTTCTACCAGCACCCTTGTGTTCTCCCCACCCTCCCCACCCTTCTACCAGCACCCTTGTGTTCTCCCCACCCTTCTACCAGCACCCTTGTGTTCTCCCCACCCTCCCCACCCTTCTACCAGCACCCTTGTGTTCTCCCCACCCTTCTACCAGCACCCTTGTGTTCTCCCCACCCTCCCCACCCTTCTACCAGCACCTTTGTGTTCTCCCCACCCTCCCCACCCTTCTACCAGCACCCTTGTGTTCTCCCCACCCTCCCCCACCCTCCCCACCCTTCTACCAGCACCCTTGTGTTCTCCCCACCCTTCTACCAGCACCCTTGTGTTCTCCCCACCCTCCCCCACCCTCCCACCCTTCTACTAGCACCCTTGTGTTCTCCCCACCCTCCCACCCTTCTACCAGCACCCTTGTGTTCTCCCCACCCTTCTACCAGCACCCTTGTGTTCTCCCCACCCATCTACCAGCACCCTTGTGTTCTCCCCACCCTTCTACCAGCACCCTTGTGTTCTCCCCACCCTTCTACCAGCACCCTTGTGTTCTCCCCACCCTTCTACCAGCACCCTTGTGTTCTCCCCACCCTTCTACCAGCACCCTTGTGTTCTCCCCACCCTTCTACCAGCACCCTTGTGTTCTCCCCACCCTCCCCCACCCTCCCCACCCTTCTACCAGCACCCTTGTGTTCTCCCCACCCTCCCCCACCCTCCCCACCCTTCTACCAGCACCCTTGTGTTCTCCCCACCCTTCTACCAGCACCCTTGTGTTCTCCCCACCCTTCTACCAGCACCCTTGTGTTCTCCCCACCCTTCTACCAGCACCCTTGTGTTCTCCCCACCCTCCCCCACCCTCCCACCCTTCTACTAGCACCCTTGTGTTCTCCCCACCCTCCCACCCTTCTACCAGCACCCTTGTGTTCTCCCCACCCTTCTACCAGCACCCTTGTGTTCTCCCCACCCATCTACCAGCACCCTTGTGTTCTCCCCACCCTCCCCACCCTTCTACCAGCACCCTTGTGTTCTCCCCACCCTCCCCCACCCTCCCACCCTTCTACTAGCACCCTTGTGTTCTCCCCACCCTCCCACCCTTCTACCAGCACCCTTGTGTTCTCCCCACCCTTCTACCAGCACCCTTGTGTTCTCCCCACCCATCTACCAGCACCCTTGTGTTCTCCCCACCCTCCCCACCCTTCTACCAGCACCCTTGTGTTCTCCCCACCCTCCCCCACCCTCCCACCCTTCTACTAGCACCCTTGTGTTCTCCCCACCCTCCCACCCTTCTACCAGCACCCTTGTGTTCTCCCCACCCTTCTACCAGCACCCTTGTGTTCTCCCCACCCATCTACCAGCACCCTTGTGTTCTCCCCACCCTTCTACCAGCACCCTTGTGTTCTCCCCACCCTTCTACCAGCACCCTTGTGTTCTCCCCACCCTTCTACCAGCACCCTTGTGTTCTCCCCACCCTTCTACCAGCACCCTTGTGTTCTCCCCACCCTTCTACCAGCACCCTTGTGTTCTCCCCACCCTCCCCCACCCTCCCCCACCCTCCCACCCTTCTACCAGCACCCTTGTGTTCTCCCCACCCTCCCACCCTTCTACCAGCACCCTTGTGTTCTCCCCACCCTTCTACCAGCACCCTTGTGTTCTCCCCACCCATCTACCAGCACCCTTGTGTTCTCCCCACCCTTCTACCAGCACCCTTGTGTTCTCCCCACCCTCCCCCACCCTCCCCCACCCTCCCACCCTTCTACCAGCACCCTTGTGTTCTCCCCACCCTTCTACCAGCACCCTTGTGTTCTCCCCACCCATCTACCAGCACCCTTGTGTTCTCCCCACCCTTCTACCAGCACCCTTGTGTTCTCCCCACCCTTCTACCAGCACCCTTGTGTTCTCCCCACCCTTCTACCAGCACCCTTGTGTTCTCCCCACCCTTCTACCAGCACCCTTGTGTTCTCCCCACCCTTCTACCAGCACCCTTGTGTTCTCCCCACCCTTCTACCAGCACCCTTATGTTCTCCCCACCCTTCTACCAGCACCTTTGTGTTCTCCCCACCCTTCTACCAGCACCCTTGTGTTCTCCCCACCCTCCCACCCTTCTACCAGCACCCTTGTGTTCTCCCCACCCTTCTACCAGCACCCTTGTGTTCTCCCCACCCTTCTACCAGCACCCTTGTGTTCTCCCCACCCTTCTACCAGCACCCTTGTGTTCTCCCCACCCTCCCACCCTTCTACCAGCACCTTTGTGTTCTCCCCACCCTTCTACCAGCACCTTTGTGTTCTCCCCACCCATCTACCAGCACCCTTGTGTTCTCCCTTCAGTGAATAACGTAGCTGAGCACCAAACCTGGCTGCTGAAGACTTTGGCCATTGAGTTGAGGATGACATCCCTTAACAGACAGAGGTCACACACCCAGCGTCTTGTCAAGCTCTTGTTGGGCGATGAGGAACAAGAGGTTTACAGTAGGTTTTTTTTTGTGTTGGTAAACGAGGTTTACAGTAGGTTTTTTTTTTGTTGGGGAACAAGAGGTTTACAGTAGGTTTTTTTGTGTTGGTAAATGAGGTTTACAGTAGGTTTTTTTTTTGTTGGTGAACAAGAGCTTTACGGTAGGATTTTTTTTTTGTTGGTGAACAAGAGGTTTACAGTAGGTTTTTTTTTTTTTTTTTTTTTTTTGTGAACAAGAGGTTTACAGTAGGTTTTTTTTTTGTTGGTGAACAAGAGCTTTACAGTAGGATTTTTTTGTTTGTTGGTGAACAAGAGCTTTACAGTAGGATTTTTTTTTGTTGGGGAACAAAAGGTTTACAGTAGGATTTTTTTTTGTTGGGGAACAAAAGGTTTACAGTAGGATTTTTTTTTGTTGGGGAACAAGAGTTTTACAGTAGGATTTTTTTTTGTTGGTGAACAAAAGGTTTACAGTAGGTTTTTGTGTGTGTTGGTAAACAAGAGGTTTACAGTAGGATTTTTTTGTTGTTGGGGGGATGAGGAAAATAGGTTCACAGTTGTTTTTATCTTGTTGTGGAACATGTTTACCATAGATTTTCATTTTCTTCTTTGCATGAAAGCTTTGAGTGCTGAAAACTGGACCAGTTTTTGTATTTCCACTGTTTGTTTCCTTGCCCCTGTAGGTGGTACCAGTTTTTGTATTTCCACTGTTTGTTTCCTTGCCCCTGTAGGTGGTACCAGTTTTTGTATTTCCACTGTTTGTTTCCTTGCCCCTGTAGGTGGTACCCAACTGGACCAGTTTTTGTATTTCCACTGTTTGTTTCCTTGCACCTGTAGGTGGTACCCAACTGGACCAGTTTTTGTATTTCCACTGTTTGTTTCCTTGCCCCTGTAGGTGGTACCAGTTTTTGTATTTCCACTGTTTGTTTCCTTGCCCCTGTAGGTGGTACCCAACTGGACCAGTTTTTGTATTTCCACTGTTTGTTTCCTTGCCCCTGTAGGTGGTACCAGTTTTTGTATTTCCACTGTTTGTTTCCTTGCCCCTGTAGGTGGTACCAGTTTTTGTATTTCCACTGTTTGTTTCCTTGCCCCTGTAGGTGGTACCCAACTGGACCAGTTTTTGTATTTCCACTGTTTGTTTCCTTGCCCCTGTAGGTGGTACCAGTTTTTGTATTTCCACTGTTTGTTTCCTTGCCCCTCTAGGTGGTACCAGTTTTTGTATTTCCACTGTTTGTTTCCTTGCCCCTGTAGGTGGTACCCAACTGGACCAGTTTTTGTATTTCCACTGTTTGTTTCCTTGCCCCTGTATGTGGTACCAGTTTTTGTATTTCCACTGTTTGTTTCCTTGCCCCTGTAGGTGGTACCCAGCCTGGAGATGACGGGGAGGTGAGTGTGGCAGAGAGGGAATCTTTCCTGTCACTGACCCACAGCCACAACATCATCACCACCAGCCACCAAATCCGCCACAGACTTGTTGGCATCCTGGACACTATATCCTTTGAAGAGAAGCTACCCCCACACCTGCTGGTCAACTTCTTTGACAAGGCTCAGGTGGAGGCGCTTGTCCACAGCTTGGAGCACAGAACCAGAGATGGAATCAGCTACTGCGACATCAGATCTCTGCGCCAGGTCCTGCTCACAGAGTTAGCCAATCAGCAAGGTCCAATGGTTGCTGGACAGAGGCCTCACATCATTGAGGTATGGTGTCATGTCAGGTGACACAGAAGTATGTTGTCATGTCAGGTGACACAGAAGTATAGTGTCATGTCAGGTGACACAGAAGTATAGTGTCATGTCAGGTGACACAGAAGTATGGTGTCATGTCAGGTGACACAGAAGTATGTTGTCATGTCAGGTGACACAGAAGTATAGTGTCATGTCAGGTGACACAGAAGTATAGTGTCATGTCAGGTGACACAGAAGTATAGTGTCATGTCAGGTGACACAGAAGTATAGTGTCATGTCAGGTGACACAGAAGTATGGTGTCATGTCAGGTGACACAGAAGTATGTTGTCATGTCAGGTGACACAGAAGTATGGTGTCATGTCACGTGACACAGAAGTATGGTGTCATGTCAGGTGACACAGAAGTATGGTGTCATGTCAGGTGACACAGAAGTATGGTGTCATGTCAGATGACACAGAAGTATAGTGTCATGTCAGGTGACACAGAAGTATGGTGTCATGTCAGGTGACACGGGCGTATGGTGTCATGCCAGGTGACACAGTAGTATGGTGCCATGACAGAAGTATGTTGGCATGTCAGAATAATGGATAATGATTTGAAGAAAGAAAAGCTGAAATGTTGTGTACTTCTTGCAGGAGATCCACCAGATCCTGGAAACTGTAGTAGAACACAACGAGGCTAAGGAGAACCTCCAGAGGAAGAAAAGAGCCTTTGAATCATGGCGCCAGATTGTTGAAGTTATGTTGACATCTGTTCCACATGACCTCATCAGTGGGGAACGCAGGCAGACCATTTTATTTGATCTTCTGCAGGAGCTTTTGTTAAAGGTAGACCACAAGGCTCTCCTAACTAGTTAAATGCCCAGTGACTGGACCAACCATGGCTGTAGTTAAATGCCCAGTGACTGGACCAACCATGGCTGTAGTTAAATGCCCAGTGACTGGACCAACCATGACTGTAGTTAAATGTCCAGTGACTGGACCAACCATGGCTGTAGTTAAATGTCCAATGACTGGACCAACCATGGCTGTAGTTAAATGTCCAGTGACTGGACCAACCATGGCTGTAGTTAAATGTCCAGTGACTGGACCAACCATGGCTGTAGTTAAATGTCCAGTGACTGGACCAACCATGGCTGTAGTTAAATGTCCAATGACTGGACCAACCATGGCTGTAGTTAAATGTCCAGTGACTGGACCAACCATGGCTGTAGTTAAATGTCCAGTGACTGGACCAACCATGGCTGTAGTTAAATGTCCAGTGACTGGACCAACCATGGCTGTAGTTAAATGTCCAGTGACTGGACCAACCATGACTGTAGTTAAATGTCTAGTGACTGGACCAACCATGGCTGTAGTTAAATGTCCAGTGACTGGACCAACCATGGCTGTAGTTAAATGTCCAGTGACTGGACCAAATATTTTCCAGGTATCTGGTGATGATGTTAGCTTAGAAGCGACGACTCTTGTGTCAGATGTTCTGTTGACATTGATGTCAAACCTGCGTCATTGTTTCCTGCCCACATCAAGCCTGTCAGTGAGTTCTGCAGGTGACAGCTCCGCCCATCCCTTCTGGTCCAGTAGGGGAACCAGTTCTCGCAGCGCCCTCTCCACCTCCCTGCAGATTGTCCTACGAGGCCTCATTGACTACATCCTCAAGTCAAGTAAGTCTAGCACAAACCATTGATAAAAACCTTCAATCTTGAGGACATCAAAACCTGCATCTAGAACTAGCATCACTCTAATTCTATGAATATTTAATGTTCAGTTGTCATCACTTGTTTTCAGGTGGTGGAATCCAAAAAGTGCGAGTTAATTTGTATGGAGCATTGTTGTACTGTTTGCAGATTGCCAAAAAACCAATCACAGTTGAGGATCCAACAACAAGTAAGCTACATTTTTTTAATGCTTATAACATCCCATAGTTGTAATGTTCAACACTTTTTTAGCGCATATAACATCCAACAGTTGTAATGATCAACACTTTTTTAGCGCATATAACATCCAACAGTTGTAATGTTCAACACTTTTTTAGCGCATATAACATCCAACAGTTGTAATGATCAACACTTTTTTAGCGCATATAACATCCAACAGTTGTAATGTTCAACACTTTTTTAGCGCATATAACATCCAACAGTTGTAATGATCAACACTTTTTTAGCGCATATAACATCCAACAGTTGTAATGATCAACACTTTTTTAGCGCATATAACATCCAACAGTTGTAATGATCAACACTTTTTTAGCGCATATAACATCCAACAGTTGTAATGATCAACACTTTTTTAGCGCATATAACATCCAACAGTTGTAATGATCAACACTTTTTTAGCGCATATAACATCCAACAGTTGTAATGATCAACACTTTTTTAGCGCATATAACATCCAACAGTTGTAATGATCAACACTTTTTTAGCGCATATAACATCCAACAGTTGTAATGTTCAACACTTTTTTAGCGCATATAACATCCAACAGTTGTAATGATCAACACTTTTTTAGCGCATATAACATCCAACAGTTGTAATGTTCAACACTTTTTTAGCGCATATAACATCCAACAGTTGTAATGATCAACACTTTTTTAGCGCATATAACATCCAACAGTTGTAATGATCAACACTTTTTTAGCGCATATAACATCCAACAGTTGTAATGATCAACACTTTTTTAGCGCATATAACATCCAACAGTTGTAATGATCAACACTTTTTTAGCGCATATAACATCCAACAGTTGTAATGATCAACACTTTTTTAGCGCATATAACATCCAACAGTTGTAATGATCAACACTTTTTTAGCGCATATAACATCCAACAGTTGTAATGATCAACACTTTTTTAGCGCATATAACATCCAACAGTTGTAATGATCAACACTTTTTTAGCGCATATAACATCCAACAGTTGTAATGATCAACACTTTTTTAGCGCATATAACATCCAACAGTTGTAATGATCAACACTTTTTTAGCGCATATAACATCCAACAGTTGTAATGATCAACACTTTTTTAGCGCATATAACATCCAACAGTTGTAATGATCAACACTTTTTTAGCGCATATAACATCCAACAGTTGTAATGATCAACACTTTTTTAGCGCATATAACATCCAACAGTTGTAATGATCAACACTTTTTTAGCGCATATAACATCCAACAGTTGTAATGATCAACACTTTTTTAGCGCATATAACATCCAACAGTTGTAATGATCAACACTTTTTTAGCGCATATAACATCCAACAGTTGTAATGATCAACACTTTTTTAGCGCATATAACATCCAACAGTTGTAATGATCAACACTTTTTTAGCGCATATAACATCCAACAGTTGTAATGATCAACACTTTTTTAGCGCATATAACATCCAACAGTTGTAATGATCAACACTTTTTTAGCGCATATAACATCCAACAGTTGTAATGATCAACACTTTTTTAGCGCATATAACATCCAACAGTTGTAATGATCAACACTTTTTTAGCGCATATAACATCCAACAGTTGTAATGATCAACACTTTTTTAGCGCATATAACATCCAACAGTTGTAATGATCAACACTTTTTTAGTGCTTATAACATCCCTCCCACAGTTGTTCAACACTTTTTTTTTAGTGTATGTAACATCATGCAGTTTGAGTTATGCAAATCTCTACCAGAGTCAGATTATCTGTAACATTCAACTGATTAATTGTTCCAGTTTCCAATGAGTTTGGCATGGAAAGAATTTTATCCAGAGATGAAACAGAGTTTGAAAGACTAGCTAGTGAGAACATGGAGACAATCACATCATACGGGGACAGCTTTATGGAGACCCTCTGTAGGGATGCCTGTGATGGTCATCATGTAGGCCGGGTATGTAACTCAGGCCACTGTGTCTTGTCTTGTCATGGCCACTGTGTGTCTTGTCATGGCCACTGTGTGTCTTGTCATGGCCACTGTGTGTCTTGTCATGGCCACTGTGTGTCTTGTTATGGCCACTTTGTGTCTTGTCATGGCCACTGTGTGTCTTGTCATGGCCACTGTGTGTCTTGTCATGGCCACTGTGTCTTGTCATGGCCACTGTGTGTCTTGTCATGGCCACTGTGTGTCTTGTCATGGCCACTGTGTGTCTTGTCATGGCCACTGTGTGTCTTGTCATGGCCACTGTGTCTTGTCATGGCCACTGTGTGTCTTGTCATGGCCACTGTGTGTCTTGTCATGGCCACTGTGTGTCTTGTCATGGCCACTGTGTGTCTTGTCATGGCCACTGTGTGTCTTGTCATGGACACTGTGTCTTGTCATGGCCACTGTGTGTCATGTCATGGCCACTGTGTGTCTTGTCATGGCCACTGTGTGTCTTTTCATGGCCACTTTGTGTCTTGTCATGGCCACTGTGTGTCTTGTCATGGCCACTGTGTGTCTTGTCATGGCCACTGTGTGTCTTTTCATGGCCACAGTGTGTCTTGTCATGGCCACTGTGTGTCTTGTCATGGCCACTGTGTGTCTTTTCATGGCCACAGTGTGTCTTGTCATGGCCACAGTGTGTCTTTTCATGGCCACTTTGTGTCTTGTCATGGCCACTGTGTGTCTTGTCATGGCCACTGTGTGTCTTTTCATGGCCACTGTGTGTCTTGTCATGGCCACTGTGTGTCTTTTCATGGCCACAGTGTGTCTTGTCATGGCCACAGTGTGTCTTGTCATGGCCACTGTGTGTCTTGACTTGGATTGTCTGTTGCCCTTGACCTGGGTTGTCTGTTGACCTTGACTTGGGTTGTCTCTTGACCTTGACTTTTCTGTTGACCTTGACTTGGGTTGTCTGTTGACCTTGACTTGGATTGTCTGTTGACCTGGATTGTCTGTTGCCCTTGAACTGGATTGTCTGTTGCCCTTGACCTGGATTGTCTATTGCCCTTGACCTGGGTTGTCTGTTGACCTTGACTTGGGTTGTCTGTTGACCTTGACTTGGGTTGTCTGTTGACCTTGACTTGGATTGTCTGTTGACCTGGATTGTCTGTTGCCCTTGACCTGGATTGTCTGTTGCCCTTGACCTGAATCATCTTTTCTCCCAGATGCTTGCCCTCTCTGTGTTTGATACCATCATCTCCATGGACAGACAGCATGCATGGCTGAACTTCCTGTGTGGGCGTGGCTACCTCCAGCACCTAGTGGACTCCGTGGCATCAGAGGACGATGGTCAGCTACTGGCCATACTCTCACCTCAGCCTGCCAATCTTCGTGCTCTCTACATATTTCACTCTAAAATGGTACATCTACCTCTACATATTTCACTCTAAAATGGTACATCTACCTCTACATATTTCACTCTAAAATGGTACATCTACCTCTACATATTTCACTCTAAAATGGTACATCTACCTCTACATATTTCACTCTAAAATGGTACATCTACCTCTACATATTTCACTCTAAAATGGTACATCTACCTCTACATATTTCACTCTAAAATGGTACATCTACCTCTACATATTTCACTCTAAAATGGTACATCTACCTCTACATATTTCACTCTAAAATGGTACATCTACCTCTACATATTTCACTCTAAAATGGTACATCTACCTCTACATATTTCACTCTAAAATGGTACATCTACCTCTACATATTTCACTCTAAAATGGTACATCTACCTCTACATATTTCACTCTAAAATGGTTCATCTACCTCTACATATTTCACTCTAAAATGGTACATCTACCTCTACATATTTCACTCTAAAATGGTACATCTACCTCTACATATTTCACTCTAAAATGGTACATCTACCTCTACATATTTCACTCTAAAATGGTACATCTACCTCTACATATTTCACTCTAAAATGGTACATCTACCTCTACATATTTCACTCTAAAATGGTACATCTACCTCTACATATTTCACTCTAAAATGGTACATCTACCTCTACATATTTCACTCTAAAATGGTACATCTACCTCTACATATTTCACTCTAAAATGGTACATCTACCTCTACATATTTCACTCTAAAATGGTACATCTACCTCTACATATTTCACTCTAAAATGGTACATCTACCTCTACATATTTCACTCTAAAATGGTACATCTACCTCTACATATTTCACTCTAAAATGGTACATCTACCTCTACATATTTCACTCTAAAATGGTACATCTACCTCTACATATTTCACTCTAAAATGGTACATCTACCTCTACATATTTCACTCTAAAATGGTACATCTACCTCTACATATTTCACTCTAAAATGGTACATCTACTTCATTATATCATGCCCCTACTATGTTGAAATATTGGACCTGGTTGTGTTTAGCCAGCGACCTGTTTGTGTTTAGCCATTGACCTGGTTGATTTAGCCAGTTAACCTTGTGATTAGCCAGTTAACCTGGTGTTTAGCCTGTAGTTTTGTTTTCCAGTCTTTGTTGACCCGAGTGGCTGAGTCAGTTCAAGGGGCTAGAACACTGCTACACGGAGGAGCTTTAGAGAAACTTGCTGCCTGTTCTGTTCTCAGCCTGCGACCAGAATCAGATGAGTAGGTTTACATTTTACTTCATGAGGAAACTAACTTTATTTTGTCTTACTGAAATTATAGTTGATTCCTTTTTGCGCTTTTTCTATATTGGGCTTTTTCTATATTTTTTTCATTGGGCGGGCAGACACATTAAATGTATGAGCTAATGTTTATAGTGTGTCAGTGGGTGGGACCTCCCGAATGGGGCAGGACACCGTTAAGTTCTCGGTGAATCCTGTTGGTAGGTGAGGTACAGTAAAAGCATTGTGGACATTGAAGATATTTTCTCTCATTTAAAGTTCAATGAGGGTATTATTGGAATGTTCAAAATGCCACAGGACACAGTTTAGTTCCATGAACAAATCTGTTGGTTTGGTAAACTAACCCTTGGGACCATGTTTACAGCGCAAGTCGTATGATAGAGGAGGAAGAGGACCTCCTGCCCAGCCCACTCTCCAGATACCGCTTGCTGCTCTTTGCTGTCCTGCAGTTTTGTCAGGCCTTACTCACATCATTGGGGGGTGAAAATAAGGAGGCAGCTACACAGGTAAACATAGGTAGATCTCACATCATTGGGGGGGGGGAATAAGGAGGCAGGTAAACATAGGTAGACCTCACATCATTGGGGGGTGAAAATAAGGAGGCAGCTACACAGGTAAACATAGGTAGACCTCACATCATTGGGGGGTGAAAATAAGGAGGCAGCTACACAGGTAAACATAGGTAGACCTCACATTATTGGGGGGTGAAAATAAGGAGGCAGCTACACAGGTAAACATAGACCTCACATCATTGGGGGGGGGGGGGGGGTGAAAATAAGGAGGCAGCTACACAGGTAAACATAGGTAGACCTCACATCATTGGGGGGTGAAAATAAGGAGGCAGCTACACAGGTAAACATAGGTAGACCTCACATCATTGGGGGGGGGGGGAATAAGGGGGCAGCTACACAGGTAAACATAGGTAGACCTCACATCATTGGGGTGGGGGAATAAGGGGGCAGCTACACAGGTAAACATAGGTAGACCTCACATCATTGGGGGGTGAAAATAAGGAGGCAGCTACACAGGTAAACATAGGTAGACCTCACATCATTGGGGGGTGAAAATAAGGAGGCAGCTACACAGGTAAACATAGACCTCACATCATTGGGGGGGTGAAAATAAGGAGGCAGCTACACAGGTAAACATAGGTAGACCTCACATCATTGGGGGGTGAAAATAAGGAGGCAGCTACACAGGTAAACATAGGTAGACCTCACATCATTGGGGGGTGAAAATAAGGAGGCAGCTACACAGGTAAACATAGGTAGACCTCACATTATTGGGGGGTGAAAATAAGGAGGCAGCTACACAGGTAAACATAGGTAGACCTCACGTCATTGGGGGGTGAAAATAAGGAGGCAGCTACACAGGTAAACATAGGTAGACCTCACACCATTGGGGGGTGAAAATAAGGAGGCAGCTACACAGGTAAACATAGGTAGACCTCACATCATTGGGGGGTGAAAATAAGGAGGCAGCTACATAGGTAAACATAGGTAGACCTCACATCATTGGGGGGTGAAAATAAGGGGGCAGCTACACAGGTAAACATAGGTAGATCTCACATCATTGGGGGGTGAAAATAAGGAGGCAGCTACACAGGTAAACATAGACCTCACATCATTGGGGGGGGGGGGGGTGAAAATAAGGAGGCAGCCACACTGTTCCCAGTGTTTGATAATATTTTCTCTCTTTAATCATTTGTTTAGCCCAGTCCAAGTTTTAAATCTAGGTCATGCTAAAGCTGCCTTTTTTAGTTGGTTTTTTTTTTTTTTTTGTATTTACTTCTTGGAGTTTTCACATAGGGTTGATTTCATATATTGTATAGAAATTTTTGACATGTTTACTTTGCAAACACAGATTTTAAGTATTCTAATACTAATCCAATCTATGATTGTGGTAGAAAAATTAACATGCTTCAGTTTTCTATGAATAAGAACTCATGAATTAAAAATTTTTTCATTACTGTTCCCAATCCAAGCAGATTTTTTCTGAAAAATATTTTTTTACCACCTATTCTCTGTCTTTCATCTGTTGTGTTTTTGTCATGGATCAAAACTGGCGAGCAAAATTTTGACCACTTCTAAAAAACTGATTCATTTCAAACTTGGCATGTGGGTCAAAACCTGATGACAGTTCAATCTGATATCAAATTTTACTTAAGTGGATGCCAAACTAATTTTAAAGAATTAATTAGTTTCCTTTATAAAGTACCTACTATTTTCTGCGCTATCGTTCGCACATTTTTCCTGATCATTTGTTCTTTTGTATTAAAAATGTTAAAGTACTGAGAAAAAAAATCAGAAAAAATGTTTTAATAACAATCATTTATATAATTATGCACAAAAAGGAACATAAATAATTTTCATGAAATACATTTAATACATGAAATACATTTATTTTTACATTTGCTCTATTGACTTTAAGTGAAAGTTTGGTTATAGTGTGTCAGTTTGTTTGTTCTCCAGGTGATGCTTCTATTGATCTCACATGGAGATGTCATCTCCTCCATATTGAGGAGCTACAAGCCTACACTGAATGAATCCTCTCTCAGGGAACTCAGTCTAACCACAGCAGTTATTGCAAGGGCTAATTACCATAGTAAGTCACTGGCTATAATCAGGGCTAATTACCATAGTAAGTCACTGGCTATAATCAGGGCTAATTACCATAGTAAGTCACTAGCTTTAATCAGGGCTAATTACCATAGTAAGTCACTGGCTATAATCAGGGCTAATTACCATAGTAAGTCACTGGCTATAATCAGGGCTAATTACCATAGTAAGTCACTGGCTATAATCAGGGCTAATTACCATAGTAAGTCACTAGCTTTAATCAGGGCTAATTACCATAGTAAGTCACTGGCTATAATTAGGGCTAATTACCATAGTAAGTCACTGGCTTTAATCAGGGCTAATTACCATAGTAAGTCACTGGCTATGATCAGGGCTAATTACCATAGTAAGTCACTGGCTTTAATTAGGGCTAATTACCATAGTAAGTCACTGGCTTTAATCAGGGCTAATTACCATAGTAAGTCACTGGCTATAATCAGGGCTAATTACCATAGTAAGTAACTGGCTATAATCAGGGCTAATTACCATAGTAAGTCACTGGCTATAATCAGGGCTAATTACCATAGTAAGTCACTGGCTGTAATCAGGGCTAATTACCATAGTAAGTCACTGGCTATAATCAGGGCTAATTACTATAGTAAGTCACTGGCTATAATCAGGGCTAATTACCATAGTAAGTCACTGGCTATAATCAGGGCTAATTACCATAGTAAGTCACTGGCTGTAATCAGGGCTAATTACTATTGGAAGTTTGATCTAGCTGATCTGACATTACTTTTTTTTTTCAGCTGATTTGGGTGCTGACTTACTGGAGCATGATACAGCTAGTATGGAGTTCAAATCCCAACGCATGCGTCTTCAGGTAAACAAACTTGTATTTTCTCTTATGTAGATTTACTCTACTAGCAGACATGTAGATTTACTCTGATTACTAGCAGACATGTAGATTTTCTCTGATTACTAGCAGACATGTAGATTTTCCACTTTTTACTGACACATGTTTGTCTTATTGTCAGCTGAAATTTCACTTTTACCACTGCTGCTATTTAATTTTCTAATTTTTAGCTGGTTATTTTTAGTAACTTACTAGTTTTATTTTAAAATCTCCAGTTTCATAGTTTAGACATGTTTGGAAGTGAAAGGTGGTTATGAAATAACTAAAATAAGATTGGTGTCAAATAAACTGATGCCACTATTTGATTGCAATATGTATCTTGTGACAGGATCAAATGCTGGCTCTACTCCCCCTGTATGCCACACCAGAGAGTTTTATGAAACAGCTGAAGGGACACCTGACTTCACCAAACAGCCTGACTGCCCATGCAGACAGTGAAACAGCTGCGCAGCTTCTGCACCTGTACCTGGAGATAGGCTCAAACCTTACAGCATACTGTCGTAGTCTTATCTCAAACATAGGTGGGTGGTTCAAACTTGGCTGGTTTAACTTGGGTGGTTTAACTTGGTGCATTTAACTTAGTGGGTTTAACTTGGGTGGTTTAACTTGGGTGGTTTAACTTGGGTGGTTTAACTTGGTGGGTTTAACATGGTGGTGGTTTAACTTGGGTGGTTTAACTTGGTGGGTTTAACTTGGGTGGTTTAACTTGGTGCGTTTAACTTGGTGGGTTTTCCCCATGTACCAAAATGTTCTCCCCATGTACTAAAATGTTTTCCCCATGTACCAAAATGTTTTCCCCATGTACCAAAATGTTTTCCCCATGTACCAAAATGTTTTCCCCATGTACTAAAATGTTTTCCCCATGTACCAAAATGTTTTCCCCATGTACCAAAATGTTTTCCCCATGTACCAAAATGTTTTCCCCATGTACTAAAATGTTTTCCCCATGTACCAAAATGTTTTCCCCATGTACTAAAATGTTTTCCCCATGTACCAAAATGTTTTCCCCATGTACCAAAATGTTTTCCCCATGTACCAAAATGTTTTCCCCATGTACTAAAATGTTTTCCCCATGTACCAAAATGTTTTCCCCATGTACTAAAATGTTTTCCCCATGTACCAAAATGTTTTCCCCATGTACTAAAATGTTTTCCCCATGTACCAAAATGTTTTCCCCATGTACTAAAATGTTTTCCCCATGTACCAAAATGTTTTCCCCATGTACTAAAATGTTTTCCCCATGTACCAAAATGTTTTCCCCATGTACCAAAATGTTTTCCCCATGTACCAAAATGTTTTCCCCATGTACCAAAATGTTTTCCCCATGTACTAAAATGTTCTCCCCATGTACCAAAATGTTTTCCTCATGTACTAAAATGTTTTCCCCATGTACCAAAATGTTTTCCTCATGTACTAAAATGTTTTCCTCATGTACTAAAATGTTTTCCTCATGTACTAAAATGTTTTCCCCATGTACCAAAATGTTTTCCCCATGTACTAAAATGTTTTCCCCATGTACCAAAATGTTTTCCCCATGTACCAAAATGTTTTCCTCATGTACTAAAATGTTTTCCCCATGTACCAAAATGTTTTCCCCATGTACTAAAATGTTTTCCCCATGTACCAAAATGTTCTCCAGGGACCAGCAACCTCAGCCAACATCTGCTCTTTGGTCCCAGCTTAGATGAGGTCAACATGCGTGACAGTTCAAGAGTTAATGGTAAGTGAGGTGACAGCTTATCTGGCGGTTAAAGGGTTAATGGTAAGTTAAGTGACAGCTTATCTGACAGTTAAAGGGTTAATGGTAAGTTAAGTGACAGCTTATCTGACAGTTAAAGGGTTAATGGTAAGTTAAGTGACAGCTTATCTGGTGGTTAAAGGGTTAATGGTAAGTTAAGTGACAGCTTATCTGGCGGTTAAAGGGTTAATGGTAAGTTAAGTGACAGCTTATCTGACAGTTAAAGGGTTAATGGTAAGTTAAGTGACAGCTTATCTGGCGGTTAAAGGGTTAATGGTAAGTTAAGTGACAGCTTATCTGGCGGTTAAAGGGTTAATGGTAAGTTAAGTAACAGCTTATCTGACAGTTAAAGGGTTAATGGTAAGTTAAGTGACAGCTTATCTGACAGTTAAAGGGTTAATGGTAAGTTAAGTGACAGCTTATCTGGCGGTTAAAGGGTTAATGGTAAGTTAAGTGACAGCTTATCTGACAGTTAAAGGGTTAATGGTAAGTTAAGTGACAGCTTATCTGGCGGTTAAAGGGTTAATATTAATAGTAAGTTAGGTGACAACTTATCTGACAGTTAAAGGGTTAATAGTAAGTTAGATGACAACTTATCTGACAGTTAAAGGATTAATGGTAAGTTAAGTGACAGCTTATCTGACAGTTAAAGGGTTAATGGTAAGTTAAGTGACAGCTTATCTGGCGGTTAAAGGGTTAATGGTAAGTTAAGTGACAGCTTATCTGGTGGTTAAAGGGTTAATGGTAAGTTAAGTGACAGCTTATCTGACAGTTAAAGGGTTAATGGTAAGTTAAGTGACAGCTTATCTGGTGGTTAAAGGGTTAATGGTAAGTTAAGTGACAGCTTATCTGGCGGTTAAAGGGTTAATGGTAAGTTAAGTGACAGCTTATCTGACAGTTAAAGGGTTAATGGTAAGTTAAGTGACAGCTTATCTGGCGGTTAAAGGGTTAATGGTAAGTTAAGTGACAGCTTATCTGGCGGTTAAAGGGTTAATGGTAAGTTAAGTGACAGCTTATCTGACAGTTAAAGGGTTAATGGTAAGTTAAGTGACAGCTTATCTGACAGTTAAAGGGTTAATGGTAAGTTAAGTGACAGCTTATCTGGCGGTTAAAGGGTTAATGGTAAGTTAAGTGACAGCTTATCTGACAGTTAAAGGGTTAATGGTAAGTTAAGTGACAGCTTATCTGGCGGTTAAAGGGTTAATATTAATAGTAAGTTAGGTGACAACTTATCTGACAGTTAAAGGGTTAATAGTAAGTTAGATGACAACTTATCTGACAGTTAAAGGATTAATGGTAAGTTAAGTGACAGCTTATCTGACAGTTAAAGGGTTAATGGTAAGTTAAGTGACAGCTTATCTGGCGGTTAAAGGGTTAATGGTAAGTTAAGTGACAGCTTATCTGGTGGTTAAAGGGTTAATGGTAAGTTAAGTGACAGCTTATCTGGTGGTTAAAGGGTTAATGGTAAGTTAAGTGACAGCTTATCTGGTGGTTAAAGGGTTAATGGTAAGTTAAGTGACAGCTTATCTGACAGTTAAAGGGTTAATGGTAAGTTAAGTGACAGCTTATCTGACAGTTAAAGGGTTAATGGTAAGTTAAGTGACAGCTTATCTGACAGTTAAAGGGTTAATGGTAAGTTAAGTGACAGCTTATCTGGCGGTTAAAGGGTTAATGGTAAGTTAAGTGACAGCTTATCTGGTGGTTAAAGGGTTAATGGTAAGTTAAGTGACAGCTTATCTGACAGTTAAAGGGTTAATGGTAAGTTGAGTGACCAAATGTTTTTGTTGCAGATGTGACCCTGGGACTGGGCAGAAGGCTGGGGCTGGGTGTGGTCATCCTGTTGCTCCAGCAGAGCACACGTCAGTTCAGCGTGGTGCTGGACGCTCACCACCAGAACGCACAGAAGCTGGCCTCCCTCTCAGAGCTGACTGCTGAAGACCTCAAGCAGGTACATCTGTCATCTTGTACACCACCACATCTGTCACCTTGTACACCACATCTGTCACCTTGTACACCACCACATCTGTCACCTTGTACACCACATCTGTCACCTTGTACACCACATCTGTCACCTTGTACACCACATTTGTCACCTTGTACACCACCACATCTGTCACCTTGTACACCACCACATGTCACCTTGTACACCACATCTGTCACCTTGTACACCACCACATCTGTCACCTTGTACACCACATCTGTCACCTTGTACACCTCCAAAACTGTCACCTTGTACACCACCACATCTGTCACCTTGTACACCACCACATCTGTCACCTTGTACACCACATCTGTCACCTTGTACACCACCACATCTGTCACCTTGTACACCACATCTGTCACCTTGTACACCACCACATCTGTCACCTTGTACACCACATCTGTCACCTTGTACACCACCACATCTGTCACCTTGTACACCACATCTGTCACCTTGTACACCACCACATCTGTCACCTTGTACACCACATCTGTCACCTTGTACACCACATCTGTCACCTTGTACACCACATCTGTCACCTTGTACACCACATCTGTCACCTTGTACACCTCCGAAACTGTCACCTTGTACACCACCACATCTGTCACCTTGTACACCACCACATCTGTCACCTTGTACACCACATCTGTCACCTTGTACACCACATCTGTCACCTTGTACACCACCACATCTGTCACCTTGTACACCACATCTGTCACCTTGTACACCTCCGAAACTGTCACCTTGTACACCACCACATCTGTCACCTTGTACACCACCACATCTGTCACCTTGTACACCACATCTGTCACCTTGTACACCACCACATCTGTCACCTTGTACACCACATCTGTCACCTTGTACACCTCCGAAACTGTCACCTTGTACACCTCCGAAACTGTCACCTTGTACACCACATCTGTCACCTTGTACACCACCACATCTGTCACCTTGTACACCACATCTGTCACCTTGTACACCACCACATCTGTCACCTTGTACACCACCACATCTGTCACCTTGTACACCACATCTGTCACCTTGTACACCACCACATCTGTCACCTTGTACACCACCACATCTGTCACCTTGTACACCACCACATCTGTCACCTTGTACACCACATCTGTCACCTTGTACACCACATCTGTCACCTTGTACACCACATCTGTCACCTTGTACACCACCACATCTGTCACCTTGTACACCACATCTGTCACCTTGTACACCACCACATCTGTCACCTTGTACACCACCACATCTGTCACCTTGTACACCACATCTGTCACCTTGTACACCACCACATCTGTCACCTTGTACACCACCACATCTGTCACCTTGTACACCACCACATCTGTCACCTTGTACACCACCACATCTGTCACCTTGTACACCACCACATCTGTCACCTTGTACACCACATCTGTCACCTTGTACACCACATCTGTCACCTTGTACACCACATCTGTCACCTTGTACACCACATCTGTCACCTTGTACACCACCACATCTGTCACCTTGTACACCACCACATCTGTCACCTTGTACACCACCACATCTGTCACCTTGTACACCACCACATCTGTCACCTTGTACACCACCACATCTGTCACCTTGTACACCACATCTGTCACCTTGTACACCACATCTGTCACCTTGTACACCACATCTGTCACCTTGTACACCACATCTGTCACCTTGTACACCACCACATCTGTCACCTTGTACACCACATCTGTCACCTTGTACACCACCACATCTGTCACCTTGTACACCACCACATCTGTCACCTTGTACACCACATCTGTCACCTTGTACACCACATCTGTCACCTTGTACACCACATCTGTCACCTTGTACACCACCACATCTGTCACCTTGTACACCACCACATCTGTCACCTTGTACACCACCACGTCACCTTGTACACCACATCTGTCACCTTGTACACCACATCTGTCACCTTGTACACCACATCTGTCACCTTGTACACCACATCTGTCACCTTGTACACCACCACATCTGTCACCTTGTACACCACCACATCTGTCACCTTGTACACCACATCTGTCACCTTGTACACCACCACATCTGTCACCTTGTACACCACCACATCTGTCACCTTGTACACCACCACATCTGTCACCTTGTACACCACATCTGTCACCTTGTACACCACATCTGTCACCTTGTACACCACATCTGTCACCTTGTACACCACATCTGTCACCTTGTACACCACATCTGTCACCTTGTACACCACATCTGTCACCTTGTACACCACATCTGTCACCTTGTACACCACATCTGTCACCTTGTACACCACCACATCTGTCACCTTGTACACCACCACATCTGTCACCTTGTACACCACCACATCTGTCACCTTGTACACCACCACATCTGTCATCTTGTACACAAGACACATCTGTCATCTTGTACACCACCACATCTGTCACCTTGTACACCACCACATGTCACCTTGTACACCACATCTGTCACCTTGTACACCACATCTGTCACCTTGTACACCACCACATCTGTCACCTTGTACACCACCACATCTGTCACCTTGTACACCACCACATCTGTCACCTTGTACACCACCACATCTGTCACCTTGTACACCACCACATCTGTCACCTTGTACACCACATCTGTCACCTTGTACACCACCACATCTGTCACCTTGTACACCACATCTGTCACCTTGTACACCACCACATCTGTCACCTTGTACACCACATGTCACCTTGTACACCACATCTGTCACCTTGTACACCACATCTGTCACCTTGTACACCACCACATCTGTCACCTTGTACACCACCACATCTGTCACCTTGTACACCACCACATCTGTCACCTTGTACACCACCACATCTGTCACCTTGTACACCACCACATCTGTCACCTTGTACACCACCACATCTGTCACCTTGTACACCACCACATCTGTCACCTTGTACACCACCACATCTGTCACCTTGTACACCACATCTGTCACCTTGTACACCACCACATCTGTCACCTTGTACACCACCACATCTGTCACCTTGTACACCACCACATCTGTCACCTTGTACACCACCACATCTGTCACCTTGTACACCACCACATCTGTCACCTTGTACACCACCACATCTGTCACCTTGTACACCACATCTGTCACCTTGTACACCACATCTGTCACCTTGTACACCACCACATCTGTCACCTTGTACACCACCACATCTGTCACCTTGTACACCACCACATCTGTCACCTTGTATACCACCACATCTGTCACCTTGTACACCACCACATCTGTCACCTTGTACACCACCACATCTGTCACCTTGTACACCACATCTGTCACCTTGTACACCACCACATCTGTCACCTTGTACACCACATCTGTCACCTTGTACACCACATCTGTCACCTTGTACACCACATCTGTCACCTTGTACACCACCACATCTGTCACCTTGTACACCACATCTGTCACCTTGTACACCACCACATCTGTCACCTTGTACACCACATCTGTCACCTTGTACACCACCACATCTGTCACCTTGTACACCACATCTGTCACCTTGTACACCACATCTGTCACCTTGTACACCACCACATCTGTCACCTTGTACACCACTACATCTGTCACCTTGTACACCACATCTGTCACCTTGTACACCACCACATCTGTCACCTTGTACATCACATCTGTCACCTTGTACACCACATCTGTCACCCTGTACACCACCACATCTGTCACCTTGTACACCACCACATCTGTCACCTTGTACACCACCACATGTCACCTTGTACACCACATCTGTCACCTTGTATACCACATCTGTCACCTTGTACACCACCACATCTGTCACCTTGTACACCACCACATCTGTCACCTTGTACACCACCACATCTGTCACCTTGTACACCACATCTGTCACCTTGTACACCACATCTGTCACCTTGTACACCACATCTGTCACCTTGTACACCACCACATCTGTCACCTTGTACACCACATCTGTCACCTTGTACACCACCACATCTGTCACCTTGTACACCACCACATCTGTCACCTTGTACACCACCACATCTGTCACCTTGTACACCACCACATCTGTCACCTTGTACACCACCACATCTGTCACCTTGTACACCACATCTGTCACCTTGTACACCACATCTGTCACCTTGTACACCACATCTGTCACCTTGTACACCACATCTGTCACCTTGTACACCACCACATCTGTCACCTTGTACACCACCACATCTGTCACCTTGTACACCACATCTGTCACCTTGTACACCACCACATCTGTCACCTTGTACACCACCACATCTGTCACCTTGTACACCACCACATCTGTCACCTTGTACACCACCACATCTGTCACCTTGTACACCACCACATCTGTCACCTTGTACACCACATCTGTCACCTTGTACACCACATCTGTCACCTTGTACACCACATCTGTCACCTTGTACACCACATCTGTCACCTTGTACACCACCACATCTGTCACCTTGTACACCACCACATCTGTCACCTTGTACACCACATCTGTCACCTTGTACACCACCACATCTGTCACCTTGTACACCACATCTGTCACCTTGTACACCACATCTGTCACCTTGTACACCACATCTGTCACCTTGTACACCACATCTGTCACCTTGTACACCACATCTGTCACCTTGTACACCACCACATCTGTCACCTTGTACACCACCACATCTGTCACCTTGTACACCACCACATGTCACCTTGTACACCACATCTGTCACCTTGTACACCACATCTGTCACCTTGTACACCACCACATCTGTCACCTTGTACACCACCACATCTGTCACCTTGTACACCACATCTGTCACCTTGTACACCACATCTGTCACCTTGTACACCACATCTGTCACCTTGTACACCACCACATCTGTCACCTTGTACACCACCACATCTGTCACCTTGTACACCACCACATCTGTCACCTTGTACACCACCACATCTGTCACCTTGTACACCACATCTGTCACCTTGTACACCACATCTGTCACCTTGTACACCACCACATCTGTCACCTTGTACACCACCACATCTGTCACCTTGTACACCACATCTGTCACCTTGTACACCACCACATCTGTCACCTTGTACACCACCACATCTGTCACCTTGTACACCACCACATCTGTCACCTTGTATACCACCACATCTGTCACCTTGTACACCATCACATCTGTCACCTTGTACACCACCACATCTGTCACCTTGTACACCACCACATCTGTCACCTTGTACACCACCACATCTGTCACCTTGTACACCACATCTGTCACCTTGTACACCACCACATCTGTCACCTTGTACACCACATCTGTCACCTTGTACACCACCACATCTGTCACCTTGTACACCACATCTGTCACCTTGTACACCACCACATCTGTCACCTTGTACACCACATCTGTCACCTTGTACACCACATCTGTCACCTTGTACACCACCACATCTGTCACCTTGTACACCACTACATCTGTCACCTTGTACACCACATCTGTCACCTTGTACACCACCACATCTGTCACCTTGTACATCACATCTGTCACCTTGTACACCACATCTGTCACCCTGTACACCACCACATCTGTCACCTTGTACACCACCACATCTGTCACCTTGTACACCACCACATGTCACCTTGTACACCACATCTGTCACCTTGTACACCACATCTGTCACCTTGTACACCACCACATCTGTCACCTTGTACACCACCACATCTGTCACCTTGTACACCACCACATCTGTCACCTTGTACACCACATCTGTCACCTTGTACACCACATCTGTCACCTTGTACACCACATCTGTCACCTTGTACACCACCACATCTGTCACCTTGTACACCACATCTGTCACCTTGTACACCACCACATCTGTCACCTTGTACACCACCACATCTGTCACCTTGTACACCACCACATCTGTCACCTTGTACACCACCACATCTGTCACCTTGTACACCACCACATCTGTCACCTTGTACACCACATCTGTCACCTTGTACACCACATCTGTCACCTTGTACACCACATCTGTCACCTTGTACACCACATCTGTCACCTTGTACACCACCACATCTGTCACCTTGTACACCACCACATCTGTCACCTTGTACACCACATCTGTCACCTTGTACACCACCACATCTGTCACCTTGTACACCACCACATCTGTCACCTTGTACACCACCACATCTGTCACCTTGTACACCACCACATCTGTCACCTTGTACACCACCACATCTGTCACCTTGTACACCACCACATCTGTCACCTTGTACACCACATCTGTCACCTTGTACACCACATCTGTCACCTTGTACACCACATCTGTCACCTTGTACACCACCACATCTGTCACCTTGTACACCACCACATCTGTCACCTTGTACACCACCACATCTGTCACCTTGTACACCACATCTGTCACCTTGTACACCACCACATCTGTCACCTTGTACACCACATCTGTCACCTTGTACACCACATCTGTCACCTTGTACACCACATCTGTCACCTTGTACACCACATCTGTCACCTTGTACACCACCACATCTGTCACCTTGTACACCACCACATCTGTCACCTTGTACACCACCACATGTCACCTTGTACACCACATCTGTCACCTTGTACACCACATCTGTCACCTTGTACACCACCACATCTGTCACCTTGTACACCACCACATCTGTCACCTTGTACACCACATCTGTCACCTTGTACACCACATCTGTCACCTTGTACACCACATCTGTCACCTTGTACACCACCACATCTGTCACCTTGTACACCACCACATCTGTCACCTTGTACACCACCACATCTGTCACCTTGTACACCACATCTGTCACCTTGTACACCACATCTGTCACCTTGTACACCACCACATCTGTCACCTTGTACACCACCACATCTGTCACCTTGTACACCACATCTGTCACCTTGTACACCACCACATCTGTCACCTTGTACACCACCACATCTGTCACCTTGTACACCACCACATCTGTCACCTTGTACACCACCACATCTGTCACCTTGTACACCACCACATCTGTCACCTTGTACACCACCACATCTGTCACCTTGTACACCACATCTGTCACCTTGTACACCACCACATCTGTCACCTTGTACACCACATCTGTCACCTTGTACACCTCCGAAACTGTCACCTTGTACACCACCACATCTGTCACCTTGTACACCACATCTGTCACCTTGTACACCACCACATCTGTCACCTTGTACACCACATCTGTCACCTTGTACACCACCACATCTGTCACCTTGTACACCACCACATCTGTCACCTTGTACACCACATCTGTCACCTTGTACACCACCACATCTGTCACCTTGTACACCACATCTGTCACCTTGTAGCCTGTTTAACCATGTAACCTGTTTAACCTTGTAGCCTGTTTAACCATGTAACCTGTTTAACCATGTAACCTGTTTAACCATGTAACCTGTTTAACCATGTAACCTGTTTAACCATGTCCCCTTTATGTTCCCAGCTTTGTGCTGACATCTATTTAGAAAAGTTGTCCTCACAACAAAGACAGGAAGTGGCCAGACAACGCTTGGTCCAGATTCTCTCACAGAAAAGTCAGCAGCTCCAGCACTATGTCTGTATCCTTAGGGTTGTCCCATTTTGTCTGCATCCTTAGGGTTGTCCCATCCTTAGGGTTGTCCCATCCTTAGGGTTGTCCCATCCTTAGGGTTGTCCCATCCTTAGGGTTGTCCCATCCTTAGGGTTGTCCCTACTTTTATTTCCATCCTATCATTTCTCACTGGTCTAGCGATCTCTTTCTAACCATGAATGACCCATCCATTCTACCCCTGATGTCCCAATGTAAGGTGCACAACTCTGTATGAACAGAACTATCCAACTTCCTGTTTAGTTAAAAATTTGGAATTTGTAGGCCAAATTTGTATGAAACAAATTTAATTTTTCTATGTGTATTGTAAGCGGGCAGCAGCTGTTGTTACAGGCCATAGTGGGGCGTAATGATTGAAATATATGTGTAAAAGTATGTCAAGATGGCTAATGTCTTGCTATTAAAGTAATATGTCCAGAAAGTAAATTTTAAATTGTCTCTTCCATCTTGCTGCATTTAAAAAACCCAAACTTTGAAAAGTTATAATTGAAAATGAACAAATAGTACAATTTGGGATTTCATAAACTTAATGTCAAAGTTAACAATTTAACATTAAATTTGAAAATTTAACATTATATTAAAAATTTTTAACTCATATTAAATTTTTTTAACTTATATTAAAAAATTGGTCAACAGAAGCCTAGAGCTTCACTCAACAAAGTAAAAATCTGAGGAATTTTTTTTTTTTAAACCAAACCTCAATCAGCCAAACAAACAGGTTGTGGCATTCTTCTTCAGTAGTCTCTAGTGCAGGCTAGGCTTGTTGTAGTGAACGAGTGAAGCGGATGAATGGGGGGTGAATGTTTTTTGTACAGTAGCTAGTTGTATGCCCTCTCATTGTATGGGCAAGCTAAAGAATCCAATTTGTTTTTTCAACTGTTAACCAATAACAAAATCTTGTCAATAAGTTCATCAGAGTACATGGTTTTGTTTTTCTAATTAAAAAAACAAATGGGTGTAGGCTCGCTATTAGCTATATAATACTATTTATACTACTTTCTGATATAAAATTTTAATATTTAGTAGAAACTAGTAGCCTGTGCTTAAGTTAGTCAATGTTTATAATTATTTTTTGACTTGCTCAAATTGATCCCACAAAGTGGTGTGGTGTGACACCCAGACATGCCTACCGTTCAGCCAAAAGCGGAATTTTTCTGCTATTTTACAAAAAATCATGTCCTTTGTTCCACCATCCAGTTTTTGTTGAAGTTCGGTTTTTTTTTAAAGAAAAAAAATGAATAAACTAAAGTAATAAAACAAATTGAATAAAAGAGCAGGGAAACGCGATTATCTCCCTTAGGCACACGTTTCCGTTTCTTAGTTTACAATATTTTAATTATTTACAAGTATCATCTTATAGTATTATAGTAATTCTAGCTTCTGAACGTTCTTTTTAGTATTTGCTATTGAATGATGCCTTAAATAACATGTAGGGAGAAAAATACAATAAAATCATGACTAACACTCTAATTTCTAGATCTAGATAAAGATCATAAAATACTAGAGTTATCTAGATCTAGAGATACCTAACAAAAACATATGCTTGTAAAAGTTGTAACTACTAAGACTAAGAAGTAACTAGGACTATTACTATGTAGATCTAGGTCTTAACTTATATTTTTTATATTACATACAAAGCCTTCAGCATTAATTGTTCATATAGCCTAGAACATATAATGTTATGTCAAATTCAAAGCTATGGGGTTTTATTCGGGGGGGAGGGGGGGGAGGGTGGTGGGTGGTCTCAGGTTACTGGTCAATTGTTTAAAAAAATGTAAGCTGACATTAAGCAGTATTTAAATGTAGCCTAGAGACTTGCTATATGTAACTAGAAGCCTACTAATGTCATTAGACTAATTTTTAATTATTTATTTTTATTTTTGACTTAGTAAAGTAGCGTCCGCGTTTCTGTTCCTCTTTTTGGCTTCAAATTCCTCTTGTTAGACATGACTGTTCTACTTTTGGTTGACAGGGCTAGGCATGTGTGGTGTATGTATATATGTCTTCTGTTCATTAGAACTCAGTGTATCTGTGATGTTTTAATATTGACACCTGGTGGAAAATCACGCCCCAAACATTCATCCTCACAGCATTTTCTCTTAACTCAAAAACTTGCTAGACATTGTGGAGAATTGCTTGTACATCTTATGGCGCCACCTGGAGTTTTATTTAGTGCACTGCATTCCAGCTGACCAGTCATCCATGACAGCTCCCACCTTGATGAGACACAGAACCGGCTTGAGAAAACTTACAGGTGTGTACATCTTACATGTGTCAGTGGTCAGTCCACATGTACAGGTGTGTACATCTTACATGTGTCAGTGGTCAGTACACACGTACAGGTTAGTTGATTGGTCCACACGTACAGGTTAGTTGATTGGTCCACACGTACAGGTTAGTTGATTGGTCCACACGTACAGGTTAGTTGATTGGTCCACACGTACAGGTTAGTTGATTGGTCCACACGTACAGGTTAGTTGATTGGTCCACACGTACAGGTTAGTTGATTGGTCCACACGTACAGGTTAGTTGATTGGTCCACACGTACAGGTCAGTTGATTGGTCCACACGTACAGGTTAGTTGATTGGTCCACACGTACAGGTTAGTTGATTGGTCCACACGTACAGGTTAGTTGATTGGTCCACACGTACAGTTTAGTTGATTGGTCCACACGTACAGGTTAGTTGATTGGTCCACACGTACAGGTCAGTTGATTGGTCCACACGTACAGGTCAGTTGATTGGTCCACACGTACAGGTCAGTTGATTGGTCCACACGTACAGGTTAGTTGATTGGTCCACACGTACAGGTCAGTTGATTGGACCACACGTACAGGTCAGTTGATTGGTCCACACGTACAGTTTAGTTGATTGGTCCACACGTACAGGTTAGTTGATTGGTCCACACGTACAGGTCAGTTGATTGGTCCACACGTACAGTTTAGTTGATTGGTCCACACGTACAGGTTAGTTGATTGGTCCACACGTACAGGTCAGTTGATTGGTCCACACGTACAGGTTAGTTGATTGGTCCACACGTACAGGTCAGGTGATTGGTCCACACGTACAGGTTAGTTGATTGGTCCACACGTACAGATTAGTTGATTGGTCCACACGTACAGGTCAGTTGATTGGTCCACACGTACAGGTCAGTTGATTGGTCCACACGTACAGGTTAGTTGATTGGTCCACACGTACAGGTTAGTTGATTGGTCCACACGTACAGGTCAGTTGATTGGTCCACACGTACAGGTTAGTTGATTGGTCCACACGTACAGGTTAGTTGATTGGTCCACACGTACAGGTTAGTTGATTGGTCCACACGTACAGTTTAGTTGATTGGTCCACACGTACAGGTTAGTTGATTGGTCCACACGTACAGGTTAGTTGATTGGTCCACACGTACAGTTTAGTTGATTGGTCCACACGTACAGGTTAGTTGATTGGTCCACACGTACAGGTCAGTTGATTGGTCCACACGTACAGGTCAGTTGATTGGTCCACACGTACAGGTCAGTTGATTGGTCCACACGTACAGGTTAGTTGATTGGTCCACACGTACAGGTCAGTTGATTGGACCACATGTACAGGTCAGTTGATTGGTCCACACGTACAGTTTAGTTGATTGGTCCACACGTACAGGTTAGTTGATTGGTCCACACGTACAGGTCAGTTGATTGGTCCACACGTACAGGTTAGTTGATTGGTCCACACGTACAGGTTAGTTGATTGGTCCACACGTACAGGTCAGTTGATTGGTCCACACGTACAGGTTAGTTGATTGGTCCACACGTACAGGTTAGTTGATTGGTCCACACGTACAGGTCAGTTGATTGGTCCACACGTACAGGTTAGTTGATTGGTCCACACGTACAGGTTAGTTGATTGGTCCACACGTACAGGTTAGTTGATTGGTCCACACGTACAGGTTAGTTGATTGGCCACACGTACAGGTCAGTTGATTGGTCCACACGTACAGGTTAGTTGATTGGTCCACATGTACAGGTTAGTTGATTGGCCACACGTACAGGTCAGTTGATTGGTCCACACGTACAGGTCAATTGATTGGTCCACACGTACAGGTTAGTTGATTGGTCCACACGTACAGGTCAGTCAATTGGTCCACACGTACAGGTTAGTTGATTGGTCCACACGTACAGGTTAGTTGATTGGTCCACATGTACAGGTCAGGTGATTGGTCCACACGTACAGGTCAGTTGATTGGTCCACACGTACAGGTCAGTTGATTGGTCCACACGTACAGGTTAGTTGATTGGTCCACACGTACAGGTCAGTTGATTGGACCACACGTACAGGTCAGTTGATTGGTCCACACGTACAGTTTAGTTGATTGGTCCACACGTACAGGTTAGTTGATTGGTCCACACGTACAGGTCAGTTGATTGGTCCACACGTACAGTTTAGTTGATTGGTCCACACGTACAGGTTAGTTGATTGGTCCACACGTACAGGTCAGTTGATTGGTCCACACGTACAGGTTAGTTGATTGGTCCACACGTACAGGTTAGTTGATTGGTCCACACGTACAGGTCAGTTGATTGGTCCACACGTACAGGTCAGTTGATTGGTCCACACGTACAGGTCAGTTGATTGGTCCACACGTACAGGTCAGTTGATTGGTCCACACGTACAGGTCAGTTGATTGGTCCACACGTACAGGTTAGTTGATTGGTCCACACGTACAGGTCAGTTGATTGGTCCACACGTACACTGTACATCTATATGTGGACTTCCCACTGTTACAAATTTGCTGGTTAGTGAAACCAAATAGTTACTGATAAAATGTGACTTGACTGATGAGATGTGACTTGACTGATGAGATGTGACTTGACTGATGAGATGTGACTTGACTGATGAGATGTGACTTGACTGATGAGATGTGACTTGACTAATGAGATGTGACTTGACTCTGCAGGAGCCTCAGAATCTTTGTTGGAAATGTCCAATGTTGGAAGTCCAGTCATAGCAGAAGGGCTAACCCAGGTGGCTCTGGGGGTGTCCAGGAATGATCTAGAACACATACGTCATGCTGCACCCTCTATCATGAATGAAGATTTCTTCAAAAAAGTTGAAAATGTTGATCAGGTAAGCTTAATGCAGGTCTGAGATGGCCTTGATTTACCAATTGTCATGTGATCTTGTGTGTCACATGACCAAAGTATGATACTTGTTTATTTTATCCAATAGCGCTATGGTAAACAAAGAAGCCACTACAGTTTTTCTGAGGCCATTGTCAGGCGAATTAAAAGGGTTCTCCGACTTCACACGGAAAGCTAACGATGATGTCATCAGTCAAACAAGTAGATGATGGTTGAAGTCAAGCAATGATGTCATCAGTCAGATGATATGAGGATGGTTCAAGTCAGGTGCAGTTAAGCTGTTGTAAAAAGTTAACATTATGTTGTCTCAAGACTGGTCTCCACCAACATTGCATGTGTGACAAGTTTTTCATGTGTGACAAGTTTTTCATGTGTGACAAGTTTTTCATGTGGGACAAGTTTTTCATGTGTGACAAGTTTTTCATGTGTGACAACTTTTTCATGTGTGAAAACTTTTTCATGTGTGACAAGTTTTTCATGTGTGACAAGTTTTTCATGTGTGACAAGTTTTTCATGTGTGACAAGTTTTTCATGTGTGACAAGTTTTTCATGTGTGACAAGTTTTTCATGTGTGACAAGTTTTTCATGTGTGACAAGTTTTTCATGTGTGACAAGTTTTTCATGTGTGACAAGTTTTTCATGTGTGACAAGTTTTTCATGTGTGACAAGTTTTTCATGTGTGACAACTTTTTCATGTGGGACAAGTTTTTCATGTGTGACAAGTTTTTCATGTGTGACAAGTTTTTCATGTGTGACAAGTTTTTCATGTGTGACAACTTTTTCATGTTGGCTCATGTGCACCAAATACTGTTTTTTTATAATGTACAAACTAAAATAAAAAGTAAAACGAAATCCTTTTGTGTTGGCTCATCATTGGGACTTGAGTGAATTGAATTTATGGCATGAGTGTGACTTGAGTGAATTGAATTTATGGCATGAGTGTGACTTGAGTGAATTGAATTTGTGGCATGAGTGTGACTTGAGTGAATTGAATTTATGGCATGATTGTGACTTGACTGAATTGAATTTATGACATGAGTGTGACTTGAGTGAATTGAATTTATGACATGAGTGTGACTTGAGTGAATTGAATTTGTGGCATGAGTGTGACTTGAGTGAATTGAATTTGTGGCATGAGTGTGACTTGAGTGAATTGAATTTATGGCATGAGTGTGACTTGAGTGAATTGAATTTATGGCATGAGTGTGACTTGAGTGAATTGAATTTATGGCATGAGTGTGACTTGAGTGAATTGAATTTATGGCATGAGTGTGACTTGAGTGAATTGAATTTATGGCATGAGTGTGACTTGAGTGAATTGAATTTGTGGCATGAGTGTGACTTGAGTGAATTGAATTTATGGCATGAGTGTGACTTGAGTGAATTGAATTTATGGCATGAGTGTGACAATTGTGAAGTTGTCACAATGGGCTGGACATGTCACAACATAAGGCTCTTAAAACAATTTAAAACTTTTATTTCAACCAACAAAAATGGCAACAACAACATTGGCTTGTTATTTGTGGAGAAAACATAACAAGAACTGATGTAGCCTGTAGCCTTGTACACAAGAACTGATGTAGCCTGTAGCCTTGTACACAAGAACTGGTGTAGCCTTGTACACAAGAACTGGTGTAGCCTGTAGCCTTGTACACAAAAACTGGTGTAGCCACTGTCTACTCAAGCTCTGTGGAGAGGCTCTGTTTGATGCCATCACAGACCAGCAGCTCTTTGATGATCTCATATTCACTGACATTACTGTAAGCTTCCATGAGAGCTTCAGCTAAAAAACATGTTCACTGACATTACTGTTAGCTTCCATGAGAGCTTCAGCTAAAAAACAAACCGCTGGCTGTATGTGTATTATATACATGCAATCCCGTCCCTGTCGTATTGTGCTGTTTAAAATAAACGTAGAAACCATAATCCTTGCGGGGGATCCCAAGGCGTTAAATTACACCCTACTGGGTCGCCGCACCTTAATTTCTCTTTGACTGACACCCCCCCCCCCCCCCACCACGTATATTCTCAACATTTTTCCAAACTGCATAAAAGACAAACAAACAGACATGCTTTCATTTTTTATGTATAGATAAGATTGCCAATCGCTAGTTTTAGAAATGTAACTTTCCTGACGAAACTCAAAATTTTACTGATCATCATGTTTAGAAAGTAGGCCAATCACAATTTTTGTTTTAGAATTTTTGTGGACAAAGGGAAACAACCAGGTTAATATTTTTAGATAATTAATCTAAGCTTAGTTAATTTCTCTTAATATTCAAAAATAAAAATTCCATATTACTTTCTCGTATATACGAAGTATAGAGAGTCTTGTAATCGTGCAAAAACAAATCGTGATCTTTACAAATCTCGACGTTTTACACCTCACTGATACGGAAAAACATAATTTTGCAATCTTGTCTGTGTGTCTGTCTGTGTGTCTGTCTGTGTGTAAACACGATAACTTAGGTACCGTTACAGTTAGGTTGATGAAATTTCATATATAAGTATTTTATCAAAATCGTAGATCCTGATCAACTTTTGAACGATTTCCGATAACCGGAAGTGGTACTTTTTCTACTTTGAATTTTTCAAAAGCCTATAACTTGAGTACTATTTCTGATAGATAAATGAAATTTCACATGTAAGTAAAAGATCTAATTCTCTACCTACTTTCAAATTTTGAGTAATTTCCGTTGACCGGAAGTACTTATTTACGATATTCCCGATTTCTCAAAAAACACATGTAAATTTATAAAGTACTAATAATATTGCGCACTATTATGCACATTCTGTTTTGGCGTTCGCTTGGTGCGCAATTCTTTTTTCTATGAGATTCTATTCGATTTTTAAAAGTTTAAATAATTAAAAATCATGTCTATATTCCAAGTTATATAAGAATATTCGAGAAAGTTTAGGGGAGATCACTCCCGGTTTATTTTTATTCTGGGGCCCTCGGGGGCCGAATTTTTTCCCCGCTCAAACCTTTCCAGAAATATTCTCAACGACACCCACAAGTTTAACGGTGAAGGGGTGAAAGGTATAGCAACGCATAAAGGACACACACAGGCACATACTTTCACTTTTATATATAAAGATATACTTAACACTGTACCGACTAGAGTCCCCCCCCCCCACACACACACATTCACACATCCAGCATTCGTTCTATTTTATTCCCCCCCCCCCCCCCAACCAAGCACCTACTGGAGTAGGGTGGTTTGTAGGGCTCCACCAGAGAGAAGAAGTAGCTGTGTAACATGATCTCCTTGCACGTCGGCCTTTTGCTGGGGTCTTTTTGGAGTAGCTGGCAAAAGGGAGATTCACATTAACGATGTCTTTTTATGGGTACTTCACATAAACGACATGTCTTTTTATGGGTACTTCACTTTGATAACATTGTTATGGGTACTTCATATTATTGACATGTATTTCTGTGAGTACTACTAATTAATGACAAGAATTTTTGTAGATACTTTACATTCATGATATATTTTGAATGGGCACCACATGAATGGTATGTAACCAAAAGCCTCTTACAATCGTTCTCCTTATCGATTGTCAACAATCTGTTAAAAAGCTATTTGGTGCACTATATTAGTGATTAATTTAACTTAGGCCCAATATTTGTGATTAATTAATGCCGCCTAAGATGTGTGATTTCTTTAATCATGCCAAAGATTTTTGATTTATTTAATTATACCCAACATTTGTAATTACTTTAATTATACCCAACATTTTTAATTACTTTAATTATACCCAACATTTGTAATTTTTTAACTCAAAGTAACTAGTGCTGAACCTGGCCAGGACGGCTTAATACATTAGATGTATTACAATTCTAATCGAACATAAGACGTTACCCTTTCAATACATTAGATGTATTACAATTCTAATCGAACATAAGACGTTACCCTTTCAATACATTAGATGTATTGCAATTCTAATAGAACATATACGTAAGACGTTACCCATTCAATCAGTCTGATCGATTCGTCATTGAACTTATAATCGAACCGTGGTGAATCTTTATTGACTTTCTCCATTTGCTTCTTTTTCACAGGGGAGAGAAAGGGCCACTGAAACAAAATATGAAAGGGCCACTGAAACAAAATATGAAAGGGCCACTGAAACAAAATATGAAAGGGCCACTGAAACAAAATATGAAAGGGCCACTGAAACAAAATATGAAAGGGCCACTGAAACAAAATATGAAAGGGCCACTGAAACAAAATATAATAGGGCCTCCTAAACAAAATATGAAATCGCCACTGAAACATAATATAAAAGGGCCACTGAAACAAAATATGAAAGGGCCATTGAAATATGAAATAAAATATCCTGGATATGGCGGTGAGTGTTTGTCTTAATACACATATTGTGTCCAATTCAAGTCTTCGGTCTAGTTCAATTTACAGGCGTCACTATGCGGGGTGTCACCATATGTGACCAGAGAAACAGGGGCGTCACAAGGTGGGGCGTCCCTAGACCCAGGGTTAGACAATATTTACCGTGTTGGATACTGGGGCGTCACTAGGTGGGGCGTCACTAGAGCCAGGGTTAGACAATATTTACCGTGTTGGATATGATGTTGTACAGAGTGATCCCAAAGCACCACATATCAACAGCCGACCCGTAGCGAAGACCTTTCCAAACCTGAGGAGACATTCAGCGCCAAATACATCCATGTGTGACTCTCACACATCCATGTGTGACTCTCACACATCCATTTGTGACTCCCACACATCCATTTGTGACTCTCACACATCCATTTGTGACTCTCACACATCCATTTGTGACTCTCACACATCCATTTGTGACTCTCATACATCCATTTGTGACTCTCACACATCCATTTGTGACTCTCACACATCCATTTGTGACTCTCACACATCCATTTGTGACTCTCACACATCCATTTGTGACTCTCACACATCCATTTGTGACTCTCACACATCCATTTGTGACTCTCACACATCCATTTGTGACTCTCACACATCCATTTGTGACTCTCACACATCCATTTGTGACTCTCACACTTCCATTTGTGACTCTCACACACCGCATTTCCATCCTCACATCATTGCTCACCTCATCGTGACTCCCCTCTCACATCGTGACTCCCCCCTCACATAGTGACTCACTTCCTCACATCGTGACTCCCCCCTCACATAGTGACTTACTTCCTCACATCGTGACTCCCCTCTCACATAGTGACTCCCCCCTCACATAGTGACTCACTTCCTCACATCGTAACTCCCCTCTCACATAGTGACTCCCCCCTCAGATAGTGACTCACTTCCTCACATCGTGACTCCCCTCTCACATAGTGACTCCCCCCCTCACATAGTGACTCCACCCGCACATAGTGACTCACTTCCACACATAGTGACTCCCCCCTCACATAGTGACTAACTTCCTCACATCGTGACTCCCCTCTCACATAGTGACTCCCCCCTCACATAGTGACTCTCTTCCTCACATAGTGACTCCCCCCTCACATAGTGACTAACTTCCTCACATCGTGACTCCCCTCTCACATAGTGACTCCCCCCTCACATAGTGACTCTCTTCCTCACATAGTGACTCCCCCCTCACATAGTGACTCCACCCTCACATAGTGACTCCCCTCTCACATAGTGACTCACTTCCTCACATCGTGACTCCCCCCTCACATCGTGACTCCCCTCTCACATAGTGACTCCCCCCTCACATAGTGACTCCCCTCTCACATAGTGACTCCCCCCTCACATAGTGACTCACTTCCTCACATCGTAACTCCCCTCTCACATCGTGACTCCCCTCTCACATAGTGACTTATTTCCTCACATAGTGACTCCCCCCTCACATAGTGACTCACTTCCTCACATCGTGACTCCCCTCTCACATAGTGACTCCCCCCTCACATAGTGACTCCACCCTCACATAGTGACTCACTTCCTCACATAGTGACTCCCCCCTCACATAGTGACTCACTTCCTCCTCACATAGTGACTCACTTCCTCACATCGTGACTCCCCTCTCACATAGTGACTCCCCCCTCACATAGTGACTCCACCCTCACATAGTGACTCACTTCCTCACATAGTGACTCCCCCTCACATAGTGACTCCACCCTCACATAGTGACTCACTTCCTCACATAGTGACTCCCCCCTCACATAGTGACTCACTTCCTCCTCACATAGTGACTCACTTCCTCACATCGTGACTCTCCCCTCTCACATAGTGACTCCCCCCCTCACATAGTGACTCCCCCCCTTACATAGTGACTCCACCCTTACATAGTGACTCCCCTCTCACATAGTGACTCCCCTCTCACAACGTGACTCCCCTCTCACATAGTGACTCCCCCCTCACATAGTGACTCCACCCTCACATAGTGACTCACTTCCTCACATAGTGACTCCCCCTCACATAGTGACTCCACCCTCACATAATGACTCACTTCCTCACATCGTGACTCCCCCCTCACATAGTGACTCACTTCCTCACATCGTGACTCCCCTCTCACATAGTGACTCCCCCCCTCACATAGTGACTCCACCCTCACATAGTGACTCACTTCCTCACATCGTGACTCCCCCCTCACATAGTGACTCACTTCCTCACATCGTGACTCCCCTCTCACATAGTGACTCCCCCTCACATAGTGACTCCACCCTCACATAGTGACTCACTTCCTCACATCGTGGCTCCCCCCTCACATAGTGACTCACTTCCTCACATCGTGACTCCCCTCTCACATAGTGACTCCCCCCTCACATAGTGACTCCCCCCTCACATCGTGACTCCCCCCTCACATAGTGACTCCCCTCTCACATAGTGACTCCCCCCTCACATAGTGACTCCCCCCTCACATAGTGACTCACTTCCTCACATCGTAACTCCCCTCTCACATCGTGACTCCCCTCTCACATAGTGACTCCCCCCTCACATATTTACTCCCCTCTCACATAGTTACTTATTTCCTCACATAGTGACTCCCCCCTCACATAGTGACTCACTTCCTCACATCGTGACTCCCCTCTCACATAGTGACTCCCCCTTCAGATAGTGACTCCACCCTCACATAGTGACTCACTTCCTCACATAGTGACTCCCCCTCACATAGTGACTCCACCCTCACATAGTGACTCACTTCCTCACATAGTGACTCCCCCCTCACATAGTGACTCACTTCCTCACATCGTGACTCTCCCCCTCACATAGTGACTCCCCCCTCACATAGTGACTCCACCCTTACATCGTGACTCCCCCCTCACATAGTGACTCCCCTCTCACATAGTGACTCCCCTCTCACATAGTGACTCCCCCCTTACATAGTGACTCACTTCCTCACATCGTGACTCCCCTCTCACATAGTGACTCCCCCCCTCACATAGTGACTCCACCCTTACATCGTGACTCCCCCCTCACATAGTGACTCCCCTCTCACATAGTGACTCCCCCCTCACATAGTGACTCCACCCTCACATAGTGACTCACTTCCTCACATCGTGACTCCCCTCTCACATAGTGACTCCCCCCTCACATAGTGACTCACTTCCTCACATCGTAACTCCCCTCTCACATAGTGACTCCCCCCTCACATAGTGACTCACTTCCTCACATCGTGACTCCCCTCTCACATAGTGACTCCCCCCCTCACATAGTGACTCCACCCGCACATAGTGACTCACTTCCTCACATAGTGACTCCCCCTCACATAGTGACTCCACCCTCACATAGTGACTCACTTCCTCACATCGTGACTCCCCCCTCACATAGTGACTCACTTCCTCACATCGTGACTCCCCTCTCACATAGTGACTCCCCCCTCACATAGTGACTCTCTTCCTCACATAGTGACTCCCCCCTCACATAGTGACTCACTTCCTCACATAGTGACTCCACCCTCACATAGTGACTCCCCTCTCACATAGTGACTCACTTCCTCACATCGTGACTCCCCTCTCACATAGTTACTCCCCCCTCACATCGTGACTCCCCTCTCACATAGTGACTCCCCCCTCACATAGTGACTCCCCTCTCACATAGTGACTCCCCCCTCACATAGTGACTCCCCCCTCACATAGTGACTCACTTCCTCACATCGTAACTCCCCTCTCACATCGTGACTCCCCTCTCACATAGTGACTCCCCCCTCACATGGTGACTCACTTCCTCACATCGTGACTCTCCCCCTCACATAGTGACTCACTTCCTCACATCGTGACTCCCCTCTCACATAGTGACTCGCCCCCTCACATAGTGACTCCACCCTTACATCGTGACTCCCCCATCACATAGTGACTCACTTCCTCACATCGTGACTCCCCTCTCACATCGTGACTCCCCCCCTCACATAGTGACTCACTTCCTCACATAGTGACTCCCCCCCTCACATAGTGACTCACTTCCTCACATCGTGACTCCCCTCTCACAAGGTGACTCTTGTCACATCCCATACATCGTACGGCCAATCAATTCGCGAATTGGCTGGCCAATTGACAATGGATTTCTTACTTTGACCAGTCACTTCTCAAATTGCCGGGAAATCGCCGATGTTTTCATCATTCCGGTAAAGGTTTAAATGTGATCAGGCCCGGCTCTAGGGGCGGATTAAGCTTGGGCGGGGCCCCAGGCTTAAAATTTTTGGGGGCCCCTTATATATATATATATATATATATATATATATATATATATATATATATATATATATATATATATATATATATATATATATATATATATATATATCAGTAGCGTACGCAGGGGGGAGCAGGGGGAGCGGCCGCTCCCCCTCTGGCCATTTTCAGCAAAGTGGCGCCTTTTTGTAAACTTTTTAAACTCAAAGTTTTAAACAATGATATTTGTTAAAAAATATTTTTGGTCGGTACATCTATGTAAATCACAAGATTTCTTTTCATGCAATTAAGCATTATTGCACTAGTCTAGTAGTGTCTACGTTTACAACACGTATTAACAGCTGCATCAGTTTGCCATTCTAAAAATAACCATTACGATGCATTGCAATGTTTCAACAGTTGTTATGCGGTGTAGTGCTGACTGGAGTATATGCTCCGGGTATGACCGGAGTCGGAAGAACTGTAGTAGCTCAAGGCCCATGAGCTACTACAGTTCTTCCGACTCCGGTCATACCCGGAGCATATACTCCAGTCAGCACTACACCGCATAACAACTGTTGACCACCAAGCCTCCCTTCAACAATTTCCAAAACAAAAGTCAGATAGAACTAAACTCATCTTACCCTACCATCCTCATTCAGTTTTGGCTAAAAATATCATTATAAAAAATTTTTCTATCCTCAAGTCAGACCCCCATTTAGGCCATTTATTTCAACAGAATCCTTTGGTTGTGTATAGAAGGGAACGCAACCTTAGAGACCTTTTAGTTCGCAGCCGCCTGCCACCCACTACCAACACCGGTTTTGGCACCACTCCTTGTCCCCGTAAATGCAATACCTGTCATTTCACCCTTCAGGTTGAATCACTGCAGCTGCCGAAGGGAACCCTCAAAATTAAAAATCACTTCAACTGTGAGTCCCGCAACGTAGTTTACGTCATCCAGTGCAGGCGTTGCAACATCTTTTATATCGGACAAACGGGGAAAAGATTGTCTGACAGGGTTAGCCAACACCTGCGATCAATCAACAATGAAGACGGTCTTCCTGTGGCCAAACACTTCAACAAGAGTGGGCATGACTTAAAAAAGGACTTTTGTGTAACCGCCGTTCGGTTTTGCCACAATTTTAAAAATCGCCTTAGCACTGAAACGCGACTAATACTTAAATTTGGTACACGGGCACCCGATGGCTTGAATGAACAGATATCTTTCACCTAACAACCCCCCCCCTCCCGCATACACCACGCCCCCAACCCCACCCCTATACGGTGTCCAAGCGTCCTTCTCACGCGTCTTTTCTTTTGGATATCGTGGCTAGCAGACAAGACGTGTTTTCACTGTCGAGCTAAGTCAAAAAATGTGTTACTGTCTGTCTTTATTTGTCTAATCTGTAATCACACTGTTGTGTGCTGACGAAGACCTTGGGTCGAAACGTCCATAGTACTTGTAACTGTCTTTAACTTGTGAGGTAACTAATACTATCTGTTTTATTACTAATTACATTAACCTCACTGCAGCTACCATTTGTTTTTGTATATATATATATATATATATATATATATATATATATATATATATATATATATATATAAGTATCCAAAAAGGCGCCACTTTGTTGAAAATGGCCAGAGGGGGAGCGGCCGATCCCCCTGCTCCCCCCCCCCCCCCTGCGTACGCTACTGATTGAACCGTAAAATACGTTATTGACTTTGATTAAGATTGTGCAGGGGGGGGGGGGGGGCGCTTTTAGACTAACTAAAATCGCAAAATTAAACTTGATTTTGAGTAAACAGCCTTTAGCGCTTAGAATAGCAACTAATTGTACTAAAGTGCATTGTACAATTGTGTAACATTTTTTTAAAAAGTTAGAAAGCTAGTTACGTTAACCCGCTCTACAAACTTTGTCGAAGATGGTTTGGAGGTGTGTGTGGGGGGGGGGGCTCTTTTGTCGCGAACAAGAGCTAAAAACATAAGTATATTGTACTGAATAGGTCTTTTTTTTTGCTTGTTTCATAACAAGTCCTAATACTGCAATGTTCATATAGTTAAGGCTACTAGACCTACTAAACAATGTAAAAATGGTATAACACCACAACAGGCGATGATGCTTTGTTATTTTGTTCAACCTAACTGATAATTTAAAACTATAATACACTATTATCGAAATTGTTCTAAAGACACAACCAAAAGTAGACCAAATAAGCTTGCACCTTATACAAACTACACTCTAAAGCAGTGATTCTTAATCTTTTTGGAGGTACCGAACCCTACCAGTTTCATATGCGCCTTCACCGAATCCTTCTTAATAACTTTAGCGTCAATATTGACAAAATCCGAGCGTGAATCACATGTCGGGTGTGTGTCTTGACCTCCGCCGAAGCTCTGAGACTTACATACCGAACACTTGGATTCGATCGATCGAACCCAAGTTAAGAACCACTGCCCTAAGCTCGTTTGATTTCCTTCTTTTTTTGTTTCGGTTTCCTAAGGAGCATAGGCGTAGGCAACACTTCGTCAACTCACTTGATTTTTATGAAGATAGAACCCTGGTTCAAACGATTTTCTTCAGGCATTTTTTGTGTGTCTCCTTCTCTTCCTCTTTTCCCGTGGACTTAACACCAGCACCTGCTTAATGATGTTATTTACTGTCTTTCTGCTATATTGCCCTAACCACAACCTTTTCGTTGCTCTTATTTCATTCTTCATTGTCTGTAATCTAGCTCCGTGCCATACAGTAAAAGAGACTTCGCATTTAGCTATAGATCCTGAATGAATTTTTTTGACAATGCATTTGAATTCCACATTGTCTTAGAGCATGGGTTCCCAACCTGGGGGTCGAGAAGGGCTTTCTGTGGGGTCGCCAACTGGTAGACTAAACTCTAGCAATGAATAAAAAACAAATATTGAGAAAAATATTTGAAATTCGGCATTACTAACATCACTGGAAATGGAATAGAGAATAAACAATTTGTACTGTGCAAAGCTGTTCTTAGTCAGAAGTCTTTGATTTTGCAGATGTGCGCTGCCTTCTCGTCCACGGCCAACAACAAATACAGAACTAATTGCACTGGTTGATGAAGCAGTAATCACCAGTTTAATGATAGTGGCACCGCCCATGACGTCCTGATTATAATCAGCAGCAATTAAACGCGTGTTAAATAGGGATTAAATAGGTTTGCCGCGACATAACTGCCCATTTCGTTGGGTTAAAATAACACGGGTATTGCCGTATTTGTTTTTAGGTCTACATTTTTATGCAGCTTTATTTTTGTTATAAACAATACAGAGTATGATTCAATGAATGTGATGTCCACATAGCCCTCTCTACCTCAACTCATACGCCGTCCGCACGTATCCACCATTTTCTAAAGTTTTAGTTCCATGTTAATGATTTTTTATATTCTTACGATAAATCTATCTTGACGCAACGAAATTACATGCTAATTAATTAGACCTAACGGTGTGTGGCCTATTTTATTATTTTTTTCAAATTTAAAGTTACGAGTTTACATTAGGGGGTAGAACGCACGACTGCTGACCCAAAAGTTCTGAGCTCTAAACCCAGGTTCATATCCGAGAACACCAAACACAGATGGATACCTAGATCAATCTCAAATTCTAAAACTACTGAAGGAAGCTAGGCATAAATCTAGAACTGATCAGAATGTCTCATTTGCTGAGAACAACTAAATATGTGAACTCTACCTAATATTCCCTATGCTCACCAGGCTATAATGGGCAACTAAGAAATTAATCTAAGGTGTTTTAATCCAATTAACTAGATCTAGATATCCTGTTCCTTAAAAAAAAATTAATATCCAAAACCTTATTTCTAATTATACAAATGTAAAGCATCTTTCATACATTTCTTAGTAGTGTAGTGGGTAAGCAAAAATGGCCAGGCAGTTTTTCATTGATTGCCAAGGCTGGTCAATAATTTGTTCGTCTGGAGGCTTGCGAGTGAGACCTAATTCAGAATGTAGACCCTATGCCTAACATTTGTATTATTTTAATGTTTGTTACCACCTCACTGACGCTATCTGACTAAATTACTTTCAAGTGCTGTGCATTTTTCAAAAGGCGTCAATCATAGAGTCATGTGTCAGAACTCGACCGCTATTTAAACTAAAGTGTGTACTTGAATATTAAAACATTGTTTTTTTTTTATAGTAAAAAAAAAACCCAACCATTTAGCTTTAAAGGGACAGTTACTATGATTTAAAAAGGAAATTTGGAGGCCCCTAAAAATCGGGGGCCCCTGGCTGCAGCCTTCTCAGCACCCCCTTAATCCGCCACTGCTCGGCTCGTCTTTGTAAATACATTTCGTGTTGTGTGAGGTTGATACATTGAGTATCTGCATGCCGATAAGATTCGAGGTCTATTTCTTATTGTGTGAGGTTAATACAATGTATTTATCGTGATTCACAAAGACTTACTTCAGGTGGTCTGGTGACGTATGTCGCGCACAAACCATGTGCAGTCTCCTCGTCCTGGAGTTGGAGGGCTGAGCCCAAGTCTCCCAGTGCGATGTGCCCAGAGAGTAGGATGTAGACATTCTCAGGTTTGATGTCTCTAGTGAGGGAGTCAGTGGGGTGAGGGAGTCAGTGGGGTGAGGGAGTCAGTGGGGTGAGGGAGTCAGTGGGGTGAGGGAGTCAGTGGGGTGAGGGAGTCAGTGGGGTGAGGGAGTCAGTGGGGTGAGGGTTGGGCTAATGGTTTGATGTCTCTAGTGAGGGAGTCAGTGGGGTGAGGGAGTCAGTGAGGTGAGGGAGTCAGTGGGGTTGAGGGAGTCAGTGAGGTGAGGGAGTCAGTGGGGTGAGGGAGTCAGTGGGGTGAGGGAGTCAGTGGGGTGAGGGAGTCAGTGGGGTGAGGGAGTCAGTGGGGTGAGGGTTGGGCTAATGGTTTGATGCCTCTAGTGAGGGAGTCAGTGGGGTGAGGGAGTCAGTGAGGTGAGGGAGTCAGTGGGGTTGAGGGAGTCAGTGAGGTGAGGGAGTCAGTGGGGTGAGGGAGTCAGTGGGGTGAGGGAGTCAGTGGGGTGAGGGAGTCAGTGGGGTGAGGGAGTCAGTGGGGTGAGGGAGTCAGTGGGGTGAGGGTTGGGCTAATGGTTTGATGTCTCTAGTGAGGGAGTCAGTGGGGTGAGGGAGTCAGTGAGGTGAGGGAGTCAGTGGGGTGAGGGAGTCAGTGGGGTGAGGGAGTCAGTGAGTTGAGGGAGTCAGTGGGGTGAGGGAGTCATTGGGGTGAGGGAGTCAGTGGGGTGAGGGAGTCAGTGGGGTGAGGGTTGGGCTAATGGTTTGATGTCTCTAGTGAGGGAGTCAGTGGGGTGAGGGAATCAGTGGGGTGAGGGAGTCAGTGGGGTGAGGGTTGGGTTATCAGCCAAAAACCAACAGACACCTAACCAAACAAACAGACCCCAAACCAAAAACCAACAGACACCTAACCAAAAACCAACAGACCCCAAACCAAAAACCAACAGACCCCAAACCAAAAACCAACAGACCCCAAACCTAATCTATCTTGTCGATGTCTGGCCAATATTTAGCCAGTACCTGGACACATCTGACCCCACCTTTGACCCAACAGGTGAATGTGTGGACCTACCTGTGAATAATGTTCCTGTCATGAAGATACTCCAATGCCCTACCTGTGAATAATGTTCCTGTCATGAAGATACTTTAATGCCCTACCTGTGAATAATGTTCCTGTCATGAAGATACTCCAATGCCCTACCTGTGAATAATGTTCCTGTCATGAAGATACTCCAATGCCCTACCTGTGAATAATGTTCCTGTCATGAAGATACTCCAATGCCCTACCTGTGAATAATGTTCCTGTCATGAAGATACTTTAATGCCCTACCTGTGAATAATGTTCCTGTCATGAAGATACTCCAATGACCTACCTGTGAATAATGTTCCTGTCATGAAGATACTCCAGTGCCATCAACAATTCCAAGCCGTACAGTCTGGAACAAACATTGTTTGATCTGAAGTACTGGCTAAGTGCTTAATTAAATGATAATTTGTAGTACTGGCTAAGTGCTTAATTAAATGATAATTTGTAGTACTGGCTAATTAAAGTAGGCCTATAATCTGTAGGTCTATGGTCTTGGTTTACCTAGCGTCGTTGTAGGCGATCCCTTTCATCCTCTGTGTCAGGTGGTCGAGGGTTAGGAACGGAGCGTACTCTGTCATGATCACTGAGAACTGATGGAGACAAAGATAGTATTATCATTGCACTCACTTAAACGAACGTAGGCGTCATAGGTAACACGGGAAAAACCTATATGTAAAGGACCATGACTTGTGTGTTTATTAGCAGCGTATACCCGGCATTACCCGGGTTTAGGTAATATAAACTTTTCGAATTAACCCTAACTAAAACCAACCAAAACACACACTAAAACGCAAACATAACACAAACGCAAACACAGATACAAACACAAACGAAAACACAAAGAAAACACAAACAAAACAAAACACTAAAACAAACCTAAATCTTAACGCAAACCCAAACACAAAGAAAACACAAACGGAAACAAAATAGCAAACACAATACAAATAGAAACACAAACGCAAACCAAAAAAATAACCAACATAATTCAAATAATCGCAAACATAAACGCAAAGTGCTCACAGTCTAGCCCGTGGCACCAAATCGCACCATGCAGGGGTGCCGGCGGAAACGCCTGATTCAACGTATTAAACGACTATAGTATCCCAACTTATTCATTGTATTTTGCACTCACTTAAACGAACGTAGGCGCCATAGCTAACACTGGAAGGCCCGGGGCGCCAAATAGCATCCTGTCGGGGCGCCGGAGGACTCTCGGATTCGATTCAGTTAAAGAATATAGTAACCTTTCTTATCCATAGTCTATCGCACTGTTTAAAACGAAATTAAGCATCATAGTGCTCTCAGGATAGCCCAGGGCGCCAAATCGAACCCTGCCGAGGCGCCGCAGACGCGCCTGATTCAATTCAGTGTACGACTATAATACCACAAGCTTAGCCGCAAAAGGAAAGGTAGAAGTAAACATAGAGGACATTTAGGAGCGGCTTCTAAGCTGTTATTGATTAAAAATAATAATTAGTTAACAGTACGTTCAGTGTATAAAATAAATACAACGCAGTATTTTAAATATCTGTGTTTTACCTACCACACTGCACTTGATTAATCCACTCTAATTAAGGAATTAATTTTTCCAAACACCAAAACAAAGTAATAAAAAGTAATTTTTCCCCCTAGATGTAATGTTTTTTTTAAAGTGAAGTAATTGTGTTTTCCTAATTTATCAAGGGACGTAATTAGTGCTAAAGGACTAAATGAAAATAATTTTCAGACACGATTAGAATTTTGACCTCATCATTTTGAAAGCCGTCAATGACTTTAATGATGAAGGGAGAGTCCCTACAGATGTTGAGGATATTGAACTCCGTCATCGAGTCAGTCTCATGGTGGGAGTTCATCTTCTTGTGGACACCCAAGTACCTGGACTCTTTGTGGATCACAAGGTCAATCTAAGGGAATGATGGATCACAAGGGTCAGACTAGAAATATATAAATTAATTAATTAATTAATTTAAAAATAGATATCTACACGCACTCTAATATATATATACGAGCCGACCCGTTGCGTATCATACGCCGCTATTTAGTTGTTTTTTTTTCTACTTTTCAGTAATTTATAATTTGTGAATTCGACAGTACCAATGCTGCCATTGAAAATATTTGCTTAAAAACACTAACCCCCCCCCCCCCCCCCCCCACGTGAAAGCAGCCTCCTCTTAGTTACCTCCTCTAAGTTTAAAATCGTTTCAAACTAAATTATCTGCCCCTAATAGCCGTCACCAAACCCGTCTCTATGATTGTAAAATGTAAACAGAGTGAACACCGCTCACCAGATCATGTGGGGGTGGGGTGGGGGTGATAGTGATAGAGAGAAAGAGAGGGGACTGCAAGGAGGCGCTTGCAGCTTGTTTTCTAACTGATCCCAGAAGAGAATTATATATATATATATATATATATATATATATATATATATATATATATATATATATATATATATATATATATATATATAGACAGACAGACAGACAGACAGACAGACAGACAGACAGACAGACAGACAGACAGACAGACAGACAGACAGACAGACAGACAGACAGACAGACAGACAGACAGACAGACAGACAGACAGACAGACAGACAGACAGACAGACAGACAGACAGACAGACAGACAGACAGACAGACAGACAGACAGACAGACAGACAGACAGACAGACAGATAGATAGATAGATAGATAGATAGATAGATAGATAGATAGATAGATAGATAGATAGATAGATAGATAGATAGATAGATAGATAGATAGATAGAGAGATAGAGAGAGAGATAGAGAGAGAGAGAGCAATGTTTGTCTCACTAAAGTGAATCGACGAGTTAGGCTGGATGAAAATAAATAAAAATGTAGCCTTAAACTCAAAAAATTACTTTCAAGCTCTCTGGATTTGTTACTTCTATAAAATTGATTCTAAAAATATTAAGATTCTTAATTATTTTCAGGCTTTACTTTTTAAAAGAATTTTTTTTCGGTCGCTCTGATTACAAAATCTAAAAAAAATAATTTTAAATTAAAAAAAAAATGGTGGAAGGATTCTTGTCCACTCGGCCAAGTCCATTTACAATTTTCAAAGAACTTCGCTTGTGTTGAATAAAAATCTTCACAGATTAATTTATCATAAATATAAAGGAAATTAATTCTGTTTTTTTTTTATTCGTTGAGAATAAAATGATTACACAGGAACGTTGTCGTCCAGTGACGTAGCTAGGGGACGCCAAAAAGGGTATTAGGGGGCGCCAAAAAGGGTATAAAGGGGCGCCAAAAAGGGTAGTAGGGGGCGCCAAAAAGGTATAACCGACAATGCATATTTCTCATATATCTCATCTTAAAAAGAGGCTTTAAATATTTGTTTTTGCACATTTTTAAGATGGGATAGAAATATGTACAATGGAAGTTACGATGGTAAACTGCTACACGCCAATGTCACTGTTTTCTACAAGTAAACTGGGTGGCAACAAAAACCTTTACGTGACTGGTGGCAACCAACCGTTCCATTGTGGAGTGGGGGGGGGGGGGGGGTACGGTGGGATGGGGGTGGAGTTAAGGGGTGGGGGGTGTATGGAGAGTTACGGATTTTGTGACAACGTTTGGCGAAAGGGGGAATGGAAAGGTTTTTAAAAGCAATAAAAAAAACTTCACTTCAAAATTAGTTTTATTTCCCTTTTTACAAGAATGATCTTTATAATTAAATAGTAATGTTTTAGAATAAACGCAATTAGCTATGTAATTATTCTAAATTTTAAAAAAATCTTTAAAAATATGGCAAATGATAAAGTTATATTTAAATTTTAAAAAATTAAAGCCGTTCAGGAACCATCATTTTAATATTTTTGTATCCAACATAAACCGTTAAAAAGCCGATAGAAATTTTTTATCGATTCAAATGTTTAATTAAAAAAAAACTGCCCTGAAACTCTCCTTGAAGTCAACCGGCCAGGGAAAGTCACAAAATTGTTTCTCAGGGTAAAATACACAATAGGGGTCTAGTAGTTTATTTATATTAAATTATATAACATACCCTGTCACTCCAACAACCTTACACTACTAACCCAAAAATATAAAAGTGTTAGCTAAATTACTATTATAAATTTATATTACTAGTTTTTATTTGATTGAATTTTTCTAGCCTAAATAAAACCGGAAGTCATTTTATATTTATTTCTCAAATGTTATCAAATTTTCAGTTTTGGTTGAAAAATATGCTCTCTGGCAACAACCATTTGGAATCAGATTTTCAAGACAATAGTTTTGGTGAGGGGGGGGGGGGGAAAGGTGTAATCTGTGACGTCATTTGGGGGGAGGGGTGTCAGATTTTGAGGAAAATCGTGACGTCATTTTTCGACAACTCATACAGAGAAAATAGCCACAGCAAGACGCACCTTACCCGTGGTCGCCCGGGCAAACCCTGCGGCCACCGTCTCAAAGTTGTCTGGGTCCTGTGGGGGAAAACAACACGTCAGATCTTTGGTTACACGACCCCACACCCAGATCTTTAGCTACAGGACCCCACACCATGATCTTTAGCTACAGGACCCCACACCCAGATCTTTAGCTACAGGACCCCACACCCAGATCTTTACACGACCCCACACCCAGATCTTTACAGGACCCCACACCATGATCTTTAGCTACAGGACCCCACACCCAGATCTTTAGCTACAGGACCCCACACCCAGATCTTTAGCTACAGGACCCCACACTCAGATCTTTAGCTACAGGACCCCACACCCAGATCTTTACAGGACCCCACACTAGATCTTTAGCTACAGGACCCCACACCCAGATCTTTAGCTACAGGACCCCACACCCAGATCTTTAGCTTCAGGACCCCACACCCAGATCTTTAGCTACAGGACCCCACACCCAGATCTTTAGCTACAGGACCCCACACCCAGATCTTTACAGGACCCCACACTAGATCTTTAGCTACAGGACCCCACACCCAGATCTTTAGCTACAGGACCCCACACCCAGATCTTTAGCTACAGGACCCCACACCCAGATCTTTAGCTACAGGACCCCACACCCAGATCTTTAGCTACAGGACCCCACACCCAGATCTTTACAGGACCCCACACCCAGATCTTTAGCTACAGGACCCCACACCCAGATCTTTAGCTACAGGACCCCACACCCAGATCTTTAGCTACAGGACCCCACACCCAGATCTTTAGCTACAGGACCCCACACACAGATCTTTAGCTACAGGACCCCACACCCAGATCTTTAGCTACAGGACCCCACACCCAGATCTTTAGCTACAGGACCCCACACCCAGATCTTTAGCTACAGGACCCCACACCCAGATCTTTACAGGACCCCACACCCAGATCTTTACAGGACCCCACACCCAGATCTTTAGCTACAGGACCCCACAAACAGATCTTTACAGGACCCCACACTAGATCTTTAGCTACAGGACCCCACACCCAGATCTTTAGCTACAGGACCCCACACCCAGATCTTTAGCTACAGGACCCCACACCCAGATCTTTAGCTACAGGACCCCACACCCAGATCTTTAGCTACAGGACCCCACACCCAGATCTTTAGCTACAGGACCCCACACCCAGATCTTTAGCTACAGGACCCCACACCCAGATCTTTAGCTACAGGACCCCACACCCAGATCTTAGCTACAGGACCCCACACCCAGATCTTTACATGACCCCACACCCAGATCTTTAGCTACAGGACCCCACACCCAGATCTTTGGTTACACGACCCCACACCCAGATCCTTAGCTACAGGACCCCACACTAGATCCTTAGCTACAGGACCCCACACCCAGATCTTTAGCTACAGGACCCCACACCCAGATCTTTAGCTACAGGACCCACCACCCAGATCTTTAGCTACAGGACCCACCACCCAGATCTTTACAGGACCCCACACCCAGATCTTTACAGGACCCCACACCCAGATCTTTAGCTACAGGACCCCACACCCAGATCTTTAGCTACAGGACCCCACACCCAGATCTTTAGCTACAGGACCCCACACCCAGATCTTTAGCTACAGGACCCCACACCCAGATCTTTAGCTACAGGACCCCACACCCAGATCTTTAGCTACAGGACACCACCCAGATCTTTAGCTACAGGACCCCACACCCAGGTCTTTAGCTACAGGACCCCACACCCAGATCTTTAGCTACAGGGCCCCACACCCAGATCTTAGCTACAGGACCCCACACCCAGATCTTTAGCTACAGGACCCCACACCCAGATCTTTAGCTACAGGACCCCACACCCAGATCTTTAGCTACAGGACCCCACACCCAGATCTTTACAGGACCCCACACCCAGATCTTAGCTACAGGACCCCACACCCAGATCTTTAGCTACAGGACCCCACACCCAGATGTTTAGCTACAGGACCCCACACCCAGATCTTTACAGGACCCCACACCCAGATCTTTAGCTACAGGACCCCACACACAGATCTTTAGCTACAGGACCCCACACCCAGATCTTTAGCTACAGGACCCCACACCCAGATCTTTAGCTACAGGACCCCACACCCAGATCTTTAGCTACAGGACCCCACACCCAGATCTTTACAGGACCCCACACCCAGATCTTTACAGGACCCCACACCCAGATCTTTAGCTACAGGACCCCACAAACAGATCTTTACAGGACCCCACACTAGATCTTTAGCTACAGGACCCCACACCCAGATCTTTAGCTACAGGACCCCACACCCAGATCTTTAGCTACAGGACCCCACACCCAGATCTTTACAGGACCCCACACCCAGATCTTTAGCTACAGGACCCCACACCCAGATCTTTAGCTACAGGACCCCACACCCAGATCTTTAGCTACAGGACCCCACACCGAGATCTTTAGCTACAGGACCCCACACCCAGATCTTTAGCTACAGGACCCCACACTAGATCTTTAGCTACAGGACCCCACACCCAGATCTTAGCTACAGGACCCCACACCCAGATCTTTACAGGACCCCAAACCCAGATCTTTAGCTACAGGACCCCACACCCAGATCTTTACAGGACCCCACACCCAGATCTTTAGCTACAGGACCCCACACCCAGATCTTTACAGGACCCCACACCTAGATCTTTAGCTACAGGACCCCACACCCAGATCTTTAGCTACAGGACCCCACACCCAGATCTTTAGCTACAGGACCCCACACCCAGATCTTTAGCTACAGGACCCCACACCCAGATCTTTAGCTACAGGACCCCACACCCAGATCTTTAGCTACAGGACCCCACACCCAGATCTTTAGCTACAGGACCCCACACCCAGATCTTTAGCTACAGGACCCCACACCCAGATCTTTAGCTACAGGATCCACACCCAGATCTTTAGCTACAGGACCCCACACCCAGATCTTTAGCTACAGGACCCCACACCCAGATCTTTAGCTACAGGACCCCACACCCAGATCTTTAGCTACAGGACCCCACACCCAGATCTTTAGCTACAGGACCCCACACCCAGATCTTTATAGGAACCCACACCCAGATCTTTAGCTACAGGACCCCACACCCAGATCTTTACAGGACCCCACACCCAGATCTTTAGCTACAGGACCCCACACCCAGATCTTTACAGGACCCCACACCATGATCTTTAGCTACAGGACCCCACACCCAGATCTTTAGCTACAGGACCCCACACCCAGATCTTTAGCTACAGGACCCCACACCATGATCTTTAGCTACAGGACCCCACACCCAGATCTTTAGCTACAGGACCCCACACCCAGATCTTTACAGGACCCCACACTAGATCTTTAGCTACAGGACCCCACACCCAGATCTTTAGCTACAGGACCCCACACCCAGATCTTTAGCTACAGGACCCCACACCCAGATCTTTAGCTACAGGACCCCACACCCAGATCTTTAGCTACAGGACCCCACACCCAGATCTTTAGCTACAGGACCCCACAACCAGATCTTTAGCTACAGGACCCCACACCCAGATCTTTACAGGACCCCACACTAGATCTTTAGCTACAGGACCCCACACCCAGATCTTTAGCTACAGGACCCCACACCCAGATCTTTAGCTACAGGACCCCACACCCAGATCTTTAGCTACAGGACCCCACACCCAGATCTTTAGCTACAGGACCCCACACCCAGATCTTTACAGGACCCCACACCCAGATCTTTAGCTACAGGACCCCACACCCAGATCTTTAGCTACAGGACCCCACACCCAGATCTTTAGCTACAGGACCCCACACCCAGATCTTTACAGAACCCCACACTAGATCTTTAGCTACAGGACCCCACACCCAGATCTTTAGCTACAGGACCCCACACCCAGATCTTTAGCTTCAGGACCCCACACCCAGATCTTTAGCTACAGGACCCCACACCCAGATCTTTAGCTACAGGACCCCACACCCAGATCTTTACAGGACCCCACACTAGATCTTTAGCTACAGGACCCCACACCCAGATCTTTAGCTACAGGACCCCACACCCAGATCTTTAGCTACAGGACCCCACACCCAGATCTTTAGCTACAGGACCCCACACCCAGATCTTTAGCTACAGGACCCCACACCCAGATCTTTACAGGACCCCACACCCAGATCTTTAGCTACAGGACCCCACACCCAGATGTTTAGCTACAGGACCCCACACCCAGATCTTTAGCTACAGGACCCCACACCCAGATCTTTAGCTACAGGACCCCACACACATATCTTTAGCTACAGGACCCCACACCCAGATCTTTAGCTACAGGACCCCACACCCAGATCTTTAGCTACAGGACCCCACACCCAGATCTTTAGCTACAGGACCCCACACCCAGATCTTTACAGGACCCCACACCCAGATCTTTACAGGACCCCACACCCAGATCTTTAGCTACAGGACCCCACAAACAGATCTTTACAGGACCCCACACTAGATCTTTAGCTACAGGACCCCACACCCAGATCTTTAGCTACAGGACCCCACACCCAGATCTTTAGCTACAGGACCCCACACCATGATCTTTAGCTACTCTTTCTCTCTCATACACACACTGATTGTGTTAGCTCACACACACACACACACACACAAACACACACACTTATTGTGTTAGCCAGTAGCGTAGCGAGGGGGGGCGGGGGTGGGGGAAAATGGGTTGGAAAAATAAATTGAAAGGTTGAGGGGGGTGTAAATCGAAATCTCAAGGGGGGGGGGGGTGCAAATCGAAAGTTTGAGGGGGGGGGGGCGTGCAAATCGAAATCTTGAGGAAGGGGGGGGGGGGGCAAATCGAAAAGTTTGTTTCCGGGCGCCGGGAGGGGTCGCTACGCCTATGGTGTTAGCTGACACACACACACACACAAACTGATGTGCTTACGTAATGTTTCCATGAAGATGGCTGGAGAAAGAAAAACAAATTCCTGATCAGAAAAATTACTGGATTGGACAAATGACCAAACAGACAAATGACTACACGGGAGAAATGACCGACAATTTATTACGGATCAAAATGTGTATACATTTAAAAATTCTTTCTACTGGTTTGTAATTGAGAAAAAGAGCAACATATCATTTTACAACACGAGGTCACTGACCTTAATGTCACTGACACAGAGGTCATTGACCATTTTGTCATTGACCACGAGGTCACTGACCTTAATGTCACTGACCATGAGGTCACTGACCTTAATGTCATTGACCATGAGGTCACTGACCTTAATGTCACTGACCACGAGGTCACTGACCTTAATGTCACTGACCATGAGGTCACTGACCTTTGTGTGCGTGACCACGAGGTCTCTAAACAAAACAAGCCACCTGGAAGGTGCCGGTCCTTTCATAGTACAACTTCTCAATCACGTGATAGTCCTTGAGCTTGGAGAATCTCGGTACCCTCAGGTCGAGCAAGACGTCAGCCAGGAAGTAGTTCTGGAAGTCCAGGGCGGCGCTCTGGAAGGCAACCATGTTCTCGCTCACCATGAACTTGTGGTACTCAGCGTCGATTTTCTGGGGGAGGGGATCAGTCAGTTCAAGTCACAGTCACCTCAAGTCACAGTCATCTCAAGTCACAGTCACCTCAAGTCACAGTCATCTCAAGTCACAGCTCAAGTCATAGCTCAAGTCACAGTCACCTCAAGTCACAGTCATCTCAATTCACAGCTCAAGTCACAGTCATCTCAAGTCACAGCTCAAGTCACAGTCACCTCAAGTCACAGCTCAAGTCACAGTCATCTCAAGTCACAGCTCAAGTCACAGTCATCTCAAGTCACAGCTCAAGTCACAGTCATCTCAAGTCACAGTCACCTCAAGTCACAGCTCAAGTCACAGTCATCTCAAGTCACAGTCACCTCAAGTCACAGTCATCTCAAGTCACAGTCACCTCAAGTCACAGTCATCTCAAGTCACAGTCACTTCAAGTCACAGTCATCTCAAGTCACAGCTCAAGTCACAGTCATCTTAAGTCACAGTCACCTCAAGTCACAGTCATCTCAAGTCACAGTCACCTCAAGTCACAGTCATCTCAAGTCACAGTCACTTCAAGTCACAGTCATCTCAAGTCACAGCTCAAGTCACAGTCATCTCAAGTCACAGCTCAAGTCACAGTCATCTCAAGTCACAGTCACCTCAAGTCACAGCTCAAGTCACAGTCATCTCAAGTCACAGTCACCTCAAGTCACAGTCATCTCAAGTCACAGTCACCTCAAGTCACAGCTCAAGTCACAGTCATCTCAAGTCACAGTCACCTCAAGTCACAGCTCAAGTCACAGTCATCTCAAGTCACAGTCATCTCAAGTCACAGTCACCTCAAGTCACAGTCATCTCAAGTCACAGTCACCTCAAGTCACAGCTCAAGTCACAGTTACCTCAAGTCACAGTCACCTCAAGTCACAGCTCAAGTCACAGTCACCTCAAGTCACAGCTCAAGTCACAGTCATCTCAAGTCACAGTCACCTCAAGTCACAGCTCAAGTCACAGCTCAAGTCACAGTCATCTGAAGTCACAGCTCAAGTCACAGTCATCTCAAGTCACAGTCACCTCAAGTCACAGTCACCTTAAGGCACAACTCAAGTCACAGTCATCTCAAGTCACAGTCATCTCAAGTCACAGCTCAAGTCACAGCTCAAGTCACAGCTCAAGTCACAACTCAAGTCGCAACTCAAGTCGCAACTCAAGTCACAACTCAAGTCACAGTCATCTCAAGTCACAGCTCAAGTCACAGCTCAAGTCACAGTCACCTCAAGTCACAACTCAAGTCACAGTCGTCTCAAGTCACAACTCAAGTCACAGTCATCTCCTGTTAACGTCACCTGCAGTCAGAGGCGTAGCGAAGGGGGGGGGGGGGGGGCAGGGGGTACCTATGTCCCCGGGCGCCGACCTTAGGGGGAGCGAAAATGGGTTGGAAAAACAAATTAAAATCTCATTTTAGCTGCATAAATATAAACATATATGAGGGGGAGGGTGCAAATCAAAAATGTGAGTAGGAGGGTGCTAATTGAAAGTTCGAGGAAGTGGGGTGCAAATCGAAAATGATCCCGAGGGGGGCGCCAAATTGAAAGTTTGTCCCCGGGCGCCGGGAAGGGCCGCTACGCCTCTGCCTGCAGTCACAGCCAACAACGATTTGCGTCTTTATGGCCTGCGACAAAATAGCTTGAGAAAGCACATCTCCCGGAGGTTCCTACTAATAGTTCATCCATCTGTGACGGCCAGTCCTGTTGTTGATGGCCCCGCTAAGAGTTCATCCATCTGTGACGGCCAGTCCGGGTGTTGATGGCCCAGCTAAGAGTTCATCCATCTGTGACGGCCAGTCCGGGTGTTGATGGCCCAGCTAAGAGTTCATCCATCTGTGACGGCCAGTCCGGGTGTTGATGGCCCAGCTAAGAGTTCATCCATCTGTGACGGCCAGTCCGGGTGTTGATGGCCCAGCTAAGAGTTCATCCATCTGTGACGGCCAGTCCGGGTGTTGATGGCCCAGCTAAGAGTTCATCCATCTGTGACGGCCAGTCCGGGTGTTGATGGCCCAGCTAAGAGTTCATCCATCTGTGACGGCCAGTCCGGGTGTTGATGGCCCAGCTAAGAGTTCATCCATCTGTGACGGCCAGTCCGGGTGTTGATGGCCCAGCTAAGAGTTCATCCATCTGTGACGGCCAGTCCGGGTGTTGATGGCCCAGCTAAGAGTTCACCCATCTGTGACGGCCAGTCCGGGTGTTGATGGCCCAGCTAAGAGTTCATCCATCTGTGACGGCCAGTCCTGTTGTTGATGGCCCAGCTAAGAGTTCATCCATCTGTGACGGCCAGTCCGGGTGTTGATGGCCCAGCTAAGAGTTCATCCATCTGTGACGGCCAGTCCTGTTGTTGATGGCCCAGCTAAGAGTTCATCCATCTGTGACGGCCAGTCCGGGTGTTGATGGCCCAGCTAAGAGTTCATCCATCTGTGACGGCCAGTCCGGGTGTTGATGGCCCAGCTAAGAGTTCATCCATCTGTGACGGCCAGTCCGGGTGTTGATGGCCCAGCTAAGAGTTCATCCATCTGTGACGGCCAGTCCTGTTGTTGATGGCCCAGCTAAGAGTTCATCCATCTGTGACGGCCAGTCCGGGTGTTGATGGCCCAGCTAAGAGTTCATCCATCTGTGACGGCCAGTCCTGTTGTTGATGGCCCAGCTAAGAGTTCATCCATCTGTGACGGCCAGTCCGGGTGTTGATGGCCCAGCTAAGAGTTCATCCATCTGTGACGGCCAGTCCTGTTGTTGATGGCCCAGCTAAGAGTTCATCCATCGGTGACGGCCAGTCCGGGTGTTGATGGCCCAGCTAAGAGTTCACCCATCTGTGACGGCCAGTCCGGGTGTTGATGGCCCAGCTAAGAGTTCATCCATCTGTGACGGCCAGTCCTGTTGTTGATGGCCCAGCTAAGAGTTCATCCATCTGTGACGGCCAGTCCGGGTGTTGATGGCCCAGCTAAGAGTTCATCCATCTGTGACGGCCAGTCCGGGTGTTGATGGCCCAGCTAAGAGTTCATCCATCTGTGACGGCCAGTCCTGTTGTTGATGGCCCAGCTAAGAGTTCATCCATCTGTGACGGCCAGTCCGGGTGTTGATGGCCCAGCTAAGAGTTCATCCATCTGTGACGGCCAGTCCGGGTGTTGATGGCCCAGCTAAGAGTTCATCCATCTGTGACGGCCAGTCCGGGTGTTGATGGCCCAGCTAAGAGTTCATCCATCTGTGACGGCCAGTCCGGGTGTTGATGGCCCAGCTAAGAGTTCATCCATCTGTGACGGCCAGTCCGGGTGTTGATGGCCCAGCTAAGAGTTCATCCATCTGTGACGGCCAGTCCTGTTGTTGATGGCCCAGCTAAGAGTTCATCCATCTGTGACGGCCAGTCCGGGTGTTGATGGCCCAGCTAAGAGTTCACCCATCTGTGACGGCCAGTCCGGGTGTTGATGGCCCAGCTAAGTGTTCATCCATCTGTGACGGCCAGTCCTGTTGTTGATGGCCCAGCTAAGAGTTCATCCATCTGTGACGGCCAGTCCGGGTGTTGATGGCCCAGCTAAGTGTTCATCCATCTGTGACGGCCAGTCCTGTTGTTGATGGCCCAGCTAAGAGTTCATCCATCTGTGACGGCCAGTCCGGGTGTTGATGGCCCAGCTAAGAGTTCATCCATCTGTGACGACCAGTCCGGGTGTTGATGGCCCAGCTAAGAGTTCATCCATCTGTGACGGCCAGTCCGGGTGTTGATGGCCCAGCTAAGAGTTCATCCATCAGTGACGGCCAGTCCGGGTGTTGATGGCCCAGCTAAGAGTTCATCCATCTGTGACGGCCAGTCCGGGTGTTGATGGCCCAGCTAAGAGTTCATCCATCTGTGACGGCCAGTCCGGGTGTTGATGGCCCAGCTAAGAGTTCACCCATCTGTGACGGCCAGTCCGGGTGTTGATGGCCCAGCTAAGAGTTCATCCATCTGTGACGGCCAGTCCGGGTGTTGATGGCCCAGCTAAGAGTTCATCCATCTGTGACGGCCAGTCCTGTTGTTGATGGCCCAGCTAAGAGTTCATCCATCTGTGACGGCCAGTCCGGGTGTTGATGGCCCAGCTAAGAGTTCATCCATCTGTGACGGCCAGTCCTGTTGTTGATGGCCCAGCTAAGAGTTCATCCATCTGTGACGGCCAGTCCGGGTGTTGATGGCCCAGCTAAGAGTTCATCCATCTGTGACGGCCAGTCCTGTTGTTGATGGCCCAGCTAAGAGTTCATCCATCTGTGACGGCCAGTCCTGTTGTTGATGGCCCCGCTAAGAGTTCATCCATCTGTGACGGCCAGTCCTGTTGTTGATGGCCCAGCTAAGAGTTCATCCATCTGTGACGGCCAGTCCTGTTGTTGATGGCCCAGCTAAGAGTTCATCCATCTGTGACGGCCAGTCCGGGTGTTGATGGCCCAGCTAAGAGTTCATCCATCTGTGACGGCCAGTCCTGTTGTTGATGGCCCAGCTAAGAGTTCATCCATCTGTGACGGCCAGTCCGGGTGTTGATGGCCCAGCTAAGAGTTCATCCATCTGTGACGGCCAGTCCTGTTGTTGATGGCCCAGCTAAGAGTTCATCCATCTGTGACGGCCAGTCCTGTTGTTGATGGCCCAGCTAAGAGTTCATCCATCTGTGACGGCCAGTCCTGTTGTTGATGGCCCAGCTAAGAGTTCACCCATCTGTGACGGCCAGTCCGGGTGTTGATGGCCCAGCTCATAGTTCATCCATCTGTGACGGCCAGTCCGGGTGTTGATGGCCCAGCTAAGAGTTCATCCATCTGTGACGGCCAGTCCGGGTGTTGATGGCCCAGCTAAGAGTTCACCCATCTGTGACGGCCAGTCCGGGTGTTGATGGCCCAGCTCATAGTTCATCCATCTGTGACGGCCAGTCCGGGTGTTGATGGCCCAGCTAAGAGTTCACCCATCTGTGACGGCCAGTCCGGGTGTTGATGGCCCAGCTCATAGTTCATCCATCTGTGACGGCCAGTCCGGGTGTTGATGGCCCAGCTAAGAAGTTCACCCATCTGTGACGGCCAGTCCGGGTGTTGATGGCCCAGCTCATAGTTCATCCATCTGTGGCGGCCAGTCCGGGTGTTGATGGCCCAGCTAAGAGTTCACCCATCTGTGACGGCCAGTCCTGTTCATCCATCTGTGACGGCCAGTCCTGTTGTTGATGGCCCAGCTAAGAGTTCATCCATCTGTGACGGCCAGTCCGGGTGTTGATGGCCCAGCTAAGAGTTCATCCATCTGTGACGGCCAGTCCTGTTGTTGATGGCCCAGCTAAGAGTTCATCCATCTGTGACGGCCAGTCCTGTTGTTGATGGCCCAGCTAAGAGTTCATCCATCTGTGACGGCCAGTCCTGTTGTTGATGGCCCAGCTAAGAGTTCATCCATCTGTGACGGCCAGTCCGGGTGTTGATGGCCCAGCTAAGAGTTCATCCATCTGTGACGGCCAGTCCGGGTGTTGATGGCCCAGCTAAGAGTTCACCCATCTGTGACGGCCAGTCCGGGTGTTGATGGCCCAGCTCATAGTTCATCCATCTGTGACGGCCAGTCCGGGTGTTGATGGCCCAGCTAAGAGTTCACCCATCTGTGACGGCCAGTCCGGGTGTTGATGGCCCAGCTCATAGTTCATCCATCTGTGACGGCCAGTCCGGGTGTTGATGGCCCAGCTAAGAAGTTCACCCATCTGTGACGGCCAGTCCGGGTGTTGATGGCCCAGCTCATAGTTCATCCATCTGTGGCGGCCAGTCCGGGTGTTGATGGCCCAGCTAAGAGTTCACCCATCTGTGACGGCCAGTCCTGTTGTTGATGGTCCAGCTTCTTCTTCGTTCTTAATTATTAGTGTTGAAGGGGATCGAGATTTATCTGCCAGTGGGTTTAAATTCGAGACTTCGTTCAAATTTATCAACCATGAGCTTTTTGCCGACTCGACCACGCCTCCAACACAATTAAGCGTTACGTGTCAACTGGTTATGCGCCATTGAGGCCATTGACTACGATTTCAGCCTGCTTTTCTTTTTGGATTTGCTTCCATAGCCTTTGTCCAACCAAGAACAAACTACAAGGCAGCAGTTGTTTAATTTTGGAGTTGTCTCTCCTAGAAGAGTGGCTGTCCCCAGCTAACGAGCCTCATCTGCCCGAGGGTTCGAACTCGTGGCTTTTCGGTTTAGCAACCATGAGCTTTACCGACTCGACCACGCTGACCCATGGCCCAGCTAAGAGTTCATCCATCTGTGACGGCCAGTCCTGTTGTTGATGGCCCAGTTGAACGAAATAACTTGCAGAAGTCAAAATGTCTCTAGAAAGAGCGCTTGCTTTATTAAATGGAATTCTTCCCGATAGAGGGCGTCTAAAAACAAATGGCTAAAAGCTAATCATTGATATTTTACGTCCACAGAAAGGGTTTGCAGTTCTTGTCAGCGGTCGGCCGTAGCATTCTGACACATCGTTAACTTCTGCTTACTACACACGTAGCCATTTTATGTGAAATATAGATCATCATGTTTTCCCTTTTGTGCCAAAGAGACATAAGGATATCATCGTTTATATACTTGCAGCATCAGTTCATTTAGGACTAATCTAACTAGGTTGTCTTTTCAACACTCCTTAAGTTCCTTGTTGTCGTATTTTTGTGACGTCATTCAATTGTATTTTTTGTTTTCCGTTAAGCAACCAACTCTTTTGATTGGTGGATATAAGAAAATATTTCTACTCTAACACAAATTCTCTAACGGTGAAAAAAAAAAACTTGACAGCCAGGGTTGACAGCTCTATGTCTGGGGCTCAATGAAAGGGGGGAGGGGGGGTGAGGGGGCGGAGACAGGTGGGATAGAAAAATTCGGACATGGAGAAACTTTTTAAAAGTTCAACTCTTTGTGATTGTTCCCGACTATACATTTCTTCTTCTTCTTCTTCGTTCTTAATTATTAATGTTGAAGTGGATCGAGATTTATCTGCCAGTGGGTTTGAACTCGAGACTTTGTTCGAATTTATCAACCATGAGCTTTTTGCCGACTAGACCACGCCTCCAACACAATTAAGCGTTACGTGTCAACTGGTTATGCGCCATTGAGGCCATTGACTCCGATTTCAGCCTGCTTTTCTTTTTGGATTTGCTTCCATAGTCTTTGTCCAACCAAGAACAAACTACAAGGCAGAAGTTGTTTAATTTTGGAGTTGTCTCTCCTAGAAGAGTGGCTGTCCCCAGCTAACGAGCCTCATCTGCCCGAGGGTTCGAACTCGAGACTTTTCGGTTCAGCAATTTACATTTCTAAATTCCCGACTTTGTCTGAACCCAAGTCTCCTTTAAAAGCTTAACAGTTCCATCTCTGAAATTGTAAGATTGTCCGCCTTGCCCCACCCCAGAACGTGTACCTCGTGTACCCCCATCTGTGTTTGGGTGAAGGGCTCGGTTATGTTGACCACCCGGCTGGTAGAGGGGGCGTCGTCAGAGGTCCCCTTGGTGCAGCAGTCGATAACTGACCGTCGGGCCATTGCTTGCTAGCTTCAATGTTTACCATGCTGCCTCCATTGCTCAACACTTGAGTAAAACGTCACAGGTTTGTGTGGCTCAAGATGGTGACGTACTAGACAAATGGTGCAGAAAAATATGTACCAACAAGGTACAAAATCGTTTTTTAGTTGGTGCAAACATTATGTTATGGCTGATTCACACACCACGCTTACAAAAAAGAAAAAAACTCCGTAATAAAAACAAATAACAATTTTAATACTTTATAAAAATGCGTTGTTAAAAGGCAAATAAATTTTGACAAAACCCTTTTTAACTCAAGCCCCCCCCCCCCCCAACCGTCCTTATTATTTATAATGAAAATAGAAAAAAGGGAAATAACTGTTGGAATCTGGAATGTTGTCGGAATCAAATAAATACACAAAACTGTCGCATGTTGTCGGAATCAAATAAATACACAAAACTGTCGTATGTTGTCGGAATCAAATAAAAACACAAAACTGTCGTAAGTTGTAGGGATCAAATGAAAGACTGTCATATGTTGTCAGAAACAAATAAATACAGTAAAGTGTCGGTTATTTGGGGACCACGCCCACATTCCTAGTCAACAAAAGAAAGACTTGAGATGGCGACTGCTGCAGTAGTTGGGGTTAGATGTGGGTGTGGCTATGTGGGTGTGGCTATGTGGGTGTGGTTATGTAGGTGTGGCTATGTGGGTGTGGCTATATGGGTGTGGCTATGTGGGTGTGGCTATGTGGGTGTGGCTATATGTGGTTGTTTCTGTGTTGAGTTTAAAACTGAAACGACGAACATTTGGAAAGCTGTTGAGGTGATGGTGACAAAGTAGCCAATCAGTGACGTCACATTTCTGTTGCCTGTTGGCATACAACGGAAGGGAGACCAAACATTTGTCACGTCATTCACTGTAGGCAGGTTGTCACGTCATTCACTGTAGGCAGGTTGTCACGTCATTCACTGTAGGCAGGTTGTCACGTCATTCACTGTAGGCAGGTTGTCACGTCATTCACTGTAGACAGGTTGTCACGTCATTCACTGTAGGCAGGTTGTCACGTCATTCACTGTAGGCAGGTTGTCACGTCATTCACTGTAGGCAGGTTGTCACGTCATTCACTGTAGGCAGGTTGTCACGTCATTCACTGTAGGCAGGTTGTCACGTCATTCACTGTAGGCAGGTTGTCACGTCATTCACTGTAGACAGGTTGTCACGTCATTCACTGTAGGCAGGTTGTCACGTCATTCACTGTAGGCAGGTTGTCACGTCATTCACTGTAGGCAGGTTGTCACGTCATTCACTGTAGGCAGGTTGTCACGTCATTCACTGTAGGCAGGTTGTCACGTCATTCACTGTAGGCAGGTTGTCACGTCATTCACTGTAGGCAGGTTGTCACGTCATTCACTGTACGCAGTTTGTCACGCCATTCACTGTAGACAGGTTTTTCACGTCATTCACTGTAGACAGGTTATCACGTCATTCACTGTAGACAGGTTGTCACGTCATTCACTGTAGGCAGGTTGTCACGTCATTCACTGTAGACAGGTTTGTCACGGACTGAAGAAAATAACTTCTATAAATAGCCCAATGAATAAAAATTTGAAAGTAATTTGATTCGACACAAATCTACGAGCCACAAAACAACGAGTACAAGAGTGTACAAAAAATGTACAAGAATGTACATGTTACAATTTTGAAATTATGAAAAAATGTACACAGCTAAACAGTAAAAACTAGAGCTCACAACTATGTACAGATAACCTTGACCTTTCAACTATGTCCATATAACCTTGACCTTTCAGCTACACATCAAATTAAACCTTCTCTGGCATCTAGTTTTGAATATGACATGTGGTATGGAACATATGACACATCGTATGGTGACATATGACATGTCGTATGGAACATATGACATGTCGTATGGAACATATGACACGTCGTATGGAGACATGACATGTTGTATGGAACATATGACATGTCGTATGGAACATATGACACATCGTATGGAGACATGACATGTTGTATGGAACATATGACATGTCGTATGGAACATATGACACATCGTATGGAACATATGACACATCGTATGGAACATATGACACATCGTATGGAGACATATGACACATCGTATGGAGACATATGACATGTCGTATGGAACATATGACACATCGTATGGTGACATATGACATGTCGTATGGAGACATATGACATGTATGGAGACATACGACACATCATATGGAACATACGACATGTCGTATGGAATATATGACACATCATATGGAGACATATGACATGTCGTATGGTGACATATGACACATCGTATGTAGACATATGACACGTCGTATGGAATATATGACACATCGTATAGACATATGACATGTCGTATGGAGACAAATGACACATCGTATGGAACATATGACATGTTGTATGGAGACATATGACATGTCGTATGGAACATATGTCATTCTGTATGGGGAATTATTACATACCATATGGTCAATATATAAGACATACATTTAATATTTGACAATACATGAAAGGAGGTGTGTATGTTGTGTGTCTGCTGTGAGGGAGTGCAGTGTGTGTTGTGTGGGGGGGGGGGTTATGTTGTGGGGGGTTATGCTGTGGGGGAGTGTTGTTTTGTGGGGGTGTTGTCTTGTGGGGGTGTTGTCTTGTGGGGTATTCACTTGTGGGGGTGTGCTGTGTGTGGTTTCTCTAACAAATGTACAAACATACAAACCAACATCCAATGAAACATACAAACCAACATCCAAACAACGAAACAAACAAGGTGTTGACTGAGATGACAGATGTATGCTGGCCTATTTGATCTGTAAGAAGTGAAGAAAATAAAACATCACACACCCCACACCCCCCCCCCCCCACACACACACATGACAGATGTATGAGTGAATGTACAAATGTTACAGTAATTGTATTCTCTGGGGTCTATCCTTTGAGTTAGCACATTCATTCATTTCAAGTTGGTGCCCTGGTATAATTATTGCCCCTGTGTGGGCCACTCAAGTTATGGCCCCTCTGTGGGCCACTCAAGTTATGGCCCCTGTGTGGGCCACTCAAGTTATGGCCCCTGTATGAGCAACAAGTTATGGCCCCTGTATGGGCCACTCAAGTTATGGCCCCTGTGTGGGCCACTCAAGTTATGGCCCCTGTGTGGGCCACTCAAGTTATGGCCCCTGTATGAGCAACAAGTTATGGCCCCTGTATGGGCCACTCAAGTTATGGCCCCTGTGTGGGCCACTCAAGTTATGGCCCCTGTATGAGCAACAAGTTATGGCCCCTGTATGGGCCACTCAAGTTATGGCCCCTGTATGAGCAACAAGTTGGCTTAATAACAAACCTACCTGTGTGAGTGACCTCACACCGAAAAAATAGAATCACTGACATGTCACTTTAGATGCAGACGTGTCAGTCGCCGGGTGACGTGTCAGTCGCCGTGTGACGTGTCACTTAAGTCGCTGAGTGACGTTGGCAAGTGCTACAGCGAAGGCCTGGACCGCTGTGAAGGGATACTGGAAGTCGAGGGTGTAAGCGTTGTTGTCGATTCGACCAAACTGCATCACCTGCAACACAGCACAGTGCAACGTGACAAACATAGTAAATAAAGCGGGAGTCATCTCCCCTGAACTTTGTGTGTAGGACACCAAAGAAAGTGCGTGGTTTTTTGGTGAAACATTGAACGAGAACCTTCACTGACATCCACCAACCAAATCAGAGGCGTCGTGAGGCGGGGGCGGGGTATCACATGTCACTAATACATTGACAACAATCCAAGTAAAGATATTAAGGTTATATATGAAATAATCCAAGTATCCAAGTATCTATAATATAAGCGGCTAGGTAGTGTGTCAGTCCGTCATCGCTATAGATTTTCGAACCATAAAAGTAAACATCGCACCATGCAGTGCTTTTCAGTGCATCGCAATTTCTTATTATAAGTAATAGAGTAGGATTTGTTTATATAACGACATAAAGTTGTTTTATAGTTGGCACTGCTTTTACTCTTTTGCATAACGTAAAGAAAATATTAAATACACGGACATCGCTAAACATATTAAAAGGATCAATGTCATATTATCATTTTAGTTTATATTCCTAGAAAAAGTGGATACATTTTCATAACAGTAGGTCGAAAAAAACTAATTAAATCAATATTTTTTGTTGTAATTTTCGCAAGGGAGGTAATTTAAAAATAAATTTAACTCATCAATAATTTAAGTTAATTTTTACTTTCTCGTATATACGAAGTATAAAGAAAATCTTGTAATCGTGCTAAAAAAATCGAGATTTTTACAAATCTCGACGTTTTACACCTCACTGATACGGAAAAACATAATTTTGCCATCTTGACCGTATGTCTGTGTGTGTGTGTGTGTCTGTGTGTGTCTGTGTCTGTGTAAACACGATAACTTGAGTACAGTTACAGCTAGGTTGATGAAATTTCATATATAAGTATTTTATCAAAATCGTAGATCCGTATCAACTTTTGAGCGATTTCCGGTAACCGGAGGTGGTACTTTTTCTACTTTGAATATTTCAAAAGCCTATAACTTGAGTACTATTTCAGATAGATAAATGAAATTTCACAGGTAAGTAAAAGATCTAGTTCTCTACCTTCTGTCAAATTTTGAGTAATTTCCGTTGAAAAGAAGTAGTAATTTACGCTTTCCGAATTCTCAAAAAAACGCTTGTAAATTTATAAAGTACTAATAATATTCCGCACTATTATGCACATTTTGTTTTGGCATTCGCTTGGTGCGCAATTCTTTTTTCTATGAGATTCTATTCTATTTTAAAAAGTTTAAGTATTTAAAATGGATTAAAATCATAACTATATCCCGAGTTCCCATCCCCTGTTGTTTTATATAAGAATATTCGAGAAAGTTTAGGGGAGATCACTCCCGGTTTTTTTTTATTACTACCGCATTGATTATTATATGTTAAGGTTCATAATTAAAATAGAAAAATGTTAAGATTATTTGTATTATTTTCTAATTAGTCTATGAGTTCTTCAAATTACTATTTTTTGTTTTTGTTTTTCGGTGTTATTAAAACAGATGGGGAAATTAGACTTTTAGAGAATTCTGGAAAGGCTCTCGCTGGGTGCGGACGCGTGAGAAAACGTGTTTTTAATATTCAACTCACTCTCAATAATTTAAGTTACATTTTTTTATTACTACCGCATTGATTATTATATGTTAAGGTTCATAAGTAAAATAGAAAAATGTTAATATTATTAAAATGTATATTATTTTCTAATTAGTCTATGATCTCTCAAAATCATTATTTTTTGTTTTTGTTTATCGGTGTTAACAGATAGTGAAATTTTTTAATTATAGTATAATTTGGTATAGAGAATGCTGGAAAGGCTCTCTCTGGGCGCGGACGCATGAGAAAAGCGTGTTTTTCGCTGGTGATTCTAATTACATTGCCAATGTGTTTTCTTAGAACCATAAAAGTAAACACCACTTGCCGTAAATTTATTTGCATCGCAATTTTTAATTATAAGTTATGGAGTAGGATCTATTTATGTGACTTAAATTTTTATGCTGGAAAGGCTCTCTTTGGGCGCGGAAGCCTAGGAAAGTGTGTTGTTCGGTGGTGATTCTAATGTTGTGGTTGTGTTGTGGTTGTGTTGTGTTTGTTTTGTTCTGTTCCCAAGTTGGTACATTTAAAAAAGATTTACCGTGGCGGAGCACGGGTATGCAGCTAGTAAGATCTTAAAGTTAGATATGAAATTTAGTTTTGCCTAAATAAAACCTCACTCCAGTACCACTTCCGGTTGTAGGAAGTTTTTCAATATTTGAAAGAAACCAAGATATACATTGTAATTCTTCTATGTGAAATTTCTTCCTCCTATCTTAAACAGTACTTAAGATTTTTTGTTTTATGAGAAACAGGAGGTAGGTTAGTTATCACTTTCGGTTACCGGAAATTACTTAAAAGATGACACAGAAGTTGATATAAAAGAAATTTCCTAACGACTGAAACGGTAGTAATGTTATGTTCACAGACACACGGACAAAAGGGCAAAACTAAATGTGTGTACATCTAATAGAATAAAGTTTGAAAGAGGAAAACTTGTGGCAAAACTAAATGTGTGTACATCTAATAGAATAAAGTTTGAAAGATGAAAACTTGTGGCAAAACTAAATGTGTGTACATCTAATAGAATAAAGTGTGAAAGATGAAAACTTGTGGCAAAACTAAATGTGTGTACATCTAATAGAATACAGTTTGAAAGATGAAAACTTGTGGCAAAACTAAATGTGTGTACATCTAATAGAATAAAGTTTGAAAGATGAAAACTTGATGGCCTCTGACCTGTTTCCCTCTGAGCTCAATCTGGAAGTTTTTTGCTGACTCCTGTGTGACTCGGCCACCGAAGTCGAGCTGGTAGACCTGACTGGTCTCGTTCCACAGCGGGGCCTTGTTGTGCATTGTGAATGTTCGGGCCTGCTCCAGGCGCCCTGAGGTGCTGTTTACACGTCGCCGGAGCTGGGGACATCAGACTCACACTTAGACACTTAGGTCAGGGCAACTTAGGTCTGGGCAACTTAGGTCAGGACAACTTAGGTCAGGACAACTTAGGTCAGCACAACTTAGGTCAGGACAATTTAGGTCAGGCCAATTTAGGTCAGGCCAATTTAGGTCAGGCCAACTTAGGTCAGCACAACTTAGGTCAGGCCAATTTAGGTCAGGTCAATTTAGGTCAGGTCAACTTAGGTCAGGACAACTTAGGTCAGGACAACTTAGGTCAGGACAACTTAGGTCAGCACAACTTAGGTCAGGCCAATTTAGGTCAGGCCAACTTAGGTCAGGACAATTTAGGTCAGGACAACTTAGGTCAGGACAACTTAGGTCAGGCCAATCTAGGTCAGGCTAATTTAGGTCAGACCAATTAAGGTCAGGACAATTTAGGTCAGGCCAATCTAGGTCAGGCTAATTTAGGTCAGACCAATTAAGGTCAGGACAATTTAGGTCAGGCCAAGTTAAGGTCAGGCTAATTTAGGTCAGGCAAAGTTAGGGGAAGACAATTCAGGGAGGACAATTTACATTACAATGGTGTAAATGTATGCTAGTTGATGGTGTTGTATGCTAGTTGATGGTGTGCTGTATGCTAGTTGATGGTGTTGTATGCTAGTTGATGGTGTTGTATGCTAGTTGATGGTGTGTTGTATGCTAGTCACCTTCTGCTTGAGCTGAGCTTTCTGAAAGGCCTCAAGGTTCTGGTAGTGCTGTGAAAACTTCAACTCCTCCATACCTAGGTAGACGTCCTGGGCAGAGACAGGGCTGTCCCTGCCCTTTCTGCCCAGCAGTGGGCTCAAGTGCTTACACCGGCCCTTCAGGATCTCCTCGTGCAGGCTCTGGGCAGCTGGGTCAGGCTTGACCCCAAAGCGGATGGGGGAGGAGGGGAGTGAGGCACTGGTTTGTTGGATGTCCAGGTCCTGGATGTGGTTACTGAGGTAATCGTTGTTGATGGGATAGCTGTCCTCACAGTTGTTGATTGGGTAGCTGTCCTCACAGTTGTTGATTGGGTAGCTGTCCTCACAGTTGTCTGGTGAAGCTGGCTCCACAGAAGGAGACTGGCACTCAAGCGTGACGATGTCAGGGTTCCTCATGAAAAATCCTGGCATAGACCGGAAGTTGTGCGCAGAGTTCACTCCTGGCTCCTCAGAAAGGATAAGGTTCAGCTTGTCTAGAGAGGTCAGGTCTTTGGGCAGATGTAGGTCGAGGTCAGCAGGGTCATGTGGACACGCCCATCCCTGATGTTGGGTTGGGTGGGTACACCTGTGACATGGAAGAAGTGGCTGATGGGGTGCTGGGTCTGGCTGGCTGGCTAATGCTGGTGTCATGTTAGGCCTGGTGCCGGCCCTCTGGGAGAACCCTGGCGTGTGTGAGCTTTCAGAGTTTGACAGGCAGTTGCTGCAGTATAAAACTTTGGTTAGGTCGCTGTCAGAAGCTTGGCGCAGTACATCAGCTACTGGCTGACTGTCCTCAACGCTTGGGACAACCTTGCTATTCACAGGCCCATCTGCTGGGTCAGGGGTCCTGTTGTCAGAGGTCCTGTTGTCAGAGGTCCTGTTGTCAGGGGTCCTGTTGTCAGAGGTCCTGTTGTCAGAGGTCCTGTTGTCAGGGGTCCTGTTGTCAGAGGTCCTGTTGTCAGAGGTCCTGTTGTCAGGGGCCCTGTTCTTCCAAGCATGTTGTGTCACGATTTTGTGATGATCTGTGCCAAATGTCAAGCTGACCTCTGGTTCTGCCAGGCATTGGGCAGGAAGACATGCTGGGCAGCTGCTGGGTGAGATGGGAGCACCAGTGTCCACGATGTTGTGCTGGGCTAAATATAGCCTGGGGGGGGGGGGGACAAGAGGGCAAGCGTGAGCAAAATAGAGAAACTCTCTCCACACAACCACACCACTCAACAAGATATTCTCTCCACACAACCACACCACTCAACAAGATATTCTCTCCACACAACCACACCACTCAACAAGATATTCTCTCCACACAACCACATCACACAACAATATATTCTCTCCACACAACCACACCACTCAACAAGATACTCTCTCCACACAACCACACCACTCAACAAGATATTCTCTCCACACAACCACTCAACAAGATATTCTCTCCACACAACCACACCACTCAACAAGATATTCTCTCCACACAACCACACCACTCAACAAGATATTCTCTACACACAACCACACCACTCAACAAGATATTCTCTCCACACAACCACACCACTCAACAAGATATTCTCTCCACACAACCACACCACTCAACAAGATATTATCTCCACACAACCACACCACTCAACAAGATATTCTCTACACACAACCACACCACTCAACAAGATATTCTCTCCACACAACCACACAAGATATTCTCTCCACACAACCACACCACTCAACAAGATATTCTCTCCACACAACCACACCACTCAACAAGATATTCTCTCCACACAACCACACCACTCAACAAGATATTCTCTCCACACAACCACTCAACAAGATATTCTCTCCACACACATAGTTCTAGAGCTATAATTACTACAACATCAAGCAACTAGAACCTTCTGTGTAGATCTAGACAAAATGGTGCCGTGGGGCTGCAGTCTGCCACAAGGTTGTTCTCAAACGGCAGCTCTGAGCCGTCTGCTGCTGTGTCCTCCAGCACCTTGACGGCATGGGCAGCAGGGTCCGCCCACCTGGGACACGCGTCATCACGTGATGGCGTCACGCTGCCCTCCATCTGACTGCTGCCTGTTTGCTGTTCCTCAACCCTGACACATGCCCCACCCCCTGGACTCATGGTAGCCACGCCCCCTTTGTCTACATCAACCAGGTCCACCCTCCTGTATTTAGAACTGTGCCCCACCCCTACAGGCAGGGTGGGGTCCACTTTATTGGGGGTGGGGCAGGGATGTGGGGGGACACCATTGGTGTGACTGAGCAGAGACGTGCAGGCTGTCTGTCTCTTGCCATTGGCCACAGGCAGCTTCGGGCTGCTGGCTGGAATGTTGCCGCTGTTGCTGCTGTTCCTGTGGCTGTTGCTGCGTTTGTTGGATTTGGGTCTGGCCCCCTGTTGGTTGCAGCTGTCCGGCCTGACGTCACTGCCCTCCTGCTTGATGGCGGGGGAGCTCTGGGTTAGAGAGTTGCGTACAGGGGAGAGGGAGCGCGACCTGACGGTGCCAGAGTTGCCCATCTTGCCGCCGCTCAAGCTGGACAGATCGTTGGTGTACGGGCCACTTGCTTCTATCTGGGGGGACTCCAGCGACCTGAAGACAAAATCATGCTCAGTCAGTAGGTCAAGGTTTGCTGTCAGATTTGGACTCGAAACTATCTAAAGAGGAACCTAAATGAGTGACAACATCCACCACTTACTGCTAAAGTTAAACTCATTAAGTTTGACACTTAAATGAGACAACTCATTAAGTTGGACATTTAATTTAAATGAGACAACTCATTAAGTTGGACATTTAATTTAAATGAGACAACTCATTAAGTTGGACATTTAATTTAAATGAGACAACTCATTAAGTTGGACATTTAATTTAAATGAGACAACTCATTAAGTTTGCCACTTAAATGAGACAACTCATTAAGTTTGCCACTTAAATGAGACAACTCATTAAGTTTGCCCCCTAAAGTCAGACACTGATGTTTACCTGTTGCCATTCTCCATGCCCCCTAAAGTCAGACACTGATGTTTACCTGTTGCCATTCTCCATGCCCCCTAAAGTCAGACACTGATGTTTACCTGTTGCCATTCTCCATGCCCCCTAAAGTCAGACACTGATGTTTACCTGTTGCCATTCTCCATGCCACCGTTCTCCCCTCTAACGTCAGCTGATGGCGCGTCGTGTACTGTCACCTCTACAGTTTTCTTGTCGCCAATCAAATCCCCTTCACTTGTCCCTGTGGGTGAAATCACATTAGGTACATGTATGACCTACATTATCTAGAACATGTCGCTACTTGTACGACCTATATTATCTAGAACTTGTTGCAACATGTATGACCTACATTATCTAGAACTTGTTGCCACATGTATGACCTACATTATCTAGAACTTGTTGCCACATGTATGACCTACATTATCTAGAACTTGTTGCCACATGTATGACCTACATTATCTAGAACTTGTTGCCACATGTATGACCCACATTATCTAGAACTTGTTGCCACATGTATGACCCACATTATCTAGAACTTGTTGCCACATGTATGACCCACATTATCTAGAACTTGTTGCCACATGTATGACCCACATTATCTAGAACTTGTTGCCACATGTATGACCCACATTATCTAGAACTTGTTGCCACATGTATGACCCACATTATCTAGAATTTGTTGCCACATGTATGACCCACATTATCTAGAACTTGTTGCCACATGTATGACCCACATTATCTAGAATTTGTTGCCACATGTATGACCAACAGTTGCTGCAGCTACTGTAGCCTACAAAGCCCAATCAAATCCAGCACATGGTCAAGCAGATGTCAGTCATGGGGGACTTACAAAAACTGTCCTCGTCATCACTGACAGGAGCTGGGGTGAAGTTGGGGTCACGTGAGAGAGCCTGGCGGGCTGGGGTCATCTCTGTGATGGTGATGGTCATCTGGCGGGGCTGCAGGTGCAGCAGAGACGTCTTGTAGACCACCTGACCCAGGCAGGCTGGCAGGGAGGACGTCACGCCTGTAATCTGGAACTTGGTGCCCCAAATGTTGGACGTCACCTCCACCAGTCGGGTGTTCTGGGGGGGGGGAGGCGGAGATATTAAAGATAGATATGCAACATCCAACTCATTTGTTAAGTCACCACAACATCCAACTCTGTAATGTCACAGTCACAGTGTCACGTGACAGTCACACAGTATAACGTCACGCCAGACAAATTTGAATCTCACACTGAGACTCTCTGTACTGTTGCCCCACCACATTCGACAAAATCTCAGGCAGATAATGAGGAGCATATTTAGTATCATAACAGCTATAGCTGGCCCCACAGCTACAGCTGGCCCTACAGCTACAGCTAACCCTACAGCTACAGCTAACCCTACAGCTACAGCTAACCCTACAGCTACAGCTGGCCCCACAGCTACAGCTAAGCCCCCCCCCCAGCTACAGCTGGCCCCACAGCTACAGCTAAGCCCCCCCCCAGCTACGGCTGGCCCCCAGCTACAGCTGGCCCCACAGCTACAGCTAAGCCCCCCCCCCAGCTACGGCTGGCCCACAGTTACAGCTGAGCCCCCCTCCCCCCCCCCCCCCCCCCAGCTACAGCTGGACCAACCTCTGGCAAGTTGTCATCATACATGAGCTCGTCCAGTGTCCTGAATGTGATGCTCCTGTTGACCTTCTCTGCCCTGAAAACTTTATGACGTCGTCGTCTCTGCATCCTGGGAGATCCACACCCATCTGTGTAGACATCCGCGTCTGACTCGGAGCTTGACTCGCTCTCAATCCCGCCTGCCTGAGATTGTTCTAGACAAAGAAAAGTTCCATCACATTCAATGATAAAACCAAAACAGTGTATGTTTTCATCAAAATAATATCATTTGATCTGAGACCAAACAAGGCCAGAAGACTGACCTCGCCCAGAAGACTGACTGACCTCGCCCAGTAGACTGACCTCACCCAGAAGACTGACTGACCACACCCAGAAGACTGACCTCACCCAGAAGACTGACCTCACCCAGAAGACTGACCTCGCCCAGAAGACTGACTGACCTCGCCCAGAAGACTGACCTCACCCAGAAGACTGACCTCACCCAGAAGACTGACTGACCTCACCCAGAAGACTGACTGACCACACCAAGAAGACTGACTGACCTCACCCAGAAGACTGACCACACCCAGAAGACTGACCTCACCCAGAAGACTGACCTCACCCAGAAGACTGACCACACCCAGAAGACTGACTGACCTCACCCAGAAGACTGACCTCACCCAGAAGACTGACCTCACCCAGAAGACTGACCACACCCAGAAGACTGACTGACCTCACCCAGAAGACTGACCTCACCCAGAAGACTGACTGACCACACCCAGAAGACGTGACTGACCACACCCAGAAGACTGACCTCACCCAGAAGACTGACCTCACCCAGAAGACTGACTGACCTCACCCAGAAGACTGACTGACCTCACCCAGATGACTGACCTCACCCAGAAGACTGACCTCACCCAGAAGACTGACCTCACCCAGAAGACAGACCTCACCCAGAAGACTGACCTCACCCAGAAGACTGACTGACCACACCCAGAAGACTGACTGACCACACCCAGAAGACTGACTGACCACACCCAGAAGACTGACTGACCACACCCAGAAGACTGACTGACCACACCCAGAAGACTGACCTCACCCAGAAGACTGACCTCACCCAGAAGTCTGACCTCACCCAGAAGACTGACTGACCTCACCCAGAAGACTGACTGACCTCACCCAGAATACTGATCTCACCCAGAAGACTGACCTCACCCAGAAGACTGACTGACCTCACCCAGAAGACTGACCTCACCCAGAAGACTGACCTCACCCAGAAAACTGACTGACCTCACCCAGAAGACTGACTGACCTCACCCAGAAGACTGACCTCACCCAGAAGACTGACTGACCTCGCCCAGAAGACTGACCTCACCCAGAAGACAGACCTCACCCAGAAGACTGACCTCACCCAGAAGACTGACTGACCTCACCCAGAAGACTGACTGACCTCACCCAGAAGACTGACCTCACCCAGAAGACAGACCTCTTCCAGAAGACTGACTGACCTCACCCAGAAGACTGACTGACCTCACCCAGAAGACTGACCTCACCCAGAAGACTGACCTCATCCAGAAGACTGACCTCATCCAGAAGACTGACCTCACCCAGAACTGACTAACCTCACCCAGAAGACTGACTGACCTCATCCAGAAGACTGACCTCACCCAGAACTGACTGACCTCACCCAGAAGACTGACCTCACCCAGAAGACTGACTGACCTCGCCCAGAAGACTGACAGACCTCACTCAGAAGACTGACTGACCTCACCCAGAAGACTGACTGACCTCACCCAGAAGACTGACCTCACCCAGAAGACTGACTGACCTCACCCAGAAGACTGACTGACCTCACCCAGAAGACTGACCTCACCCAGAAGACAGACCTCACCCAGAAGACTGACTGACCTCACCCAGAAGACTGACTGACCTCACCCAGAAGACTGACTGACCTCACGCAGAAGACTGACCTCACCCAGAAGACTGACCTCACCCAGAAGACTGACCTCACCCAGAAGACTGACCTCACCCAGAAGACTGACTGACCTCACCCAGAAGACTGACTGACCTCACCCAGAAGACTGACCTCACCCAGAAGACTGACCTCACCCAGAAGACTGACCTCGCCCAGAAGACTGACTGACCTCACCCAGAAGACTGACCTCACCCAGAAGACTGACTGACCTCACCCAGAAGACTGACCTCACCCAGAAGACTGACCTCACCCAGAAGACTGACCTCGCCCAGAAGACTTGATCTTTGGGTCGTAGATGATGAAATCTGGCCGGAGTTTGCTGGCCCTCTTGCCCTTGAGCAGCGGCACTAGACCACCCAGATACTCCAGGTAGAGGGTGTAGTGGCCGCCTGATGTCTCCTCTCCGTGACGGATCATGGTACAAAACAGACGCTCACCCCCCGGGGGTGGGGAGCAGACAAACTCTCTCAATCGCAGTGGGTCAGGGATGTAGCTCTGGAACAAACAAAGTAATAATTCTTACCCTGATTGTGGGAGAGAAAAATTCTTACCTTGATTGTGGGAGAGAAAAATTCTTACCCTGATTGTGGGAGAGAAAAATTCTTACCTTGATTGTGGGAGAGAAAAATTCTTACCTTGATTGTGGGAGAGAACAATTCTTACCTTGATTGTGGGAGAGAAAAATTCTTACCTTGATCGTTGGAGAGAAAAATTCTTACCTTGATTGTGGGAGAGAAAAATTCTTACCTTGATTGTGGGAGAGAAAAATTCTTACCTTGATCGTAGGAGAGAAAAATTCTTACCTTGATTGTGGGAGAGAACAATTCTTACCTTGATTGTGGGAGAGAATAATTCTTACCTTGATTGTGGGAGAGAAAAATTCTTACCTTGATTGTGGGAGAGAAAAATTCTTACCTTGATTGTGGGAGAGAAAAATTCTTACCTTGATTGTGGGAGAAAAAATTCTCACCTTGATTGTGGGAGAGAACAATTCTTACCTTGATTGTGGGAGAGAAAAATTCTTACCTTGATTGTGGGAGAGAAAAATTCTTACCTTGATTGTGGGAGAGAAAAATTCTTACCTTGATCGTTGGAGAGAAAAATTCTTACCTTGATTGTGGGAGAGAAAAATTCTTACCTTGATTGTGGGAGAGAAAAATTCTTACCTTGATCGTAGGAGAGAAAAATTCTTACCTTGATCGTAGGAGAGAACAATTCTTACCTTGATTGTGGGAGAGAACAATTCTTACCTTGATTGTGGGAGAGAACAATTCTTACCTTGATTGTGGGAGAGAAAAATTCTTACCTTGATTGTGGGAGAGAAAAATTCTTACCTTGATTGTGGGAGAAAAAATTCTCACCTTGATTGTGGGAGAGAACAATTCTTACCTTGATTGTGGGAGAGAAAAATTCTTACCTTGATTGTGGGAGAGAAAAATTCTTACCTTGATTGTGGGAGAGAAAAATTCTTACCTTGATCGTTGGAGAGAAAAATTCTTACCTTGATTGTGGGAGAGAAAAATTCTTACCTTGATTGTGGGAGAGAAAAATTCTTACCTTGATTGTGGGAGAGAAAAATTCTTACCTTGATTGTGGGAGAGAAAAATTCTTACCTTGATTGTGGGAGAGAAAAATTCTTACCTTGATCGTTGGAGAGAAAAATTCTTACCTTGATTGTGGGAGAGAAAAATTCTTACCTTGATTGTGGGAGAGAAAAATTCTTACCTTGATCGTAGGAGAGAAAAATTCTTACCTTGATTGTGGGATAGAAAAATTCTTACCTTGATTGTGGGAGAGAAAAATTCTTACCTTGATTGTGGGAGAGAAAAATTCTTACCTTGATTGTGGGAGAGAAAAATTCTTACCTTGATTGTGGGAGAGAAAAATTCTTACCTTGATTGTGGGAGAGAAAAATTCTTACCTTGATTGTGGGAGAGAAAAATTCTTACCTTGATCGTAGGAGAGAAAAATTCTTACCTTGATTGTGGGAGAGAAAAATTCTTACCTTGATTGTGGGAGAGAAAAATTCTTACCTTGATTGTGGGAGAGAAAAATTCTTACCTTGATTGTGGGAGAGAAAAATTCTTACCTTGATTGTGGGAGAGAAAAAATTCTTACCTTGATTGTGGGAGAGAAAAAATCTTACCTTGATTGTGGGAGAGAAAAGTGCCTTGACCCCACACCGGAGCCTCTGGGGCAGGGGCAGCTTCTCCACGGCTCTCTCTGCCCGGACAACCTGATGGACAACCCTCTGGCACAAGAACTGGAGCGGTGCAACCTGTTTGCTGACCCAGGCCACGTACATGTGGCAGCCTGCAGCCAGGAACAGGCGCTTGTCATTGTGACCCCACGTCATGGCAGTCAGTGGCTTGCCCTGCACAAGAGGAGAGTCAGACAACATGGCGTCAGTGGATTGCCATGGACAACAAGAGGAGAGTCATACAACAATGCATGAAACATGTTTGTATGACCCATTTACCCAATTACCTGAACCCCTTTACCAAGATGCCTGACCCAGAACCCCCCAGACCCAAACACCTATGGTACCCAGAACCCCAGCCCAAAATTCCTATGGTACCCAGAACCCCAGACACCCTGGCCCAAACACCTGTGGTACCCAGAACCCCAGACACCCTGGCCCAAATACCTGTGGTACCCAGAACCCCAGACACCCTGGCCCAAATACCTGTGGTACCCACAACCCCCTGCCCAAAATACCTGTGGTACCCACAACCCCCTGCCCAAATACCTGTGGTACCCAGAACCCCAGACACCCTGGCCCAAATACCTGTGGTACCCAGAACCCCAGACCCAAAATACCTGTGGTACCCACAACCCCCCTGCCCAAATACCTGTGGTACCCAGAACCCCAGACACCCTGGCCCAAATACCTGTGGTACCCACAACCCCCTGGCCCAAATACCTGTGGTACCCAGAACCCCAGACACCCTGGCCCAAATACCTGTGGTACCCACAACCCCCTGGCCCAAATACCTGTGGTACCCAGAACCCCAGACACCCTGGCCCAAATACCTGTGGTACCCACAACCCCCTGGCCCAAATACCTGTGGTACCCAGAACCCCAGACACCCTGGCCCAAATACCTGTGGTACCCACAACCCCCTGGCCCAAATACCTGTGGTACCCACAACCCCCTGGCCCAAATACCTGTGGTACCCAGAACCCCAGACACCCTGGCCCAAATACCTGTGGTACCCACAACCCCCTGGCCCAAATACCTGTGGTACCCAGAACCCCAGACACCCTGGCCCAAATACCTGTGGTACCCACAACCCCCTGCCCAAAATACCTGTGGTACCCACAACCCCCTGCCCAAATACCTGTGGTACCCACAACCCCCTGCCCAAATACCTGTGAGGGGATGGTGACCCAGTGGATGAGGCTGCCGTCCTTAGAATAGAAATGGACTTGGTTGCGGCACTGCAGGTTGGGCAGACGCACGAATCCTCCAACAGCCAGGTAGTCCCCGCAGTTGGACCAGTCCATCTTGACACCTGCACAAGTAGGTCAAACCTGGGAGCAAACTGTTTCAATCCACCAAACTATCCGTGCATCTAGTCATCCATCCATCCATTAAATAGCCCATCCTTCTATCCAATCAACTATCTACCAACTGTCCATCCAACTGACCGCTCAACTATCTAAGCTTCATTGAATGTGTGGTGGTTGTGTGGAACTTGTGTAGAGGTTGTGTAACCCACATACCCATGAGTGACCTGCTGGTGACCAACCATGAGTGACCTGTTGGTGACCTACCTACCCATGAGTGACCTGTTGGTGACCCACCTACCCATGAGTGACCTGTTGGTGACCCACCTACCCATGAGTGACCCGTTGGTGACCCACCTACCCATGAGTGACCTGTTGGTGACCCACCTACCCATCAGTTACCTGTTACCTGTTGGTGACCTACCTACCCATGAGTGACCCATTGGTGACCCACCTACACATGAGTGACCTGTTGGTGACCCACAATGAGGGACCTGTTGGTGACCTACCTACCCATGAATGACCTGTTGGTGACCAACCTACCCATGAGTGACCTGTTGGTGACCTACCTACCCATGAGTGACCTGTTGGTGACCAACCATGAGTGACCTGTTGGTGACCAACCATGAGTGACCTGTTGGTGACCCACCTACCCATGAGTTACCTGTTGGTGACCTACCTACCCATGAGTGACCCGTTGGTGACCCACCTACCCATGAGTGACCTGTTGGTGACCCACCTACCCATCAGTTACCTGTTACCTGTTGGTGACCCACCTACCCATGAGTGACCTGTTGGTGCCTACCTACCCATGAGTGACCTGTTGGTGACCCACCTACCCATGAGTTACCTGTTGGTGACCTACCTACCCATGAGTGACCCGTTGGTGACCCACCTACCCATGAGTGACCTGTTGGTGACCCACCTACCCATCAGTTACCTGTTACCTGTTGGTGACCCATCTACCCATGAGTGACCTGTTGGTGACCCACCTACCCATGAGTGACCTGTTGGTGACCTACCTACCCATGAGTGACCTGTTGGTGACCCACCTACCCATGAGTGACCTGTTACCTGTTGGTGACCCACCTACCCATGAGTGACCTGTTGGTGACCCACTGAGTGACTTGTTGGTGACCCACCTACCCATGAGAGACCTGTTGGTGACCTACCTACTCATGAGTGACCTGTTACCTGTTGATGACCCACCTACCCATGAGTTACCTGTTGGTGACCCACTTACCCATGAGTGACCTGTCTGTGACCCACCTACCCATAAGTGACCTGTTGGTGACCCATCTACCCATGAGTGACCTGTTGGTGACCCACTATGAGTGACCTGTTAGTGATCCACCATGAGAGACCTGTTGGTGACCCACCTACCCATGAGTGACCTGTTGGTGACCCACCTACCCATGAGAGACCTGTTGGTGACCCACCTACCCATGAGTTACCTGTTGGTGACCCACTTACCCATGAGTGACCTGTTGGTGACCCACCTACCCATGAGTGACCTGTTGGTGACCAACCTACCCATGAGTGACCTGTTGGTGACCCATGAGTGACCTGTTGGTGACCCACTATGAGTGACCTGTTGGTGACCTACCTTCCCATGAGTGACCTGTTGGTGACCCACCTACCCATGATTGACCTGTCGGTGACCCTCTATGAGTGACCCGTTGGTGACCTATCTACCCATGAGTGACATGTTGGTGACCCACCTACCCATGAGTGACCTGTTGGTGACCCACCTACACATGAGTGACCTGTTGGTGACCCACCTACCCATGAGTGACCTGTTGGTGACCCACCTACCCATGAGTGACCTGTTGGTGACCCACTGAGTGACTTGGTGGTGACCCACCTACCCATGAGAGACCTGTTGGTGACCTACCTACTCATGAGTGACCTGTTACCTGTTGATGACCCACCTACCCATGAGTTACCTGTTGGTGACCCACTTACCCATGAGTGACCTGTTTGTGACCCACCTACCCATAAGTGACCTGTTGGTGACCCATCTACCCATGAGTGACCTGTTGGTGACCCACTATGAGTGACCTGTTAGTGATCCACCATGAGAGACCTGTTGGTGACCCACCTACCCATGAGTGACCTGTTGGTGACCCACCTACCCATGAGAGACCTGTTGGTGACCCACCTACCCATGAGTGACCTGTTTGTGACCCACCTACCCATGAGTGACCTGTTGGTGACCCACCTACACATGAGTGACCTGTTACCTGTTGGTGACCCACCTACCCATGAGTGACCTGTTGGTGACCTACCTACCCATGATTGACCCGTTGGTGACCTACCTACCCATGAGAGACCTGTTGGTGACCCACCTACCCATGAGTGACCTGTTGGTGACCTACCTACCCATGAGTGACCTGTTTGTGACCCACCTACCCATGAGTGACCTGTTGGTGACCCACCTACCCATGAGTTACCTGTTGGTGACCCACTTACCCATGAGTGACCTGTTGGTGACCCACCTACCCATGAGTGACCTGTTGGTGACCAACCTACCCATGAGTGACCTGTTGGTGACCCATGAGTGACCTGTTGGTGACCCACTATGAGTGACCTGTTGGTGACCTACCTACCCATGAGTGACCTGTTGGTGACCCACCTACCCATGAGTGACCTGTTGGTGACCCACCTACACATGAGTGACCTGTTACCTGTTGGTGACCCACCTACCCATGAGTGACCTGTTGGTGACCCACTGAGTGACTTGTTGGTGACCCACCTACCCATGAGAGACCTGTTGGTGACCTACCTACTCATGAGTGACCTGTTACCTGTTGATGACCCACCTACCCATGAGTTACCTGTTGGTGACCCACTTACCCATGAGTGACCTGTTTGTGACCCACCTACCCATAAGTGACCTGTTGGTGACCCATCTACCCATGAGTGACCTGTTGGTGACCCACTATGAGTGACCTGTTGGTGACCTACCTTCCCATGAGTGACCTGTTGGTGACCCACCTACCCATGAGTGACCTGTCGGTGACCCACTATGAGTGACCCGTTGGTGACCTACCTACCCATGAGTGACCTGTTGGTGACCCACTGAGTGACTTGGTGGTGACCCACCTACCCATGAGAGACCTGTTGGTGACCCACTATGAGTGACCTGTTAGTGATCCACCATGAGAGACCTGTTGGTGACCCACCTACCCATGAGTGACCTGTTGGTGACCTACCTACCCATGAGTGACCTGTTTGTGACCCACCTACCCATGAGTGACCTGTTGGTGACCCACCTACCCATGAGTTACCTGTTGGTGACCCACTTACCCATGAGTGACCTGTTGGTGACCCACCTACCCATGAGTGACCTGTTGGTGACCAACCTACCCATGAGTGACCTGTTGGTGACCCATGAGTGACCTGTTGGTGACCCACTATGAGTGACCTGTTGGTGACCTACCTACCCATGAGTGACCTGTTTGTGACCTACCTACCCATGAGTGACCTGTTGGTGATCCACCTACCCATGAGAGACCTGTTGGTGACCTACCTACACATGAGTGACCTGTTGGTGACCCACTATGAGTGACCTGTTGGTGACCTACCTTCCCATGAGTGACCTGTTGGTGACCCACCTACCCATGAGTGACCTGTCGGTGACCCACTATGAGTGACCTGTTGGTGACCTACCTACCCATGAGTGACCTGTTGGTGACCCACCTACCCATGAGTGACCTGTTGGTGACCCACTATGAGTGACCTGTTGGTGACCTACCTACCCATGAGTGACCTGTTGGTGACCTACCTACCCATGAGTGACCTGTTGGTGACCTACCTACCCATGAGTGACCTGTTGGTGACCTACCTACCCATGAGTGACCTGTTGGTGACCCACCTACCCATGAGAGACCTGTTGGTGACCTACCTGTTAATGTTGTGTAGACCATAATTGGGCACACGTCATCATAGTTGGACATGAGAAAAATATCTCCATACTTGAAGCAGACAGCCAGTACATGACACTTGGGACTGACATCAGACACTGAAGTATTAAATATTAGTCACAATATTGTCAGCATGTGCTAACATGTCAGCTGACATTAGCTGCTCACACCTTCACATGTGGTCAGATGTGGCAAAACAGAAGTGGACAAAATAGTGTTAAATTTGTAGATGCTCCACTTTCTACCACTCTCACCTTTCTCTGGTCCCTCCCAGTCTCACCTTTCTCTGGCCCCTCCCCCCTCCAGTCTCAACTTTCTCTGGTCCCTCCCAGTCTCACCTTTCTCTGGTTCCTCCCTCCCAGTCTCACCTTTCTCTGGTCCCTCCTCCCTCCCAGTCTCACCTTTCTCTGGTCCCTACTCCCTCCCAGTCTCACCTTTCTCTGGCCCCACCCAGTCTCACCTTTCTCTGGCCCCTCCCCCCTCCCAGTCTCACCTTTCTCTGGTCCCTCCCTCCCAGTCTCACCTTTTCCTGGTCCCTCCCTCCCAGTCTCACCTTTCTCTGGCCCCTCCCCCTCCCAGTCTCACCTTTCTCTGGCCCCTCCCCCCTCCCAGTCTCACCTTTCTCTGGCCCCTCCCCCCTCCCAGTCTCACCTTTCTCTGGACCCTCCCCCCTCCCAGTCTCACCTTTCTCTGGCCCCTCCCCCCTCCCAGTCTCACCTTTCTCTGGCCCCTCCCCCCTCCCAGTCTCACCTTTCTCTGGCCCCTCCCCCTCCCAGTCTCACCTTTCTCTGGCCCCTCCCCCCTCCCAGTCTCACCTTTCTCTGGCCCCTCCCCCTCCCAGTCTCACCTTTCTCTGGCCCCTCCCCCCTCCCAGTCTCACCTTTCTCTGGCCCCTCCCCCTCCCAGTCTCACCTTTCTCTGGCCCCTCCCCCCTCCCAGTCTCACCTTTCTCTGGCCCCTCCCCCCTCCCAGTCTCACCTTTCTCTGGCCCCTCCCCCTCCCAGTCTCACCTTTCTCTGGCCCCTCCCCCCTCCCAGTCTCACCTTTCTCTGGCCCCTCCCTCCCAGTCTCAGCCTCCTCCATGTTGAAGCGCTCACAGCTCCAGGCCATGCTGGTGATCTCAAAGCCCTCGTGGACACTGACCTGGGTGACCAGGGTTCCAGTCGAGCTCATGACGATAATCTGACCGTCCAACGTCCCAAACATCACCTGCAAGTACAGCAGCCATGGGTGGAAGTGACAGAGTGGAGGATGGCAGTGACAGAGTGGATGATGGCAGTGACAGTGGAGGATGGCAGTGACAGAGTGGATGATGGCACTGACAGTGGAGGATGGCAGTGACAGAGTGGATGATGGCACTGACAGTGGAGGATGGCAGTGACAGAGTGGATGATGGCACTGACAGAGTGGATGATGGCAGTGACAGAGTGGATGATGGCACTGACAGTGGAGGATGGCAGTGACAGAGTGGATGATGGCAGTGACAGAGTGGATGATGGCAGTGACAGAGTGGATGATGGCAGTGACAGAGTGGATGATGGCACTGACAGTGGAGGATGGCAGTGACAGAGTGGATGATGGCAGTGACAGAGTGGATGATGGCAGTGACAGAGTGGATGATGGCACTGACAGAGTGGATGATGGCAGTGACAGAGTGGATGATGGCACTGACAGAGTGGATGATGGCAGTGACAGAGTGGATGATGGCAGTGACAGAGTGGATGATGGCAGTGACAGAGTGGATGATGGCACTGACAGAGTGGATGATGGCAGTGACAGAATGGATCAGATGGACCTACCTGCTGGTCGTCAGGTGACCAGACGGCACATGTAATGCTCGTGTTGTCCAGATTGAGCATCGATGACCAGTAGCGCTGGCCAGCCACACTGCCCACCAAGATGAAGCCATCTCTGTAGCAGATCAGCGCCATACGGCCGTCATGTGACCAGGCGAAGTCCGTCACCTGGGCAGTGGGGTAAGAGTTAGTCTCTAAGGGCAGTAAATCGGTGTAAGAGTTAGTCTCTAAGGGCAGTAAATCGGTGTAAGAGTTAGTCTCTAAGGGCAGTAAACTGGGGCAAGTCGTTTTAGAGGGGAGGTTTAGATAAGGCCGTTTTTTTTGGGGGGGGGAGGTTGGCGGGGGAGGTTTGGATAAGGCCGTTTGGGGGGGGGGGGGGTAGGTTTGGTGGATAAGGCCGTTTGGGGGGGGGTGGATAAGGCCGTTTGGGGGGGGGGAGGTTTGGATAAGGCCGTTTGGGGGGGGGGGAGGTTTGGATAAGGCCGTTTGGGGGGGGGGGGAGGTTTGGATAAGGCCGTTTGGGGGGGGGGAGGTTTGGATAAGGCCGTTTAGGGGTGGGGTTGGATAAGGCCGTTTGGGGGGGGGGAGGTTTGGATAAGGCCGTTTGGGGGGGGGGAGGTTTGGATAAGGCCGTTGGGGGGGGGGGAGGTTGGCGGGGGGAGGTTGGCGGGGGGGGGGGGGTTTGGATAAGGCCATTTGGGGGGGGGGAGGTTTGAATAAGGCCGTTTGAGGGGGGGGGAGGTTGGCGGGGAAGGTTTGGATAAGGCCGTTTGAGGGAGGGGGAGGTTTGGATAAGGCCGTTTGGGGGAGGGGGAGGTTTGGATAAGGCCGTTTGGGGGGGGGGGGGTTGGATAAGGCCGTTTGGGGGGGGGGTTGGATAAGGCCGTTTGGGGGGGGGGGGGTTGGATAAGGCCGTTTGGGGGGGGGGGGTTGTATAAGGCCGTTTGGGGGGGGGGAGGGTTGTATAAGGCCGTTTGGGGGGGGGTTGTATAAGGCCGTTTGGGGGGGGGTTGTATAAGGCCGTTTGGGGGGGGGGGGGTTGTATAAGGCCGTTTGGGGGGGGGGGTTGTATAAGGCCGTTTGGGGGGGGGGGGGTTAGATAAGGCCGTTGGGGTGGGGGTTGGATAAGGCCGTTTGGGGGGGGGGGGGTTGGATAAGGCCGTTTGGGGGGAGGGGTTTGGATAAGGCCGTTTGGGGGGGGGGGGGGTTGGATAAGGCCGTTGGGGTGGGGGTTGGATAAGGCCTTTTAGACTATAACCCTATGCTCCAGCCACTGTAACGGGGCACATCGCACCCCGCCCCGCCACCCCCACCCTCCATCCTCTAATCACCAATTGCCTTTATCGATCTAAGTTGCCCAATAGAGATTAGGTGAAGACATGACGCTTGGAGATCTGACAAGTAATGGGATTCGTTTCTGCATCGAGTCAAAGCTACAATGTAAGTTAGACAACAGGCCCAGCTATGGCGACCGCTAGACGGGGCAGCTAGACAGGACAGCTATGGTGACACAGATAGACAGGGCAGCTAGACAGGACAGCTATGGTGACACAGATAGACAGGGCAGCTAGACAGGACAGCTATGGTGACACAGATAGACAGGGCAGCTAGACAGGACAGCTATGGTGACACAGATAGACAGGGCAGCTAGACAGGACAGCTATGGTGACACAGATAGACAGGGCAGCTAGACAGGACAGCTATGGTGACACAGATAGACAGGGCAGCTAGACAGGACAGACTACAGATTTACGAGCAGACCGGGTGAGCCCAAAGTGCAGCAAGCAATGACAGAAACAACGCTTTAATTGTGGCATTAATCACGGCGGCTGGAGCCAACATGGCGGCATTGTAGGGTTAGGGGAGTCAAACATGGCGGCATTGTAGGGTTAGGGGAGTCAAATGTATCAAGTCGTTAGCTAAGTATCAACATCTCATGGCAAAGTATCAACATCTCATGGCAAAGTATCAACATCTCATGGCAAAGTATCAACATCTCATGGCAAAGTATCAACATCTCATGGCAAAGTATCAACATCTCATGGCAAAGTATCAACATCTCATGGCAAAGTATCAACATCTCATGGCAAAGTATCAACATCTCATGGCAAAGTATCAAAATCTCATGGCAAAGTATCAACATCTCATGGCAAAGTATCAACATCTCATGGCAAAGTATCAACATCTTATGGCAAAGTATCAACATCTCATGGCAAAGTATCAACATCTCATGGCAAAGGTTCAACCTATCAACATTTGATGTCACGTGATCAGTATTTTGTCGACGGATCAAACATTTCATTTACCGAGCGTGGGTTGGGCTAGAGAGCTTTAACCCCATCATCAGCGTGAAGTAAAGAAGGGCTGGGAAAGAACAATGTAATGCAAGCGATTTAAGAGACAAGCTTGATGTAATGAAACATCGCCATTCTCTCGGCTTGACGGTAGTGTAGACATAAATGTATGTGTATGTATATATATATATATATATATATATATATATATATATATATATATATATATATATATATATATATATATATATATATTAATATATATATATATATATATCGAGAGAGAGAGAGAGAGAGAGAGAGAGAGAGAGAGATGGATGTGATGTATGACAGTGACTATGTGATCCTGTCACCACGTGGTCCTGTCAAGGGGCAGGAAAATAAAACACGGGGCGGGGTGTATACTTCAAGGGGCGGGGTGTATACTTCAAGGGGCGGGGTGTATAACTAAGGGGCGGGGTGTATAACTAAGGAGGGGTGTATAACTAAGAGGCGGGGTGTATAACTAAGGGGCGGGGTGTGTAACTAAGGGCGGGGTGTATAACTAAGAGGCGGGGTGTATAACTTAGGGGCGGGGTGTATAACTAAGGGGCGGGGTGTATAACTAAGGGGCGGGGTGTATAACTAAGGGGCGGGGTGTATAACTAAGGGGCGGGGTGTATAACTAAGGGCGGGGTGAATAACTAAGGGGCGGGGTGTATAACTAAGGGGCGGGGTGTATAACTAAGGGCGGGGTGTATAACTAAGGGGCGGGGTGTATAACTTAGGGGCGGGGTGTATAACTAAGGGGCTGGGTGTATAACTTAGGGGCGGGGTGTATAACTAAGGGGCGGGGTGTATAACTAAGGGGCTGGGTGTATAACTTAGGGGCGGGGTGTTTAACTTAGGGGCGGGGTGTATAACTTAGGGGCGGGTAGTATAACTAAGGGGCGGGGTGTATAACTAAGGGGCGGGGTGTATAACTAAGGGGCGGGGTGTATAAATTAGGGGCGGGGTGTATAACTTAGGGGCGGGGTGTATAACTAAGGGGCTGGGTGTATACTTCAAGGTGTGGGGTGTATAACTAAGGGGCGGGGTGTATAACTAAGGGGCTGGGTGTATAACTTAGGGGCGGGGTGTTTAACTTAGGGGCGGGGTGTATAACTTAGGGGCGGGTAGTATAACTAAGGGGCGGGGTGCTTAACTTAGGGGCGGGGTGTATAACTTAGGGGCGGGGTGTATAACTAAGGGGCGGGGTGTATAACTAAGGGGCGGGGTTGTAAAACTTAGGGGCGGGTAGTATAACTAAGGGGCGGGGTGTATAACTAAGGGGCGGGGTGTATAACTAACGGGCGGGGTGTATAACTAAGGGGCGGGGTGTATAACTAAGGGGCAGGGTGTATAAATAAGGGGTGGGGTGTATAACTTAGGGGCGGGAGGTATAAACTAAAGTGGCTGTACCTGTCTGCACTCACCTGACTATACCTGTCTACACTCACCTGACTGTTCCTATCATTGATGAGCTCTATGGACCAGCGTCCCTCGTGTTTGATCCAGACAAAGATGACGCCACGGCTGTCGCAGGTGGCCAGTTTTTGGTACGGTTCGTTCCACCGGACCAGGATCACCTGGAGTGGCACAACATTCACATCATTAAAGATCCACAGCATTAAAGATCCACACATTAAAGATCCACACATTAAAGATCCACACATTAAAGATCCACACATTAAAGATCCACACATTAAAGATCCACACATTAAAGATCCACAGCATTAAAGATCCACAGCATTAAAGATCCACACAGTAAAGATCCACAGCATTAAAGATCCACAGCATTAAAGATCCACACAGTAAAGATCCACAGCATTAAAGATCCACAGCATTAAAGATCCACACAGTAAAGATCCACATAGTAAAGATCCACAGCATTAAAGATCCACACAGTAAAGATCCACATAGTAAAGATCCACACAGTAAAGATCCACAGCATTAAAGATCCACAGCATTAAAGATCCACAGCATTAAAGATCCACACAGTAAAGATCCACACAGTAAAGATCCACACAGTAAAGATCCACACATTAAAGATCCACACATTAAAGATCCACACATTAAAGATCCACACAGTAAAGATCCACACAGTAAAGATCCACATAATAAAGATCCACACATTAAAGATCCACACAGTAAAGATCCACATAATAAAGATCCAAACATTAAAGATCCACACATTAAAGATCCACATAGTAAAGATCCACATAGTAAAGATCCACATCATTAAAGATCCAAACATTAAAGATCCACACATTAAAGATCCACACAGTAAAGATCCACACAGTAAAGATCCAAATAGTAAAGATCCACAGCATTAAAGATCCAAACATTAAAGATCCACACATTAAAGATCCACACAGTAAAGATCCACATAGTAAAGATCCACACAGTAAAGATCCAGACAGTAAAGATCCACATAGTAAAGATCCACACAGTAAAGATCCACAGCATTAAAGATCCAAACATTTAAGATCCACACATTAAAGATCCACACAGTAAAGATCCACACAGTAAAGATCCACATAGTAAAGATCCACAGCATTAAAGATCCAAATATTAAAGATCCACACATTAAAGATCCACACAGTAAAGATCCACATAGTAAAGATCCACACAGTAAAGATCCAGACAGTAAAGATCCACACAGTAAAGATCCACACAGTAAAGATCCACACATTGAAGATAAAAGATCCACACAGTAAAGATCCAAAAGATAAAATATCTACATGTTAAAGATCTAGACATACCCAAATATGAAGCAAATCATTCAAATTTTAGAAACCAGAAATAGAGGAAAGTACCACTTGCGGGTATCAAAAGTGATCTAAGTATAGGAGCGTCAACTCACATATAAAACTTCGTTTACCTAAAGGAGACAGTACTCAAGTTATCGTGTTACCATTGACATAAATACCACTTTCGGTTACCGGAAATCGTTCAAAATTTCACAGAAACCTGCGTATACAATACAAAGATTTTATATGAAATTTCGTCCACATAGATTAAACGCTACTTAAGTTATGGGCTTTAGAAAAACCAGAAGTAGAGTAGCTATCACTTCTGGTTACCGAAAAAAGTAAAAGTTGCAAGAGAAGTACAAATTTTAAAAAAATACATTTTAAAAAAAATGTCTTTAACATGTCAGAAACGGTATTTAATTATTCTGTTAACAGAGAGACAAACTGGCGAAACTAAGGTTTTCCAAGTCAGGGATGTTTTGCACGTCTTCAATACCTCGAACACGAGAAAGTTAAAATAATAATCATTAAAAAAGTTTTAAAAAAAACCACGTTTTCTGATTGAACTAAAAAGTAGAAAATAAATGCTATACATCACAATAATGCAAGCGATCACTCTACTATAAGCGATCAAAAACGTGGGGCGCCGAAGTAAAAGTTATATTACTATTGATTAGATAATACTATTGACTTTTATTAGGGAGCTTGTAGAGAGTCAACAGTATTAGAAACTGTAAGAAAATCACGGCGCCCCACGTTTTTGATCGTTTGTGATGTATAGCATTTATTTTCTACTTTTTAGTTCAATCAGAAAACGTGGGTTTTTTAAAACTTTTTTAATGATTATTATTTTCTACTTTTTAGTCTTTGTGTCTGTTTGCATTAAAATCTTGCTATCGATTTTATCTTTTCACTTTTTTTTGGGTAAACGAAGACAACTCGTAAAAAGACAGAAGACAACTCGTAAAAAGACAACTCGTAAAAAACACGTTGTGTGAATACGTTACTGACTAGAATACATAGATTTGAAACCGTGTCGAGTGGGATAGCAATCGTGTGCCCAACCACTCGACCATATCGTCTCCCCCATACTGGCCACCAGTTGTTACGGTTGTTTGTACACAAATTAGTTCCTGGGTTATGTCCCTTTTTCCCCACGTTTTTACTACAACGAGCCGACCCGCGGCGTATAATACGCCGCTATTTAGTTGATTTATTTTCTACTTTCAGTAATTCATAATTTGTGAATTCGACAGTACCAATGCTGCCACTGAAAATATTTGCTTTAAAACACTAACCCCCCTCCTTTCCCCTAACCCCGACCCTACACCTCAAATTTTTAAAGCCAGATACACCTCAAATTTTTAAAGCCAGATACACGGATCTCAAATTTTTAAAACCAGATAGACGGAACTCAAATTTTTAAAGCCAGATAGACGGATCTCAAATTTTTTAAGCTAGATAGACGGATCTCAAATTTTTAAAACCAGATAGACGGATCTCAAATTTTTAAAACCAGATAGACGGATCTCAAAATTTTAAAACCAGATAGACGGATCTCAAATTTTTAAAGCCAGATAGACGGATCTCAAATTTTTAAAACCAGATAGACGGATCTCAAATTTTTAAAGCCAGATAGACGGATCTCAAATTTTTAAAGCCAGCTAGACTGATCTCAAGTTTCAATCATATTTCTCTGGCTTGTATTGCCCGAGACATAGGTTCCTATCGATTTATCACTGGTACACGATGTGGTTGGTGCTCACACGATGTGTGTGTACGCCTGGCACATCATTTGTGTGTGTGTGTGTGGCTGGCACACGATGTGTGTGGCGCTCACACCATGTGTGTGGGGCTTGTGATAGCGGCTCACACACACAAGTAGATAGACGTTTCACTTGCCGCTGACACACACACTCACCCACACACACACTCACCCACACACACTCACCCACACACACACACTCACCCACACACACTCACCCACACACACACTCACCCACATACAATCACCCACACACACATTTTAAGATACCCCTCACAGTCTCTGAAGATTTGTTTATTTCTCTTAAAGATAAAATGATTGAATTTGATGTTCCAACAGCCAGACGTTAAATGATCATTAATTATGCCATCATCTCCGAGACAGCAACAAAGAAAATCTTTGACGTGTGTGGGAAGTGGCGTCTGGGTTAGTGGCGTCTGAGTTAGTGGCGTCTGGGTTAGTGGCGTCTGGGTTAGTGGCGTCTGGGTTAGTGGCGTCTGGGTTAGTGGCGTCTGAGTTAGTGGCGTCTGGGTTAGTGGCGTCTGGGTTAGTGGCGTCTGGGTTAGTGGCGTCTGGGTTAGTGGCGTCTGGGTTAGTGGCGTCTGGGTTAGTGACGTCTGGGTTAGTGACGTCTGGGTTAGTGGCGTCTGGGTTAGTGGCGTCTGGGTTAGTGGCGTCTGGGTTAGTGACGTCTGGGTTAGTGGCGTCTGGGTTAGTGGCGTCTGGGTTAGTGGCGTCTGGGTTAGTGGCGTCTGGGTTAGTGGCGTCTGGGTTAGTGGCGTCAGTGTGAGCAGAAATTAGAGTGAAAAAGTATTCAGCAGACGTAACAACGAATGGTCCAATATATGACGTCATCTTATAGGACAGAGATGACGTCACATATTCCCTCCCTCCCTCTCAAACGTGAGAGGGAGACAAACCTTGGAAAATCGTTAATTTCACATTTTCGGCTTCGTTGCTCACAGCAAAAGTGGGGGAGGGTGGGGAAGGTCAGGTGTAGGAATGTTGACGGCGTGTAGGGACGGTAGGTGTAGGAATGTTGACGTCGTGTAGGGAAGGTATGTGTAGGAATGTTGACGGCGTGTAGGGACGGTAGGTGTAGGAATGTTGACGTCGTGTAGGGAAGGTAGGTGTATAAGTAACAAATGTGACACCACATACAACTGTCACGTGAGACACCAAATACAACTGTCACGTGAGACACCAAATACAAGTGTCACGTGTGATAGCCCCAATAAAACTTCCATCCATCAATGTATCTCTAGCTTAATTAACCGCTCACGTTTTGCCAATTTAAATGGAGACAAAAAAATGGAGCAGAGAGAAATGATGAGTTCAAGCAGACAAAACCAGACATTGAATCAAGGACAAAATCATCGCTCATTTCTCCATTTCTCCTCTTTTACAGGCCATGCACAGACGTTAGGGATTTCTTCCTCTCTCTCTCTCTCTCTCTCTCTCTCTCTCTCGTTTTATATATATACTTGCCATGGATACCCCGTTTCACGTGAATTATACAACTATATACTTTTACTGTTATTTACTAAACGTTGAACGATATTAGTGACAAAACAAAGAAATGACTAAATAGCTAAAAACCCCGACACATTTAAAATAACATTGGCTACTAATACCCATTAGAAAAATTAAAACCAAATTAAATACATTATTGGTCAATACAATACCATATTAAATGCACACACTGATTAAGAGACTTACATGATTCCGTTAAAAACCCGGCTGTTCAATTGTTGTTATGTTGTTTTTTATAGTAATTTGTATTACTTTAGGTCGAGAAAACTGTATACATTTCATAGCGTACTTCTTGATTAGTAAATTAATAGAAACTAGATCTAAATCAAATTTGAATGCAATAGTTCATTTCTTCATATTCTACAACTGGAAGATGACGCTATAGTTGTGTGTTCTTTCCATAGTTTTAACATGTTTAATGCGTTCTTGTCACAACCATAAACACTTTTCCGGTTGCATAATCAATAAACCGGGAGTGATCTCCCCTAAACTTTCTCAATATTCTTAAATGAAAAAATAGGGGATGGCTACTCGGGATATAGACATGATTTTTAATCAATTTACTTAAACTTTTTAAAATAGAATAAAATCTCGTAGGAAAAAGAATTGAACACCAAGTGAACGCCAAATAAAATGTGAATAATAGTGCGGAATATTATTAGTACTCAATAAATTCACATTCGTTTTTTGAGAAATCGGAAACAGCGAAAATTACTACTTCCGGTCAACGGAAATTACTCTAAATTTGATAGAAGGCAGAGAATTAGATATTTTACTTACATTTGTAGTTTCATTTATCTATCTGAAATAGTACTCAAGTTATAGGCTTTTGAAAAATTCAAAGTAGAAAAAGTTACACTTCCGGTTATCAGAAATCGCTCAAAAGTTGATACGGATCTACGATTTTGATAAAATACTTATATATGAAATTTCATCAACCTAGCTGTAACGGTACTCAAGTTATCGTTTTTACACACACACACACAGACACACACACAGACATACGGACAAGATTGCAAAACTATGTTTTTCCGACTCAGGTAGCTGTAAAACGTCGAGATTTGCAAAAATCCCTAACCCTCTGACCGTTACACCTGTACCCTAACCCTTCATTCTTGTTGCTCTAATCACCTGCAAGTAACGATGATCGAACAGCAGAAATCAATAATATAACGATGATCGAACAGCAGAAATCAATAATATAACGATGATCGAACGGCAGAAATCAATCATATAACGATGATCGACAAGCAGAAATCAATAATATAACGATAATCGAACAGCAGAAATCAATCATATAACGATGATCGAACAGCAGAAATCAATCATATAACGATGATCGAACAGCAGAAATCAATCATATAACGATGATCAAAAAGCAGAAATCAATCATATAACGATGATCAAAAAGCAGAAATCAATCATATAACGATGATCGAACAGCAGAAATCAATCATATAACGATGATCGAACAGCAGAAATCAATCATATAGCGATGATCAAAAAGCAGAAATCAATAATATAACGATGATCGAACAGCAGAAATCAATCATATAACGATGATCGACAAGCAGAAATCAATAATATAACGATAATCGAACAGCAGAAATCAATAATATAACGATGATCGAACAGCAGAAATCAATCATATAACGATGATCGAACAGCAGAAATCAATCATATAACGATGATCGAACAGCAGAAATCAATCATATAACGATGATCAAAAAGCAGAAATCAATCATATAACGATGATCGAAAAGCAGAAATCAATCATATAACGATGATCAAAAAGCAGAAATCAATCATATAACGATGATCAAAAAGCAGAAATCAATCATATAACGATGATCAAAAAGCAGAAATCAATCATATAACGATGATCAAAAAGCAGAAATCAACCATATAACGATGATCAAAAAGCAGAAATCAATCATATAACGATGATCGACAAGCAGAAATCAATAATATAACGATAATCGAACAGCAGAAATCAATAATATAACGATGATCGAACAGCAGAAATCAATCATATAACGATGATCGAACAGCAGAAATCAATCATATAACGATGATCGAACAGCAGAAATCAATCATATAACGATGATCAAAAAGCAGAAATCAATCATATAACGATGATCGAAAAGCAGAAATCAATCATATAACGATGATCAAAAAGCAGAAATCAATCATATAACGATGATCAAAAAGCAGAAATCAATCATATAACGATGATCAAAAAGCAGAAATCAATCATATAACGATGATCAAAAAGCAGAAATCAACCATATAACGATGATCAAAAAGCAGAAATCAATCATATAACGATGATCGAACAGCCCTCATGCCCACGTACCAAAACCTTGGTATCGTGCCTGCGGGGCGATGCACTTGATGGATCGATACAGCCCGCTTTAGATAGGATGCCAGAGCTGACCAATCGATTGAAGCGATCAGACACGTGACTCCCGTACTACTCCGTGTTGGCCATCAGATAACATGGCCCGTTTGACGCATGTTGGCCACCAGATTACATGGCCCGTTTGACACATGTTGGCCACCAGATTACATGGCCCGTTTGACACATGCTGGCCACCAGATTACATGGCCCGTTTGACACATGTTGGCCACCAGATTACATGGCCCGCTACAACATATTTACCACAATACAGGTGACAGAGACCATGGTGACCTTTAAGATAGAACCTACCTCACCATGGTGACCTTTAAGATAGAACCTACCTCACCATGGTGACCTTTAAGATAGAACCTACCTCACCATGGTGACCTTTAAGATAGAACCTACCTCACCATGATGACCTTTAAGATAGAACCTACCTCACCATGGTGACCTTTAAGATAGAACCTACCTCACCATGGTGACCCTTAAGATAGAACCTACCTCACCATGGTGACCCTTAAGATAGAACCTACCTCACCATGGTGACCTACAGATAGAACCTACCTCACCATGGTGACCCTTAAGATAGAACCTACCTCACCAAGGTGACCTTTAAGATAGAACCTACCTCACCATGGTGACCCTTAAGATAGAACCTACCTCACCATGGTGACCCTTAAGATAGAACCTACCTCACCATGGTGACCTACAGATAGAACCTACCTCACCATGGTGACCCTTAAGATAGAACCTACCTCACCAAGGTGACCTTTAAGATAGAACCTACCTCACCATGGTGACCTACAGATAGAACCTACCTCACCATGGTGACCTACAGATAGAACCTACCTCACCATGGTGACCTTTAAGATAGAACCTACCTCACCATGGTGACCTTTAAGATAGAACCTACCTCACTGCGGTGCCCTCTGAGGTTGAAGTTTGATCTCGGCGGGGCGTCGTACTTGTGGCAGTGACTGGTGCTGAAGGTCACGCCCACCACCCCGCGGGCGTTGCCACTGGCCAGCCACCCCTCTACGTAGTACTGGGCGCGGTTCAACTTCCAGCCTCCCCCCTCCTCGGGCAGGTCCTCTGGCACCTTGCCCATCCACGAGAGAGAGAGAAAGTTCGAGTCTGTCCGTGTGCACGTGTTCTGCTCAAAGTGGACGTGCATGGTCTCGTTTGGCGGGGAGTCATTGACGCTCAGCCACACAAGTGGACACTGTCAGGTCAAAGGTCAGAACGTTCTGCTGCTGCCACCTACATCTGAATAAGACAACAAGAGGACATTACACGCCCGACCACAACAAGAGGACATAACACACCCGACCACAACAAGAGGACATAACACACCCGACCACAACAAGAGGACATTACACCACAACAAGAGGACATTACACGCCCGACCACAACAAGAGGACATAACACACCCGACCACAACAAGAGGACATAACACACCCGACCACAACAAGAGGACATTACACCACAACAAGAGGACATTACACATCCTACCACAACAAGAGGACATTACACACCCGACCACAACAAGAGGACATTACACCACAACAAGAGGACATTACACATCCTACCACAACAAGAGGACATTACACACCCGACCACAACAAGAGGACATTACACCACAACAAGAGGACATTACACATCCTACCACAACAAGAGGACATTACACACCCGACCACAACAAGAGGACATTACACCACAACAAGAGGACATTACACACCCGACCACAACAAGAGGACATTACACACCCGACCACAACAAGAGGACATTACACCACAACAAGAGGACATTACACATCCTACCACAACAAGAGGACATTACACACCCGACCACAACAAGAGGACATTACACACCCGACCACAACAAGAGGACATTACACACCCGACCACAACAAGAGGACATTACACACCCGACCACAACAAGAGGACATTACACCACAACAAGAGGACATTACACACCCGACCACAACAAGAGGACATTACACACCCGACCACAACAAGAGGACATTACACATCCGACCACAACAAGAGGACATTACACACCCGACCACAACAAGAGGACATTACACCACAACAAGAGGACATTACACCACAACAAGAGGACATTACACACCCGACCAAAACAAGAGGACATTACACACCCGACCACAACAAGAGGACATTACACACCCGACCACAACAAGACGACATTACACACCCGACCACAACAAGAGGACATTACACCACAACAACAGGACATTACACACCCGACCACAACAAGAGGACATAACACACCCGACCACAACAAGAGGACATAACACATCCGACCACAACAAGAGGACATTACACCAAAACAAGAGGACATTACACCACAACAAGAGGACATTACACCACAACAAGAGGACTTTACACACCCGACCACAACAAGAGGACATTACCCACCCGACCACAACAACAGGACATTACACACCCGACCACAACAAGAGGACATTACACACCCGACCACAGCAAGAGGACATTACACACCCGACCACAACAAGAGGACATTAAACATCCGACCACAACAAGAGGACATTACACCAAAACAAGAGGACATTACACCACAACAAGAGGACATTACACCACAACAAGAGGACATTACACATCCGACCACAACAAGAGGACATTACACACCCGACAACAACAAGAGGACATTACACCACAACAAGAGGACATTACACATCCGACCACAACAAGAGGACATTACACACCCGACCACAACAAGAGGACATTACACATCCGACCACAACAAGAGGACATTACACACCCGACAACAACAAGAGGACATTACACACCCGACCACAACAAGAGGACATTACACACCCGACCACAACAAGAGGACATTACACACCCGACAACAACAAGAGGACATTACACCACAACAAGAGGACATTACACATCCGACCACAACAAGAGGACATTACACACCCGACCACAACAAGAGGACATTACACACCCGACCACAACAAGAGGACATTACACACCCGACCACAACAAGAGGACATTACACACCCGACCACAACAAGAGGACATTACACACCCGACCACAACAAGAGGACATTACACCACAACAAGAGGACATTACACCACAACAAGAGGACATTACACCACAACAAGAGGACATTACACATCCGACCACAATAAGAGGACATTACACACCCGACAACAACAAGAGGACATTACACCACAACAAGAGGACATTACACATCCGACCACAACAAGAGGACATTACACACCCGACCACAACAAGAGGACATTACACATCCGACCACAACAAGAGGACATTACACACCCGACAACAACAAGAGGACATTACACACCCGACCACAACAAGAGGACATTACACACCCGACCACAACAAGAGGACATTACACACCCGACAACAACAAGAGGACATTACACATCCGACCACAACAAGAGGACATTACACATCCGACCACAACAAGAGGACATTACACACCCGACCACAACAAGAGGACATTACACACCCGACCACAACAAGAGGACATTACACACCCGACCACAACAAGAGGACATTACACACCCGACCACAACAAGAGGACATTACACCACAACAAGAGGACATTACACCACAACAAGAGGACATTACACACCCGACGACAACAACAAGAGGACATTACACACCCGACGACAACAACAAGAGGACATTACACATCCTACCACGACAAGAGGACATTACACACCCGACCACAACAAGAGGACATTACACCACAACAAGAGGACATTACACCACAACAAGAGGACATTACACGCCCGACCACAACAAGAGGACATTACACACCCGACGACAACAACAAGAGGACATTACACATCCTACCACGACAAGAGGACATTACACATCCTACCACAACTGGAGGATTTTACACAACACCACACACCTTTAGACAAGAAATTGGTCCCGTGAATTGGTCCCAGCCTTGCGATTGGTCTCGTTATTTGGTCCCAGCCTTGAGATTGGTCCCGTTATTTGGTCCCAACCTTGCGATTGGTCAAGTGTATCATGCTAATGAATGATGGCTCTAGTCCGCACTGTGACCATATTCCAGTATTTAGCTCCACCCATTCAGGCGCTTCCTACTGGTGGCATGTTGGCTTGACTGGGCGCCTGACAGAACTACCTATATGACAATAAAATAAAAAATGTTCACAGGCGTTGGAAATGGGAGGATAGAGTGGATGTGATGGATAGCAGTAGCGTAGCGAGGGGGGGGGGGGACATATGTCCCCGGGCGCCGACCTTAGGGGGGGCGCCAAATTGAAAGTTTGAGGGGGGGTGCAAATGAAAAGTTCGAGGGGGGGGTGCAAATGAAAAGTTCGAGGGGGGGGGGTGCAAATCGAAAGTTTGAGGGGGGAGGTGCAAATGAAAAGTTAGAGGGGGGGGGGTGCATATCGAAAATTTGCTCCCAAGGGGGCGCCAAATTGAAAGTATGTCCCCGGGCGCCGGGAAGGGTCGCTACGCCTCTGATGGATAGACTGGATATGATGGATAGACTGGATATGATGGATTGACTGGATAGACTGGATGTGATGGATACACTGGATGTGATGGATAGACTGGATATGATGGATAGAGTGGATGTGATGGATAGACTGGATAGACTGGATATGATGGATAGACTGGATGTGATGGATAGAGTGGATGTGATGGATAGAGTGGATGTGATGGATAGACTGGATGTGATGGATAGACTGGATGTGATGGATAGAGTGGATGTGATGGATAGACTGGATGTGATGGATAGACTGGATGTGATGGATAGAGTGGATATGATGGATAGACTGGATGAGATGGATACACTGGATGTGATGGATAGACTGGATGTGATGAATAAACTGGATGTGATGGATAGAGTGGATGTGATGGATAGACTGGATGTGATGGATAGAGAGGATGTGATGGATAAACTGGATGTGATGGATAGAGTGGATGTGATGGATAAACTGGATGTGATGGATAGAGTGGATGTGATGGATAAACTGGATGTGATGGATAGAGTGGATATGATGGATAGACTGGATGAGATGGATACACTGGATGTGATGGATAGACTGGATGTGATGAATAAACTGGATGTGATGGATAGAGTGGATGTGATGGATAGACTGGATGTGATGGATAGAGTGGATATGATGGATAGACTGGATGTGATGGATAGAGTGGATGTGATGGATAGAGTGGATGTGATGGATAGAGTGGATATGATGGATAGAGTGGATGTGATGGATAGACTGGATGTGATGGATAGACTGGATGTGATGAATAAACTGGATGTGATGGATAGACTGGATGTGATAGTTGGACTGGATGTGATGGATAGACTGGATGTGATGGATAAACTGGATGTGATGGATAGAGTGGATATGATGGATAGACTGGATGAGATGGATACGCTGGATGTGATGGATAGAGTGGATGTGATGGATAGAGTGGATGTGATGGATAGACTGGATGTGATGGATACACTGGATGTGATGGATACACTGGATGTGATGGATAGACTGGATATGATGGATAGAGTGGATGTGATGGATAGACTGGATGTGATGGATAGACTGGATGTGATGGATAGAGTGGATGTGATGGATAGACTGGATGTGATGGATAGACTGGATGTGATAGTTGGACTGGATGTGATGGATAGACTGGATATGATGGATAGAGTGGATGTTATGGATACACTGGATGTGATGGATAGACTGGATGTAATGGATAAACTGGATATGATGGATAGACTGGATATGATGGATAGAGTGGATGTGATGGATAGACTGGATGTGATGGATAAAGTGGATGTGATGGATAGACTGGATATGATGGATAGACTGGATGAGATGGATAGACTGGATATGATGGATACACTGGATCTGATGGATAGAGTGGATCTGATGGATAGAGTGGATCTGATGGATAGAGTGGACCTGATAGATAAACTGGATGTGATGGATACACTGGATGTGATGGATAAACTGGATGTGATGGATAGACTGGATGTGATGGATAGACTGGATATAATGGATAGACTGGATATGATGGATAGACTGGATGTGATGGATAGACTGGATGTGATGGATAGACTGGATATGATGGATAGAGTGGATATGATGGATAGACTGGATGAGATGGATAGACTGGATGTGATGGATAGACTGGATATGATGGATAGAGTGGATATGATGGATAGACTGGATGAGATGGATAAACTGGATGTGATGGATAGACTGGATATGATGGATAGAGTGGATATGATGGATAGACTGGATGAGATGGATACACTGGATGTGATGGATAGACTGGATGTGATGGATAGACTGGATGTGATGGATACACTGGATATGATGGATAGAGTGGATGTGATGGATAGACTGGATGTGATGAATAAACTGGATGTGATGGATACACTGGATGTGATGGATAGAGTGGATATGATGGATAGAGTGGATGTGATGGATAGACTGGATGTGATAGTTGGACTGGATGTGATGGATAGACTGGATGTGATGGATAGACTGGATGTGATGGATAGAGTGGATATGATGGATAGACTGGATGTGATGGATAGAGTGGATCTGATGGATACACTGGATGTGATGGATAGACTGGATGAGATGGATACACTGGATATGATGGATAGAGTGGATCTGATGGATAGACTGGATGAGATGGATAGACTGGATATGATGGATACACTGGATGTGATGGATAGACTGGATGAGATGGATACACTGGATGTGATGGATAGACTGGATGTGATGAATAAACTGGATGTGATGGATAGAGTGGATATGATGGATAGACTGGATGTGATGGATAGACTGGATGTGATGGATAGAGTGGATATGATGGATAGACTGGATGTGATGGATGGAGTGGATCTGATGAATAGAGTGGATCTGATGAATAAACTGGATGTGATGGATAAACTGGATGGAGTGGATGTGATGGATGGACTGGATGTAATGGATAAACTGGATGTAATGGATAAACTGGATGTAATCGATAGACTGGATGTAATGGATAAACTGGATGTAATGGATAAACTGGATGTGATGGTTGGACTGGATCTGATGGATAGAGTGGATGTGATGGATAGACTGGATCTGATGGATAGACTGGATGTGATGGATAGACTGGATGAGATGGATGGAGTGGATGGAGTAGACCAGCAGACGAGCCGTTAATTAAACATCAGGACGAGCGAGGCCGTGCACCAATCAATCAATAATAGAATTAACACAGCTCTCTACAGCTCAGCGCTTAATAGCCTTACCCGCTCAGCAAACCAGAGCACATGACTTCGTGCATAGAACATGACTTCGTGCAAAGAACATGACTTCGTGCATAGAACATGACTTAACGAACATCATATGAGTTAGTGAATGGAACACGAAACAAAGATGTTTGCCACCAACAAAAGGTGTTTGAGATGTTTGCCACCAAGAAAAGATGTTTGCCAACCACATTTTCCCGCGAGTTAAGGACCACTCAATGAAGCTAAATTTAGCCGCCGAATTTTGATGGTCCCCAGTCATTATTGATTTTCTGATATATAGGGTCTGGTACATCAAGATAGGGTCTGGTACATCAAGATAGGGTCTGGTACATCGTCAAGATAGGGTCTGGTACATCGTCAAGATAGGGTCTGGTACATCAAGATAGGGTCTGGTACATCGTCAAGATAGGGTCTGGTACATCAAGATAGGGTCTGGTACATCAAGATAGGGTCTGGTACATCAAGATAGGGTCTGGTACATCAAGATAGGGTCTGGTACATCAAGATAGGGTCTGGTACATCAAGATAGGGTCTGGTACATCGTCAAGATAGGGTCTGGTACATCAAGATAGGGTCTGGTACATCAAGATAGGGTCTGGTACATCAAGATAGGGTCTGGTACATCAAGATAGGGTCTGGTACATCAAGATAGGGTCTGGTACATCGTCAAGATAGGGTCTGGTACATCGTCAAGATAGGGTCTGGTACATCGTCAAGATAGGGTCTGGTACATCGTCAAGATAGGGTCTGGTACATCAAGATAGGGTCTGGTACATCAAGATAGGGTCTGGTACATCGTCAAGATAGGGTCTGGTACATCAAGATAGGGTCTGGTACATCAAGATAGGGTCTGGTACATCAAGATAGGGTCTGGTACATCGTCAAGATAGGGTCTGGTACATCGTCAAGATAGGGTCTGGTACATCGTCAAGATAGGGTCTGGTACATCAAGATAGGGTCTGGTACATCGTAAAGATAGGGTCTGGTACATCGTCAAGATAGGGTCTGGTACATCAAGATAGGGTCTGGTACATCAAGATAGGGTCTGGTACATCAAGATAGGGTCTGGTACATCAAGATAGGGTCTGGTACATCAAGATAGGGTCTGGTACATCAAGATAGGGTCTGGTACATCAAGATAGGGTCTGGTGCATCAAGATAGGGTCTGGTACATCAAGATAGGGTCTGGTACATCAAGATAGGGTCTGGTACATCAAGATAGGGTCTGGTACATCAAGATAGGGTCTGGTACATCAAGATAGGGTCTGGTACATCAAGATAGGGTCTGGTACATCAAGATAGGGTCTGGTACATCGTCAAGATAGGGTCTGGTACATCAAGATAGGGTCTGGTACATCAAGATAGGGTCTGGTACATCAAGATAGGGTCTGGTACATCGTCAAGATAGGGTCTGGTACATCGTCAAGATAGGGTCTGGTACATCAAGATAGGGTCTGGTACATCGTAAAGATAGGGTCTGGTACATCGTCAAGATAGGGTCTGGTACATCAAGATAGGGTCTGGTACATCAAGATAGGGTCTGGTACATCAAGATAGGGTCTGGTACATCAAGATAGGGTCTGGTACATCGTCAAGATAGGGTCTGGTACATCAAGATAGGGTCTGGTACATCAAGATAGGGTCTGGTACATCAAGATAGGGTCTGGTACATCAAGATAGGGTCTGGTACATCAAGATAGGGTCTGGTACATCAAGATAGGGTCTGGTACATCGTCAAGATAGGGTCTGGTACATCGTCAAGATAGGGTCTGGTACATCAAGATAGGGTCTGGTACATCAAGATAGGGTCTGGTACATCAAGATAGGGTCTGGTACATCAAGATAGG